GATTCCTAGGTATTTGGCGTGCTCTACTGGCTTGATGATAAAGCCCGTTGCGTGGTCCTTGATGGGCAGCTGGTCGTAACCAAGGGGTTCCACTGGGGGATCCCAGTTGTCAACCTCTGGGTCCTCCCCCTGCCACGAGCCAGTATATATATATTCCTGCGGTACGGGTCGTTCTACCGCAGGATTAGGGCGAAACGGATTCTTGAAATGAATGAGTTCGAACTTATCGGGGGCGAATCTGGACGAATGCTACCTTGACCATACCGCGGCCTTACCCAGGGCCCTCTCTAGAAGGCACTGGTTGACCGCGTAGCTATCCGAGATGGCCAGGGTGGCAACATCGTTAATCTACCTGTAGGAAACCGTCTTGCCTCCCTCTAGAAGGGGTGGCTGAATCCGAAAGGCCTCAATACCGTCGATCGATAGGGCGCGAATGAGGGGGGTATTAAATAGGAGGAATAGGATCGGCGATATAAGGGACCCTTATAGGATCCCGGTAGGGGTTGAAATAAGGTTGCTGAGATATCCGGGGAGTTGCAGCCTTGTAGAACGGTTCGATAGGAAGGATTTGAGTCAGCCAGCGAAGAAGCCGAGCCCCATCATACGTAGATTGTGGAGGAGTCGTATATGCGAGACGTTATCGAAAGCGCTAGCTACGTCTAGAAGTAACATACTGACCTTCTGGCCCTTGCCTTAACTTTCAAAGATCTGGTCAAGGAGCAACTGGATCAGGTGGTCGACTGAGATGCCCCTGCGGCCCCCTAGATAGCTCCTGGGTAGGAGATTGCGCTCTTCCAGGGCCCAGGCAATCCGTACTGTGGCTACGGCCTCCAGGATCTTGCTGAGAGTATTCAGGAGCGCTATAGGTCGGTAGGATTTGGCGAGGCAATAGTCCCGAAAAGCTGCTTTACGCAGTACTACAGTAGTCGATTGCTAAAAATATTCCGGGTTATGCCCAAGACGTAGACACGCGTTAAATATTTGCGTTAGTACAGTAAGGAAGGAGGAGACCTCACTCAACCAGTACTAGACCTTGTTAGGAATGCCATCCGGCCCTAGTGCTTTATCGGGAGGCGCCTGCCTGATACAGCGGAGCATCTCGTGCTCGATAAGATCCGGGAAATCGATCTAGGGAGGTGTCTGGGCCGTAAGGATATCAGAGAGGTCGGCCGGGGGTAATTTAGAAAAGAAAGCTTTACGAAACGCCTCTACTTTCTGTTCTGCGGTTTCTGCGAGCCCGTTATCCGTTTTTAGCGTCAGTATAAGGCCTTCGCGAGCCTCTCTATTCCTCGCCCACTTAGCTGCCTTCTACATGCCTCAAGGGCCTGATTCGGTAGCCTTGCGGACCCAGGAACGGTAGCCCTGGCGCAGTACCTTAGTCAATACCTTTCCTTTGCGGTTCCTGACTTTGGTATAGCGCTCCTACCGGAGGCCCGTGGTAGGGTCGGTAAGGCCGTTCGTAATAATTGATTCCGTATACTTATGCCGGAATTTCCGGGTGATCTTGACCATTTCGCGGCATTCTGCATTAAATGAAGGGTTCGCCCACTTGCTGGGCTTCGCCCACGGGGTAGAGGCAGCGATTCCTTAGTTGACTGTCTCGATAAGGTATTCTATAGCGAGCTCAATATGCTGCTTCATTTGTAAGGGAAAGGCCTTGGTCTGTAGGTTAAGGTCCACGAAGCTCTGCAGGTCCTTGACGCTGCAGGTTTTCCAGTTCTTTCGTCGCTGTGCCTCAGGGGTTTTAGTGCTGATATCCAGAAGAGTTCGTATAGGATAGTGGTCCGAATCTGCGTAGACTCGTTCGTTAACCTCGCAGGCAACGAGCCTAGGGGTCAGGTCCTGTGAGCCGAAGATCAGATCGATAGTGGTTCTGCTTCCGTTGCGCTCCTACGTGGTAGTGCCTGGCTCTAGCCAGAGGTCTAGGCACCTCGTATCCGTCAGTTCCAGTAATTGGTCGAACGAGGAGTCTCTTTTAGAGCGTTTTCCTCCCCAGGCCGGGTGGTAGAGGTTGAAGTCGCCTAACAGGAGCAAACGCGGATTAGTAGAGCTGTTAGTAGGGCCGGTAGGGATAGTTAGGGAGGTAACGAGATCGAGAGTAGTGCTATCTGCTTCGTTAGGTCGGTTATAGATATTGAAGATGCGCACTTGTTGGCCGTTAGCATCAGTAAGCTCGAGCTCCTGAACGTCTTTCGAATGCGCTGTATGTTTCCAGGTACTGAGATCGATTTAGCGTAATATATAGAGGCACACGCGGGCCCGCTCGTTCCCTATTTCGGTCGAATCCGGGTATAGGAGCTGGTGGGAGCCGTTAGCAGGATAGTAAGTAGTATCCTGGTAGGGATTCTCCCAAGGTTCTTGTACAAAGATAAGGTTAGCCTCTAGGATCGCAGGATCCCGAAGGAACTGTGCCATCACCTTGTCTTTAGATCGATTCGTATTATATTGGAGGATGTAAAGGGGCTTGATCATAATCGATCAGCCCTAGTGCGTTTCCGTAATACTAAACGGGCCCTTGTGATAGGAGCCGTAGTAGGTGCAGTAATTGATACCGGGGACTTCGAGAGGGAAACAGTAGGAGTCTCACTGGCCGAGGTCGATCGTTCTCAGTATACTACTCTACTGCGGGATCATTTTGTGGGTAGTATCTCGCCGGTTAGTGAGTCAACTGGTATAATAGTCAGGTGTGAGGCTTCCTGCCGTATTGCGGACTGGGTACGGGCATTTCGGTACGTTCTTTCAGACGAGGTAACGCTCTGCAAGCTACTCCTTCGTCTACAGCGATCCCTAGGCATCGGGATCACTGGGACAGATACCTCCGGCTCGCTCTGCTGACCGGCTTTTTCCCGGTCAGGCTGCGGAGGCGCATCCACTCCGTCTGCAGCAAAATCTATCCTATTATCTGAGGGTCCACTGGCTGCAGGAATTACTTCTTGCGAGCCGGCGTGCGGCAGCGTAAATCCCGGTTAAAATCGGACTGTTAAACGATTACGGACGCTCGTAAATCTACTAACGGACTTTGTACGCCTCTCTGAGAGGCTTATGTGCGGCTGGCTGCATCTCTCGCTGTTGGACGAGCTAGAGGCCTCCGTACCGCTACGTACGGAGAACTGAAAGTCCTGCAGGTAGGGAGGGACCCGATATCAGGCTTACCGGTATACTGCTGCGGTTTAAACCCGGTCCGTCTCTGCTGCATACCTCGAATACCTTTTGTGCCAGGCAGCGTGTGCTTCTTTACACCCTGCACAGCGGCGCTCCTGGCTGTTAGTAGACTTGTGAGAGCAGTTCCGGGTCTCGTAGCTGCCCCCATAGAGCCCGCAAGTTGTTTTATTCGAACAGACAATTCCTATGTAACTATATTGTTAGCAGTTAAAGTACCGTCGGATACGAGCAGTCCGATTATATAATACTGTCCTATAGATAACGTTATCCCAAATGATACCTCGTGCGATTGCCTCGTTGGCGTGACGGGGATCTAAGAATTCTACAATCAGAGCAGATAATTTCTGGTTCTTATAGTTGGACGGATGGGTAAACTACGCGATACGCGTAATTTAGAGACTCTGTTGAGCTTTCTTGCTTACTCAGCAGTCTCTGTTTTCCTCGAGTAACTCGTTAACTATCCGTTGTTGTTCCGTATCGGTGGTAAGGTCCCCAATTGACTTAAATGCGATCTCATATATAACGATACCCCAAGAGGGATGCCGTAGCATGGCCCCCGCGTTTAGATAGTTAACCCATTGATCGTAAGTCCTGGCAGCTTCGGCTTCAGCGGTATAACGGAGTGAAAGATTTAAGTCGCCGGACCTAAGCTGTCTAGCAGCTACAAAACGCGCCTTAGCTAGAGAGAAAACCCCTGTTTGACCGCATGTTTTCTGTCTTGCTGTTTCCGCTTTTTGTTTGATATCCGAAGCTGTAAGACGTCAGTACGTACGCACTGTACCAGCATCCCGTAGCTTAACGATGACTTCGCGGTCCTTGCTGAGCTCCGACGGGGTGGCCGGGGCGGTACTGGAGGAGCCGTAAGAAGAGATCGTATGGGCCGGGGGAGGCGCGTTACGGACTACAGAGGCCCAGGACTGGTTATTCTGTTTCTGTACACTCGATTGAGTGTGATAGGTTTGTTTCTGAACGTTCTGAAGGGTCTGCCGGATGTTGGCCAGCTCGGGGCTGATACGGCAGTTAGCAGTCAGAATATCTACAATTTCGTGTTACAGAAAATTGCAGGCATCAGCTACCTGCTGTATGAAGCTGACTACCGGTTTAGAGAGCTGTTTCCTATTTGATTCGTTGAATGATAGGTATTGCTGCGCATCTTTGTTGAGGTTCAAAACGCAGTGGAGAAAATTCTGATTGTGCGTATTTACTGCCTCGGGAATCCCTGAAAGGGCCGGCCACGAGGGTTTCGCCCCAACCATATCGATATCCCTATAAAGTTAGGTTCAATCGATAGCGGCTGGGGTTGATAGTAAACTGGCTGATTCTAGAGGCCGTAGCCTTCGTGGTGGTTGAGTAATTTTTTAAAAATTTGGTTCGCGTCGAAGTTGTTGTTTTTTAATTGAGATATAAACGCGGACAGTAATAGAGCTGAATTGGGAAAAGTGTAGTTTTTGCCTGGCCTATCGATGCCCGAGTGCTGATCAATGATAGTTCCACGTAGGTAGATAGTCCTGGTCAATTGCGATCTTGTGGCGCTGCTGAAAGTCAAGGACTGTCAGAGAGGTTGAAAATGGTCCCCGGATATAATGCATCTCGTGGAACAAAAATTTCCGACCTCGTTCCCAGTCAGCTGCATAATCCCGCGCTCGAATGTTTGCGGTTTCTCTGTTGAATCCCTAAAAATATGTCGATCTTCAAGTCCTTAGCTATCCTCTTGAATTCCTATCTGTTGATGGCTGGAGTACATGGTAACAAACAAATTAAGTCTGAACTGAGAAATGCTCCATCCAGTAAAGCTTAACATGCGTCATCATAGATGGATGATTCGTGAAGTGCGTTTTGTTGATGATCAACCTACGAACTACTAGAGCGCATATGCACCCTTCACGAGAGATTCAACCTCAAGTCTAGTATTTAACAGGATAGACGCTGATTTACAGCTTGTCTCCCACTTTGACACTTAGACTTCCTCCATTGATATCGGGTTTTAAAATTTCACTCAAAGGTATGCTCGATTAATCGCTCTACCTTATAATTTTGGTTTCTAACACTCAGTCATCTTAATAGCATATATCGAACTCTCCCGCTCACAATGCGCCTGATACCTTTATTTCTTGCCCTTCTTGCAGTCGTTCAGGGCTCGCATGCCTTCCTGTTCTGGTGGTGGCTCCCGCTTCCTATCTTTGTGATCAACGGCAGAAATAGTGGTGGTAGTTGCAACTCCTGCTGCCCGTCATGCGCCATGACTCAATCCGAACTTAATCAACACATCTCCGACTGCAGCAAGAATCTTCAGACTTGGCAACAGGGTTGTAATTAGACTTTTATGTGAACGTGAAAGTTCGCCCAGTGCCTCCGAAGGATTGTTATTCGAGTGACTGTGTGTGGACCTAGAAAGTCCAATCATTTGAATCCCAATAAGGTGCGAGAATTTGGCAATTGTTGAATTATGTTGAGCTTGTTCTTCGAGGTTCTCTCTATGTTGCTGTTTCATTTATTTCTGGTCTCTTTGGATGTTGTCTAGGTACTACGGTTGAATCTTATCCAGTCTGCTCGAATAATGTTTTGCACGAGGAATTCCAGAGGGTCCTAGATTCTCGTATCTGTAAAGTAATTAGACCTGAATTGTGTCTATCTTCCATATTGGAGATAAATTTTCCAAAACCAGAGCTTTTAGTTCATTTTTTTTGGACCGCGATTTTCACCAATGTAAAAAGAAAAAGAAAATATAGAACTCCTATGTAAATATAGGCTAAGGCACAGGTATGATGCGTGTACCATGACGCAAATACCGTATTATGACGCTTTTAATACTCAAGAGTACCATGCAAGAACACTTAAGGAAACCAGGAATTTGCCATAACTGATATAGCCGACATTGGTAAGTATGTTACCGAAATTGTAGCAGATCTTAGAACTATCAATAAGTACGTATTTGTATATACTCAGATACATAACATAAATAGAATCTGGGATACAATGGTCAGAGTTACAGGCGAAAAACCGAAAAAGAGCTACGTAAGTTGATATTAAGTATTCTTATTTTCGCAAGAGTAACTAAAGGAACGGTTCTTCTTCCAGCAGTAAAAGACTAATTTCTTCTTCTCTTTAGGTAATTTTAGCAGAGATTAACGAGGTCATCAACACGTGCCGAGAGGCGCTCAAAAATAGTTCTCACGAAATGATACATCTAGAATTCTCTATTACATTATTAAAATTATACTGCCAACCGGTCTTGTTCTCAAGAAGATATTGTTCTCCTATCGAAAGATAATCACGTTGGACTTATCTTGCAATCTGCAATCAACGATTTAATAATACGGTAAGTGATCCTAATGCATGTTAGTCTCGACTTAACTTACAAGCGATAGATATAATGTCGTACAATATCTATTATATCGTGTACACTGGACTGCTACAGGATCATCATGTCATATTTGTCGAGAAGAATGATGATCAATCCGGATAGTTATTCCAAGTAATCAGTAATATCCAAAAGGGCATAAACTATGACAACAAAAGTGCAAAGAGCTCTGAAGAGTCAACGACATACTAAGATTTTAGTTAAAAAGGTTTCTGCAGCCAATTTTTATCGCATTAAGCCAATCTGCCGATCGGTTACGCTACCGAAGAAGCAGTTCAAAGGACTTCAGCACTTGTATCTGAAGAAACCTATCTAGCGCTGCCAAGAAGATATATTGCCTCGGTGGGTGTGGGTACATTGTAGCATTCTTGTCCGGTGTGTGGTCCACTTCCGACATCGAAAGAGGAAGTGCTCCACGGTCTCTCTTGCTTGTCCACATGCACATTGATCCGTCTCTGCGACGTTGATTCGATAGAGATATCAATTGAGTCTTGCCATGCCAGTCCAGAGTTGGGCCAGCACGCTTGCTTCTTTCCATGGTAATCGATCATACAACTACCGGGTGTGTTTTCCAAGGATTACTGCATCCACTCGTTTGGAATGTCTTCTTATGTTCTTTAGCAAGCCTTTGCTGGCGGCAGCTTGGGCCCGTGCGATATTCAGTGTGGTTAACTTCATTCTCAGAACCTACGCTTGCGGGGTAGCGTCTTCTTGGGTCGCGGCCCTGGCCTGCTCTTTCGCCAGGCCCAACAGTTGATTATCTTCACTGCTTGGGACCCAACGAATGCTGATTTCGTTCCCGTGTCTCCGTAGTCTCTTGATCAGCTTGTATATCTGGCAGATATGTTCCTGGCCTGACCATTGTCGAGGGTTCCTCAGCGTGAGAGCCGCCGCTTTGTTGCTCGTGAGCAGTGTGATTCTGTACTGTTTCAGCCCCCGTAGTGTGTCCAATGCATGTGCCATTGCTGCCAGCTCTCCGGAGTATGGATTCTGTTCTGCTCTGGCACCCAGTGTGATGGAGAAAGTCTTCAGTTTCAGTTTTCGATAACGAGGTGGCTGCTTCTCGATCGCCACTCCAAATCTAACCAGCTCGTTCCGTGCCGAACTGCTGACCGCGATCTCCATAATTTCACTTCCGACTTAAAGAACTTGCTCCTTTTCTGTCTTGTATTCGGGTCCGCTATCTAACTGGCAGTACACATTCTCCCGCAATAGTCGTGGTCAAGCGAAGCCCTGTACTTGTTGCCTTTCTAGGCGCCAACAGCTCCTTCGGATTGCGTCCGTGCTTGCGCTCGTGGATCGTACGATGTATGCGGCCGACGGCGCGACGAAAGCCAGGATGATGGAGGATCTGCAGAGGTTAGCGAGGATGGAGTGGCTAGTAGTAGGATGGAGCGATGCACGAGTTCGATGATGCGGTCCTCGCAAGCTTGAAAGACGCGGAGCGCACCAGTGCGGAGCCATGATGGCGGTGAAGGGACCGTGGGGCTGACGGGGTCGATAAATGACTATAGAAAGCAAAATGCTAGGGGTGTATTTTAAAATGTCGGCGGCCACATGCTTGAAGATACGATGCCAAAATGATGAGGCGGCGAGAACCAGCAACCAAAGCGCGGAAGTTATTTGAAGATGGCGTAGCAGCTGGAGCACGGGCCATCGGGTACTGTGGATTTTTACAGGGGCCGCTGCAGGTTTCAGCGGGAACAGCCAGCAAACGCACACGACAGGTCCAAACAACGACATAATGGATTCACAGGAACAACCCGATTAAAGCAAGAGAGTATAGTTTTATTTTTTGCTGGCTTCTCATGAGCCCCTCCAAAAATTGGTGGTCGCAGCTGCCAGTTTACTTTCTGTCCCCATCCATTCCCATCGTCAAAAAACACAAGTGTGGCTATTTCGTGTTCCTCTTCTCAGTGATATCTTTACTCCTTGGGGAGATGCTGGGCCATAAAGGCACTGAGGTAGTCACTCTTGCCCAGAGGCACGCCCTGATTGCGCATAATGGCGTAGGTCATGGAAAGGTGGAAGAAGATGTTGGGCAGGCCGTAGGCGCCAATGTAGCCGACGCTGGGGAGCTGGATCTCCTTGCCGGGGCCCATGCCAAGGGGAACGGTGGCAAAGGCCTTGTCGTTAATGGTGGCCTTGTCGGCCCTTTCGAGCACCTCCTGGGCCTGGGCGATGCGGGCGTACATGTCGTCAAAGGAACTCAGGTTGTTCTCCCACTTCTGGGGCTCGGCGCCGGTGGCGCGGGCAACCATCTTCTGGATGGTGTCGCAGACGATGTGGACCTGGAAGGTCAGGGGCAGCATGTCGTCGCATAGTTTGGCAGACGGCAGCTTGTCAGCGACGGGAGAGGCCTGGCCCTTCTTGAGGATGGACAGGAGAGAGTTGAGGGCATCATTGGAGCTGGGGATGGCGGCGTCGTAGACGGTGAAGGACATGTTGGGAGGTGGTTGTGTGGTGTTGTGGGAGAAGATAAATCTGCTGCAGTTGAGACTTGAAGAGTCTTGCAGAGAGAGGGAGTCTTGTTGTTTGAGTTGAAATGGTATGAGAGAAAGAGGACCAGGCGGAGGAGAGGTGAGTGGGAAGAGCTCAATAATATATAGCGATGTGAAACTGGACTAGATAGGGAGAGAGGCAGAGAGGCAAAAATGAAACTAGTGAAGATGGCGCTTCCCTATTTACGTACCTCTTACCTTGATCATTCTGTTTCGCAGTCTCGTACCTCGTACACCGTAGTTGGCCGACGGTGGCTCTTGCTCGATTCGACAGCTTTCGTCTGTCGTCTGCGACCTCTCTTTGAGCTCCACCTTCCCAACCCATTGAATTTGGCAAGATGCAAGTCCCGGCCGCTAGGGGACCATGTTTACTAATTAGCTCAAACACTACGCCTAGAGATGTCTCTTTCTTACGCCTGGATTGGCCTAGCAGTACAAATAACACTGGAATATACAATGGTACGCGACCGATTTAACAGCATTTGTGTGTTGTAGGCCACTTCCTACCAATTGGTCCTGGCGAGGAAATAAAAAAATTAAGAGGCGGTGGGTTCACCAGGCGACTGCGGTTGGCTGCATCACAACGTCCAGGGCCCCACGGTATTAGCCAGCTTACAAATTGCTTCGGGCCCCATCCAATGCAGTCTCAAGTGTATTACCAATGCAGTCCATTATGAATCAGCTTCCACAGCCGAGTCGGGTGACGGTTCTCCGACCACACTTTGGTTTACTCAACATTATTTGCTAGTTAACTAGTTAGTTAACTAACTAGTTAAATTGCCAGAATAGGGGTTATACGGCAATTCAGACTCTTTGCCATGATTCCATTGGTTGAAGCATGTATCCACTACACCTTGGGTTGCGACAATAAATTTACGTCTCCCATCTTTTATTGAGTCTCCACTGTCTATTGAGGATTTATAGAGTGTCGAGGATAGTGGGGTAGTAAAATACACCCGAAATAGTTCAGCTTCATTTGTGTCGTGATTTCTATGTTACTAACAGCCTTGCACTGTTTGGTTCATTTGTCTCACACAGTGGTTTTGTTTACTGCTTCTGCAGTAAATCACTATTTTCTTCTTCTTCTTTCCTCAACCTAGTGTTTCGTAACTAGCCTACAATAAAGACCATTTCTTCATTCCTGAGGTTGTCACACCAATAGTTCTGCGCTGCGAAGCGCCGGCTTACAGCGTGATGCTGTGTGTCGGGTCAATGGCTGCTCAGAGGGGGTGGGTGTCGTTGTGATTCGATGGTTTATAGGTTATGTTCCACATGGTCCGTTTCCAGGTAGTGCGAGCTGCAGGGTGTCTGGAGAGGTGAGCTTGGAGACGGGTGTGGGTTGTCTTGTTTGTCTTTAATTGAAGTTTCACAGTGAGGTCACTCCAGTATCAGTCGTAGGAAGTGAGACGAGTCTATCCTGGACAAATGAAAACATACCGCTGTCTTCGGGGCGGCGGTCTAGCAAGATGCGCTGGGTAGCGAAGCGCAATAGATAGAGGTAGGAGAGCCCGGCAATAAAGAATAGGGTGAATCTCCAAGGACTCAATCGGGGACTGAGGTGTTTGGGTTGGGGAGCTTCGGAGAAGCGCATAGGTTGGTACTTGGAGTAAGCCATTGCTTGTGAAAAAGCTTGTGAATAGAAATGGGGATGAACCTTGAAGAAGGCGTAGTGTAGGGATAACCTGCTCTTATATTCTTTTCCGCTCATGGAGGAACACACCACAGTTCCACGATGCTCATTTTGTCCAACAAATCCAATTTTTCTTGGAGCTATTAAATCGGAACTGTACGTGCACTCACGAATACTTCCACAAGTATTACATTCAGTAATGGCTCATTCATTCATTGTCTTATGTCTCGGGGGTTAGTTCCCTCCTAAAATCTATGGTACATATGAAATCCTTCAGTCAACTGAACGAAACAATTGCTGAATAGAGACTGCAATCTGCTGCCACTGGGTATAAGGAAACATAATAACGCTCAATAATAGGAACCGACAGCACGATATCATCAATAGTCCGTCGTCATCTGATGCTCTTTACTTGCAAGTTGTATCTATGGCCGCAGAGCCGGGGCGAAAGAAGGTGATCCTTCCGCGCCGCACCTATTGGATGGTTTTTGTTTGTTGCTGCAGTCAGTCATTACTGCATGGTTTTAATTTAGCTGGGACGAGCTTATTCCGGATATCCTTAAGTTTCATTCGATATTTCACACGCAACTGCTTGACCCACCACTTCTCCCGAAAACATAGGAGAAACAGAACTAACGTTCAAATAAAGAATTACATAAACCAGTAAGATCGCTAATTATTCCCTTACATTTTCATTGCCTCCACAACGCCATCCCCATCCTCCTCAGTTGCCTTCCAGAACTGTATCACCTGAAGTCCAGCCTTCGCCAACAGCTCACGCCACTGCTTCCTTGTGCGCTCCATACCCCTATTGAAAGCCATCATGACCAAGTCAAGCGAACCTTCGAATTGAGACGCTCCATGCTCCGGTAGAATCACTTCGTGCAAAAGGAGCTTCGAATATCCCGCGGTCATGCCCACCACTACTTGCTCCAGAATTATGAGGCAATCAGCGTCGGGCCAATTGTGCAGGATATGATGATAGAAATACACTCTCGCCCCTATAGAAGCTCAGTAGGCTGCCTAAGGGCATGTTGAAGAAACAGGGGCTTACCGAGGATAGGCTGCTCCGCAAAGAAATCATACGCCACCTTCTCAATCCCCTCCTCATCCCACGCCTTGAACATATAGCATGTTTTTGTCTCTGCCCGGCGCAATTGTTCCTGTATATAACTCCCAACATATGCTGATCTACACGCTCAGGACTATAGAAAATTATTTTAGCGCTTGGTTCAACCAATCGTCTCCATGGTCTAGTTGGTTATGACGGCGGTCTCATATTCTATATATGACAATTCTTTCAAGAGTTGGTCATCCGCAGGTCACGAGTTCGATCCTCGTTGGAGGCATTTTTTGCCAATCCTTCAGATGCATTCGGGTCTGATCGTTGGGGCTTTTTATTTAGGTAGCGAATAAACCATGTAAAGCAATTCTTGATGTCCCGGCTTTATCAGATCCGATTGCAGCAGGCCGTAACGATGCGAATCAATTACATCTTGGAGCTTTGTTAGGTATAGAGTTACTTTATTGGCTTTCTATAATCATGTTGTACTCCGTAGTCTATTTGTACATTGAATAACCAAATTTTCTTCATACATGACCGGAGATAGATAGGTATATGGAGTATCTCTGCGTGTCAGTAACGACGTAACTTCGTGAAATTCCAGGAATGATTTTTAATAACCATGTAATCCTTTCAGTATTATTTTCAAATTGCTCGAGCGTGTCGGCCGTCCTTGGTGATCGGTTGGAAAGACCCGCCGCGAACAACAGAAACCATCAAGCGCAAGGGTCACGAAGTTTTGCTGGACTTTAAGGCGCATTAATCTCGCCAGGCCATTTAATAATTAGTCTCCATGGTCTAGTTGGTTATGACGGCGGTCTCATATCTTCATATGACAGCTTAGAAGGCTGGATATCCGCAGGTCACGAGTTCGATCCTCGTTGGAGGCAGTTCTTTTTTGTTTTTTGCCTTAGTGAAATTTTCCGTGCTGAAGAACACTGTAATTATTCTTAATTTTTCAATATTAAAAAAGATATCTATCAGAAAGTTTGCTCTGCTTGTTCCTTCTTTTTCCCTCGTGGTTTCTCTTCCCTATCAATCTCGTATTGGTGGATGGGCTGTTTCGGATTGTGTGGATGCACCCACTCCGTAAGCTGCTGGCAATCATCTGAGGGGAAGACGTATTTTTTATTTTGGAGTTTATAATAGAAACCTACGCATCAGAATACCCACTGTCTGGCCATGAATGTGCTAGGTATTCTGTCTGTCCAGTGCTCTCTTCATATCTAAACCACCTTATCGTGGTTATAGTTATGACACCGATTAACCGGCCATCTATTCTTCCATCCTTGAATGTAATATTTTGAGGTCCAATGTCATTACGTGAACCTCTGTAGTTGCTATGCTCTTTGCATATATTCCTGGCCCTGCACCTCTGACGGCTGTGGTCCGGCCTGGCGAATTTTGCCTTTTTTAGTGGACCAATACTTGGTAGGTCTCCTTCAAGACAGCTGATGGGCTTCTCTCTTCGGACCCGACAAATCCAAATAGTTTCTGGCGATACCACAGCATACATTCTATGAAGAGGGACAATGGAAGATATCTTCAATCGAATACAGTCTGGCGGTATGTCCCATTTCTTCATGAATCTTGATCAGCTCTCCAATTGAAACCAGCGAATGTCTTAAGGTAATCATGTCTGCCAGTATTTGGCCATCGCCAATTTCGAACTGATGCAACCCCTAGATCCAGCATATATCCTCCGAAAAAAAGACAGGTACTCGGATAATCAACTGTTCAATGAACAAACTCCACCGGTACACTCATTCTTCTTGGCTCCACCTTTCTACACGCACATTGGTCATTACCTTTGCAGAGCCATTACAAAAAGCCATCCGCCATTTGTCCAGCCTTGTATAGCCAAAGCGAATACATGTTTTTTCATGTCAGTCTCCATGGTCTAGTTGGTTATGACGGCGGTCTCATATTCTTATATGACAGCTTAAAAGGCTGGATATCCGCAGGTCACGAGTTCGATCCTCGTTGGAGGCAATTTTTTTGGATTTTTTTCTGATATCTTATTGTTTTTGGCACGCTGTGTTGGTGGGAAATAAATCATGAAAAAGCATTCCACCGTGCCAAGATGTTGTGGGTGCTAGTCCGTATCAGGAAGGTGGGAACTGTAACTATGTCAGCTAGGAACCGGTGGAGAGTTCTTCGTTGTTCAGGGCTCAGGCGTTCTTAATGCTACCATATCTTTTTTTTCAAGTAGGTTAAAGGTTCGATTTGTCTGATAGTAGTATTTGGTAGTTTGTCGCATTTAGGGGTGTAATGAATATTCGACGTCGGCCGATATGTTCGATTGAATAAGTTTTCGAATACGATATTCGACACCCTTATCATGATCGAATACGAATATTCGACGGTTTTGACGATGTCGAATATTCGTATTCGTTACACCCATAGTCGCATTATTAGCCTAGCTTATTGCTTATGTGGTGTACAATAAATTCTTTTGATGTGATTGTCAGAGGTAAACCCTCAGCCTAAAAACCAATATATATTCGGGGAACAGCCTTGTTGCGACTAGGTCCTTGGAAGGTCTGGGGATATATATCCACAGCAGCAACCATCAAAAAATAAAGAAAATAGTGGTATATAAGACAATAACCAAAGAAGGTAACGATAATAATGAAAATAGCTGAAAGTATAAAAAGGAAGAAAAGAATAATGAATCGTCCAATGCCTTGAGCGAGTAGTGTAGACCGATTGATGGAGGGAAAAAACCACATGAAAGGGTCGGCCAGCAAGCAGCAATAAGTCAAATAATTGACATTTCACATCACAAGCTATAATACCTACGTGGTCTGCCTAACTCAGTATGGCAAATAATAGGTCAACCGTCTTGCTAGGTAACGACTGTCGTTGTCTTCGGTGGATGTTTTAGATGCCCGAGGCATTGTATACCGAACACTCCACGGCAAATCCAGACAAACAAGATAGGAAGACCTCTTCTCCCTACCAAATTATCTGCATGATTCTTTCTCATTTAGTTAAGCCCCGTCATTTTCATCATCCTGGACAATTTCTTCAGTATCAAGATCGTTGTCTCCCCAGGCGGATTCACTTCAACAGGTGCTGTGAGCTGAATTTGTAGTTGAACATAGTCCAGTAATTAACGGCCTTTCTTCAATAACGGCTGGGTGGCGCAATGGTAGCGCGTTGGTTTTCGGTTCTTCCTGATCTTAGGAAGAGTTGGAACCTACCAAAGGCTGCGGGTTCGAGCCCCGTCTCAGTCATTCTTTTTTTCTCCGTGACTATTTCTCACGCCCCCCGACAAGACAAAGCATGGATGCTATAATTTTTTTATTTTTTATTTTTATTTTTTTCTTCATTTCCAATTCTCTGTCTGCATCAATTTTCATCTAATTTCTACCTGGGGAAGATCATATCTTCACGAGAAAGAAAAACCAACCCACTATCTCAAATCTTTCCAGGACTACGCAATGGACAGACAGTATCCTCCTTCCTCTTGTATTTCCCACCAAGATGAGATCTGTACCGGTTTTCCAGGTCTCACATTAACAAAGGGACCGATCGGTGTTCAGAATTGCCCAGGATAGGAAACCGGCCAATGCTCATTCACCGAGAAGACCACCTGGTTGATTTGCTTTGTCATTCGCTGATTTGACCATCTACCCAACAACCCTTAGCTAGATGCCAGAATCAATTCTTCGCACACTGAAACCTCATTGCTGATTATTTAACATCCCCTGAAAATTTCTCTATGGCTTGAGCTAAACATTATCCCATCATCCTAATACCCCACTTTAGACCAAGATGAAGGAACACAGCCGGAATTCCCATCCCAGGACAAATGACTATTCTTATCATTTTTACGGTGAATTTTGGCTTGAACCACCAGAGCAATACCTGCAGTGCGAAGAATTGCAAAGGCTGAAGGAACTGGAACCACTTATAAAGAGGTTTGAGCAACGACAGAAGCCCAGTAAGCTACACTTAGTCCCAGTTACGGAATCCCAAGATCTCTTACTAACCACGCTCATTCGGCCAGAGATCCCGACAGATCTGAAAAAAGCGTTTACATCATTTACCCGCCGAGAGGTAGCTGTGTGGAAGTGTCTTGGAGGCGAGAGGCCTTCTGAGTTCCTTCTTCCCCCAGCTGGAAGCAGCAATGCTCCGATTGCATGCCATCTTTACAACCCGTCATTCTTTACAGACAACCCCTACTCCCAATCCATGATCGAAAACAAAAACCTGACTATGGTTCAACTCCAGCAAGTTGGGTTTTCTTTGCAAAACGCTTTTTTCTTCGACCATATTTGTAGAAGAGACCGAACCGAGGATGTTCTTTTTTATTCAGACGAAATCACCCGGATACACGAAGATTTTATGATGCTCTGTCGAAAGACCATGACTGCAAAAGTCGAGATCTGCTGGGGAGTTCCAGTAAGGGAGCGAATGAAGAATCTCCCTGCTCCTGAGTCAGTGGCACTGTGGGGGGAATACCACAATGTGGAGATTTTCATCGAAAGAGATATTGATGAGATCATAAGATTTCTCGTCTTTATACCGCACCCCCAGTATTTCTTCTACCATAGCCATCACACCGATCCCGGCTCCAAATTTCGACAATCAAAAGGACGCAGGCAGGATCTTTACCTCGACGTGGCGAGTAGGCTTAGGGGAGTGACCATCAAGGCTAATTTCTACGAGATTCATCACCGACTAGCCACTTACGGACACCTGAGATCTAAGGAGAGGCAATTGGTCAAAACGCTAAAGTCAGATGCTGAGCAACAACTGAAAAAAGCGTTTCCAGATAGGTTCAAGGAGGTAGAAGAATCCACACTGCTGCTGGCAAAAAAACGAAGAGTTGAAGCCGCAAATCGACCAGATACATTGATCATTTCGAAGATGATCAGTGGGGACCATGCCGGAGAGGTAGTATGACTCGAGGATTATTTTGTGACCGCAAAGAGGCTGACATGTTATGCCGAACGCAGGCACGGCGACGGAACAGCGTAATAGAACAAGCAACCCAGTCATGGTTCGAAGCATTTAGGGAAAGCCTCGGGGGTAATTACTCGATAATTCTGCTCAGGTCTAGAGCGTCGGATTGGGATGATCTTACTCAATGGGAGGAGATTTCCGCTCCACTGGTCGGTTGGATTTAACAACAAGATGGGCTAAAGATCGACATGGAGCCAAATCGTCCACAGATGACCTAATAAGGTCCATCGCCTCCTCTGGAACAAGAGTAATTTGGCCAGTCTCAAACTATTGCAAACTATTTTTGAGGTTGCTAAGTCATATCTACCAATCATTCAAAAGCAGAAACGGGCCAGTGTCCAAGAACTCTACATCCCGGGCGTGGCCCCATATCACATCATGCCACGGAGATGCTCAAACTGTGGCCAGCGTGTGCTCGACGATGCCTTTTCTTGCTATGCAAAAGCCGATCAAAAATCTACTTCAATATTTATCGCAAAGAAGGATGAGGGCTACCAGAATGTAAGAAGTTTACGCAGTTGATCCCCGTCGGGCCCGCTAGGCATCTCGAAGAATGACACATACAAGGGTCAAGACCCCTCGATCTGCTGATTGGGAAGAATACCTTCTCCGTTGCTCAGCTGAAGAGCTCGCCAATCAACCTAAGTCCATCAGGACTATATGCGCGTTCTGCAACAAAGAAACTTCGGAAGACAAAAAGCCTTGTTGGACTTCGGAGGGTCAAGCGCGCTATGTCATTCGCATCCATAAATGTGAGCTCTGTAACAAGAGGTTTTGCTCCTGGCCCCCTGTGGATAAATCTATTGGTGCCATTTCACAAGTGTCTCTGGTCAAAAACTGGACCAATTTAACAGAAGGCGGCATTGAACCAGCTAATTACCCACGCTGGTCTGATATCTATTGGTCTAAGAAGAACCAGGCAATCAAGCTGAAGGGGCTTCAAGAAGCCTCTCAACTAGAGTCAGTGATGGAGGGTAGCATGCAAGAAAATATGCTCAAAAGGAGAAGAGTGGAGGTGAGACCAAGATTAAAAGATATTTTTAGAGTGAACTAGACACGGTCAATACTAAGAGAGCAATGTTATCTATGCGGGGGATGGCTGCTGCTGCTCCTGATAGCTACACATACACTACTCATAGAAAAGCATTAAAAAAACATTGGTGTCTTGATAGGACTGACTATAGGTTATTATTCATTGTTGGAATAGACAAAAAGCCAAAGGCAAAAAAGCAAACACCTGCCTCCAACGAGGATCGAACTCGTGACCTGCGGATGACCAACTCTTGAAAGAATTGTCATATAAGTATATGAGACCGCCGTCATAACCAACTAGACCATGGAGACAACAAGATGGAGTGGGCGGGAAAAATAGTGAACTCAGAGCATAAGGAACTTTATTCGTCAGTACGCTTGGGCCGTCAGCAAAAAATGCCTCCAACGAGGATCGAACTCGTGACCTGCGGATATCTAGCCTTTTAAGCTGTCATATAAGAATATGAGACCGCCGTCATAACCAACTAGACCATGGAGACTCCGTTAAAATTTAACTTCAAACTTTGCGTACAAGAGCCAAAACCAATACAAGAGATGCTGTATGCTAGTGTCCACACAACGCTACATGATTTTGAGACAGAACTACAAGGCGAAGTACCAATAAAAATGTCTTTGCCGCCGCAGAGCAAGCCTGTTCTTGCAATTTCACTCCGGCATAAAAAGGATCAAGCTTGCCTACAACTTAACCTCTAACGTGTCCGCAAGAGAACTACAAAGGCAAAATCTACAACACGGTAACTTTATCTGGTCTTACCTCCTCGAACTCTAACATTGCTGGCTACACCAAGTTCCATCGGCAACGTTACCATGGACTGGACGAAAGTATGAATCGGATTCTCGACAAACAGAACACGGTTCATATTGCCGACCAGCACCCGTCATAATGATGATAAAATCATGCAACACTACCTCATCAGGTGGCTGAAGTATCCAACTGTTTGGAATTGTGCAAGCGGCTGCCATAGATACGGCTAGATAGATGTCGAGGACCATTGCACTCTACTAATCAATCTAAATTTGAAGGAAAGAAGTAAGCAAGTAAGTCAGAAAGAAAGAAAGAAAGAAACATGGTCAAGCGAATCACGATCATTGGAGTCGGCCAAGTCGGCCACACTGCACCCTACGCTCTTATCCTAGGCTCCATGGCCCGAACTACTCGTCGCCGATACGGAATCTATGTTAAGAGACGGTCAAGCACGCGACATTTCCCATGTAGCGTACGCCAGCAACAGTAATATACGGGTATGTGCGGCCGTGATCCATGAGACCAAGCAGTGCGATATTGTAATTGCTACGGCGGGGTCAAAGCATCATTCTGGTGAATAGAAGATTGAGCATTGGACAAACCCATATGCAACGCATCAATCATAAATTCAACATCTTTTGCGACACCATGGAAGTCCTCGACGCCATGCGCCCTTTCCGCTCAAACACATTTTTCCTACCTGCTGAGAGTAGCGTCGACCTTTTGACCTGGCTGACTGTCGAGACACGGCTGTCGCTGTCGCAGGGCCTCGGGTCGGCGACGTTCGTCGACTCCGTGCGACTGCATGTCCCCGTTGCGACCAGCTCGTTCGATATGTATGTGGTGAGCGTGTATGGCGGGGACCGCGACAGACTTACCGGTGGATGACGCACCGGGGGGCGCCGATGGAGAAGATGAAAGAGATTCACTGGGTGTTATCTGATCATTGGGAGATTGAAGCCGTGATGTTAAATTGAAGGTAGTTAGAGCTAGCAAACTGACAACATATCCATCCATAAGGAATAGAATAAAAGAAAGCAAGAAGGCGTGTTCAATCCATCAAGTCTCAAGATTCTTCCTCCATCATACAAGATAGAAGATCGTTTTCAGCAACAAATTCCTCCCAAGTCTTAAGCTTCAAACCCGGCAGCTTCAACCAACCCATGTCAGCGAGTCGCTCACTTCTACACAGTCTATAGATATACTTACCTGATTAGCCTGCACGAAGCTCTCATTCCGATAAATCATCCCACACTCATCAAAGATCATCAACTGCTCCGTGAAATCCAACGCGGTTGTCTCGTTCATCGTATCGAGCAACCGATTTTGGAATTCCGCAGCCGTAATCTGCCTATACGGCATGGGGACATTGTATGCTGTTTACTATTAGAATCGCGATATGTCCAATCCAAGTAGATAGAAGACGTGGATAGTCAGGGTGAAATGCAACTTACCTTCAGCCAGAGCCTCGACTTTCCCCGACTCCGATAGCGCCTGCGCATAGAACGCGACTGTCTTGGTCTGGTATGTCGACCCATGATCGAGTAGGTAGCTGACAAGCTTGCCGGTATCATCGATAGCGACGTTCGGCATCAATGTGCCCGGCGCATGTGGAAATTCGCGAACATATTTGCCGTCCTTCTGCTATAGACACCGTTAGTAAATCAATCAGTATTAGAATCTCTGGCAGACTCTCATTCTCATTCAGTTACGAGGGAAGAAAACAAAAAGAGATGAGCTCAACAAACCTTAACAGGTAAATACCTCCCCGGCGAAACCAGACAATTCTCGAAATAATTCGGAAACAACACCTCTGTCGCGATTCTCGCTAATTCTGGTTTCCAAGCACGAACATAATCCATAACATTGGCCTTACTCTGCCAATGAAATATGTTAGCAAACTTTCCACTCGAAAGCGCCTTTCCATTCGGAAGAGACGCCCAGATGAAATGCTCCAGTTCTGGGATCTGCGCCGCGATATCGACGATCCGTTTCCCTTGGGTTTCTTCGATTGTTGCATCCATCGATTGCCAGAAGTCGGTCATTGCGTAGATAACATTGGCGTCGGAGAAGGCGGATGCGAGGCTTTCAGCATCATTGAGGTCGGCGTATGTCACGGTTATGCCGAGTGCAGTGAGGGCTTGTGCTTTGGGGGAGGAAGGGCTGCGGGTTAGGGCGCGGACGTGGTATTTGTCGGGCTGGGAGGCTAGGGTACGCGCGATGGAACCACCCTTTCGTTGTTTTTGGGATTTTTCGTTAGATGGCGTAAAAGAAAGGACGTGTGAAGAATAGGTTGACATACTTGCATCCCGGTAGCTCCGAGGATGGTAACTGTCTTGGGAGCCATGCTTAAGAAAGGGTTTGTTAAGGTGCTGGCTGAGTGCAGAATGAACGCGGTGAACTGGATAGAATGGAGTATTAGGATTAGGAGTCCGAATGGTTCCTTTTATAGACCTTTCTAACTACAAATCCTATTCATCGCTTAAACTTGCTATCCAGGTCATGGTGGATCTGTCTTTCGATTATGAATATCATTACTAACTAGTTAGTTATAAAGATCATTATGCGCTGACTCAGCGGGAAATTGCCGGTCCTTCAACATCTAGATGTCCAGATTAGAAATCGACACGAGAATCACGGCGGAAAATGCAGATCAGAACTGCATGTCAGGCTCATAACTGGGCCTCGGGTTTCCGAAAGAACCTTGTCCTGTGAGTGACATAAGCGTATAACGAGCTGGATGAATCTATCATATCTCATTGATAAGAAACCGAATAGCCGCTAATCTACATCTAATTTGCAAAAATCAAGACTTTCTACCTGGCCACTCCCATCTCCTCCAAGACCGGTCGAATCCACAATCGATAGCCCTCATCTAACGTCCCATAGATCACCCCCACCAGGCGATCGGCCCACCCGCGCAACCAATAATTCGAATCGGACTTCTTGACAACGCGCGCGAAATGCGCAAAGATAACTAGTGCGGCGGGCTTCATTTGCCGCAATAGCGAGATATAACTTTCGTCAACATAAACCGCCCACTGAAACCCGTGACCGTCGACACCGGCGGACCAGCGTCGTAGCTCCTCGATAGCGACAAGATACGCTTGTAGGTCCCTGTCGGAGTCAGGTTCGGGATGCGTCTTGTGAAGATGCGCGGTGAAGGTATCTAGCGAGTCCATGATCACGGTGTCTGGGGTTGAAGGCTCAGTGCCGAACATGGGTCCCAGGACGCCCGAGAGAAGGGCGTCGTGGAAGGGATCGGCGATGGTACGGATCCCGCGCAAGAGAACGAGCCAGGGGGCGACTTCGTTGCTAGGTGAGAGGAGCGGATTCTCGGAGAGATAGGGGTGAACGAGGTGGAAGATGAAGATGAGCTCGGAGCAGACGTAGAGAGCGGAGCAAGTTTCGGGGGAGATGTTCAGCATGGCGAGTGTGGAGGAGCGGAGGGCGGCATCGTAGTAGGCGATAGCGTGCGTCTGATAGTCGAGGTCGGCTTCGAGTCGCGAGAGATGCAGCGCCGATATCGCCAGGATGGCACGCATCAGACAGTCGCTGGAAAAAGCCAATTTGGGCACTGTGACGCGCCAGATGGTCTTGACGTGGCCGCGCGGGGAGAGCGTGGCGTATGTCGAGGTGGTGAAATGATGCAGGAGTTGCAACTCCCTCATGGGCAGCTCATGCGTGGATGCTGGTGGCTGTGGTGAATCTGTCGTCGTCCCTGATGCCACCATGGGTGAGCCACCGTGGCCATTGGAGCATTGCGAGTCGTAGTCCGGATGACGGGTTAGATATCCGCATTTGAAGCCACGTTGGAGGCATTTGGAGCAGGACGGTTTTTGTTCATCGCACTGTGACCTGGATCAGACAATCAATGGGAATGCGAAAGCGAGATGATATTGATAGGCAGTCTGTAGCCACTAGGTACAGTACCTTGATCCTGCGCCTCTTGCAATTAGCGCATCCGGTTCGCGTCTTGCGATGCGCCCTGCGAACCTTGGATGATGTCATCTCATTTGATGGCATCTTAAGCCAAAGATCTGAACTAATTTAGCGTCAGATATGTCTTATACATCGACTCATTGAAATATGAGTTGATAACAATCAATCAGGGGGTTGACACACCCGATCTCGCATGTTGTGGATAGAGAGAGACAGAGAAGGAGAAGGAGAGAGATCAGATGCGGTTCGGACTTTGGGGATTAGGTAGCGATCGCACGTGATATAAGATCAAGGGTCGATCATTTTCTTTAGTGCTGACATTTGTGCAGCATTCCTTCCTTCTTATTCACCCGGAGGGCTTGGCCTTCGGGTAGCTGCATTGCTAGAGGTGTTCGCAAGTGTTGCCCTTCTAGGGTTAAAATTAGAACAAGAGAAAATCAAGGAAGTGTGAAAGGGCTAGAAATGCTATCATGCTAGGCAAATGTATAGAGATAAATTAGGAGTTTGTTAAGGAAATTTATATTTTTTTTTCTCCTTTGCCCGAAAAGCTGAAAACTGAAAGGAAGGAGCCAACCCAGCCACTACAGTTTATTTTCACTATGGTGGTAATGTTTCAGAAGAACAATCCAGTGCGAATAACTCCGTATTACTTCTGTACATATCAACAGTTTCGCCAACAGAGAGCAGAAAGCTTGCCGGTGTCCCTTCGGACTCGAAAAAAAAAACATAAAGATAAGATGCACATTTTGTACTCCTTTCATTGGACTATTCGGTATGAAAATCCCGATGATTCAGTGCTGGCGGGAACCCCAGGGACGCCACTGATTTGCAACTATATCCATGGGCAAAGCGCCTTGACGTACCCAGAAGGTCACTACTAGCTGATAAACTAAGTTTAAAGCAGAAGCAATTCTATCCCCAAGAGATCCACAATCAAATAGGACTCACGAATGCCGCGTAGTGTAGGCTTTTCCCGCTGAATCATCGGCTATCTTAAGTGGATTACTTCTCTTCTTTCGGAGCTCGGACTGGTGGATATCCGACCCTTGTGCCTGCTATCTATACGTCAACTACTTATTTGTGCTTGAATACTGCAGTAACCAATATTCTAAAGAAATTTTCGCCGTTCAAGCGCCGGTGCACGTTATTCAACCGAACCATGGAATCAAGAGTGATCTTTATCACAGGAGCCAACCGAGGCAAGTAATTTACCTCAATCTTAGATGGACCCTGTTTAACCCACATGGCAGGCATCGGGAAGGGCCTCACCATGGCGTATCTTGCCATCCCCAATTACACCGTTATCGCAACAGTCAGAGATGCCTCAACCTAAGAAGCATCTGAATTATCCTCACATCTCAAGGGTGATAGCTCACGGCCCATCCTTCTGCAACTTTCATTAGACAGTCCGTCAACTATTGCCCAGGCAATTTCCCAGGCTCAAGAGCAGCATCTCGTGAATCAGATCGATATCGTGATTGCCAACGCGGGAATTTGCAACCATTGTGGATCAGTTGTGGACATGGAAGATAGGGATATGACCTTCCATTTTGAGGTGAATACCTTGGGACCTTTAAGACTGTTCAGGGCAGTCATTCCGCTGCTAGAAGCCAGTAAACAACCCAAATTTGTCTACATATCCTCTGAGCTGGCAAGCACTACTGGTCTGGACAATTCGTCATCGATGACCACTGCATACGGGGTTTCTAAAGTGGCGAGTAATTACATGATCAAGAAGATCCACACAGAGCACGAAGCTTTGATCTCATTTTCCATCGATCCTGGGTCAGTATATACCAGTTCAAAGTTCCCTGTTGTTATGATCGGTTTTCTGGTTATCTTGCACCTTATTCGTGGAAATCCTTCAGACAAGTCCTGCCTTTTTAGATTCGTCCAGACCAACATGGGTAACCGTAGCGGAAGACTTGGTGGGTTAGCCAAGGCCCCAATGTCTATTGACGAGAGCGTGGAGGGAACAATAGAATAGGTAAGCAAATACAATTCAGACTTATATGAGATGTTCCACGCTGATTAGCTCCCACTGCATTTGCTCTAAAGATCGAGAGATCTACGAAAGACACGACGTCCGGTAAATTCATCCGTTTCAATGGGACAACCTTACCATGGTAGCGCAATAATCAAGTCAAAACTCGCTGGGAAAAGATATAGGATCTGCCATGATAATGTGTCTAATTCATTAGCGTTATCTCTACGAAATTTTTCTTTAGTTCCTTGTCTAATGTGGAAGGAAATGAATTGGTCCACAGAAGAGAACAATAACTATATTAACTTCAATCATTGAAATTAAACAAGAATTGGATGAATAATAGGAAATAATAAAATGAAGAGAAAAATCTAATACAATCTATCCACACATAAAGCAACATCTGTCAACTCCATCAAGAGCCCGAAAAACCACGGATATTCGCACAGAGAGCGACTCTCACGCCTTATCCATCGAACAGCAGCTATTCAACCCACGCATCAACTTCAATCTCAACATGATGCTCAGGAAATGGCAGGCTCTCGATTCCGACCATGGTGAAAAGTGGCTGGTGATTGGGGCACCACTTCTTGATATTATCCACCATTTTCTCCCTTGCTTCTTCGCGAATGCTGGATAGTCCAACGATGAATGCCCGGATCTTCACAACATGGTCCCAGCCTTGCTGTTTCGGATCGGCCGAGATATTGGCCTTGCTGAGTGTATGCAAAATGACATCGTTGATGTTAGAAAATGCCTGGGCAACTTCCTCCTCAAAGACCGGGGATGTTTTCAGCGTTTCGGGGTGAATTCCGGCTATTATATTGTCAGAAGCCAGGCGAAGTGATGTTTCTGTTTGACAAACTTACTCTGGCCAGTAGTAAATATGCGATTTCCAATGACGCAGGAGTCGCTGAATCCGTACTTCTCCCGACACTTGTCGCCGAAACCAGGAAGAGAGTAGTAATTTAAGGAGGCCATGTTGATAGACGTTAGAAAATAGAAAAGTTTCGTACATCGCCTTTGAACTAAAGGGTTTCTCTCATTTTTATAACTTCGAAATAATGTTAACCCCATTGAGGGTTGAAAAAAGCGCTTTGTCAGCGGGGTGTTGCTTAGGGCAAAGGCAGACACGGAGCCGTCGGGAGCCGTGAGCTCGCCTATGGAGTATGGCATACGATTGTCCCTGGGCCTCTTTTTTTTCTTTCTGAATAGTTCAGTTCACTGAGGGATTTGTCTCATACGAAATTGGCTAATTATTTTCGAAGTATTCTCAAGAGGCCCATAATACTATAATTAATCAACAATTATACACCATACCTGGAAAGTGAACAGCTAGCTAGAGCCTACTAACGCCAAGGTTCCGCAGAAGTGAGAATGCCCCAGCCATGGCAACTTATTCTAAACTGTGCCCACTGCCGACACTCCTACACTCCTGATCAAGCTAGATATTTGCGGGTGCGGCGGGACTGCGTGAAGTTCCCTGGGGTGGGACTCAGGACCTCACTAGATAGTAAGAATGATGCTACGCAAACTCGTAATAAGGCGGGAAAACCGTGCTGTTGTGCTTCGACTGATGTATGACAGTTTCCCCCCCTTAGACTACAATGATCAGTTCCATGGATTAAAATTTTGGGTTATTATCGTAATCTGACTAGGATTTACGCGGGATAAGATAGAATGGTATAGCTGATGCCCCGCATGCAAATCATCCGAGAATCCTTGGTGACATAGCATTTTTCGGTTACAGCGTTAAAGCAACACAGCTCGGCATGTTTGGCTGCTTTGTCAAGACCCGATAACCATGATCTTCTGAGTACAGCTCTAGGTGCTTGCACCATGAAAGCCTCTCGTAGTGATGAAATCGAGCCCGGAGAACCAAGGCTAGAATATAAATACAGCCCAAGATCAACACAAATAGACACATTCATTTTATACTTACGAGGCACCCATAATCTATCTTTCAGGTGTAATAAATTCTTTGAAAACATGAGGCTCTCCTTGAGTGTTTGTGCTATGCTGCTAGGGCTTGCAACGGCCATCTCCAACCTAGCTAATGAAGAGGGTGCCAAAATGGCGAAAAGCGTGGCCTGTCTGATACTATAAGCACACATCCAAACCACACTTGAAGACGGAGTCTTTCAAGCTGAAATTATACAAGACCAGTGATTGCGGTAGTCAGTGTAGTAATGATCGGGATTGTAAAGGAATTTGTGATGAGTGTTCCCGTGGAAGATGCAGACGCAAAGTACGGCATAATCTTGAATGAAGGGTTTTTTCTGTACTAACAACCAAAAAATAGAACGGCAATTGCGATGCTCGCTGCGACAATGATCAGCAGTGTCAACTGTGGGGAGGATTCTGTAACAATTGCGTAAGGTGAGGGGAAAATTCATCTAAATTTCAAGGACTAACAGTGTTGAGTAGAGAGAGTACGGTTGTAGGCTGTGGGGATAGGCTTACTTCATTTACTTTGGACCTTTTCCTGCATGGGCTGTATTTGTGATTAACCATTACCTACCCCGTCATCGTCTGTCTTCCTTCTTTGCCAGGTTTAGGGGTGCAGCTGTGTCAAATCACTTCGATGAGATATTTCTATCGAACCACTGCAAGCACCCCTTTAAGATATTGTCTGGAATTATCTGAGTTGAATAACCAGTGACTTAGAGTGTAACCTTGCTCTCTTTATGAGAGAGATATATGCCTCTGTCGGAATCATCCTACGCACATCTTGTAATTCGAATTGAGCAAAACATATTTGTCTCTTGTCATAGTCTGATTCAATGTTCGGTACAGGGCAACTTCACCGAATACCTGAATACGTTGCTGCCAATTCTATGGGTTGTTGGTTGCTTCTTACCTAGTGTCGGCCGCCAGTCAGTCGCGCCATGAGAGCGAAGTCCTGGCCAATTCAAAATCTATGTCTCCAAATAGAGGGACTTTTCGTTATCGTTATCCCTATTCTCAATTAGGCTAAGGGCATTGCCACTGCACTTGATGAGTATTTCTATTGCCCTGCCCAGCCGACCAGTTACTATTGGTATTTGCTAGAGTATGCATTTCATCGAGGAATTCGTCTCAAGAAACATTGACTAATTATGCTCAAGGACTTTAATACAAACCGATGAAATATAATAAAAGCTGGAAAGTGCGAGCAGCTAAGATAAACCGGAACAGTACAAAGCTTTCCAAATCAGCAGTACAAAGTCCAACATACCAATCTACTGCGCAGATCCGGGACTAATTTTCCAATCTTCCAGCCCCACTGATTTATCGGATCATTCAACCGTCGGGTATAGATTAATTCCACCTACGGAGTAGAGAATTTAAACCCCGTAACGGAACTCCCGAACCTTTTTCTGATAGTAGAACGCCGCCAAAGATCCAGTGGCAGCGAGCGCCAGAGGCATAGGAGCCCTTCCTCCCGTTTTGATGACTCTCGGGATCGCAGATCCCAGCAGGAGAACACTGTTACCGAGAGCAAGTTCGGTGCCGTAGTCCTTGTTCTCCTTGATCAAGTAGCCTGGCGATCTAATCAGTTCAGAATATCCCGTGAATGAACCGCATGGCACTTACCAGCAAACCCATAGGATACTCCGAGTCCAACACCTGCGACCAAAGACGGCACGGAGCCGGACCGCATATACCCAGCGATGCCCCCTGCGGGTACTGTTTTTTCGGTCAACGTTCAGCACTTGCGGCGCTGGTTGAGGTACTTACGAAGGGCAGCGAGAGTAAACGAGGGATGTTCAGCCATGACGAAAGAGGGTTGCTGAAAGTAGACAGAGGTAGACGTATCTGGGATGCTTGTTTTTCTCGCGGTGAAATATCGCAGATATCAGGTGATCCTCTCGGCATTCGTAAGTCCGACTGTCCGACTGTTCCGAGGGGCTAACCAGAATTGGTCAGTATCATCACGTGGATTAATTTGCCGCTGACTCATCGGGAAATCAGCAGCGAATTAACTAGTTCTCAGTGCCTGAGGCATCAGTATCTCTCTCTAGCAGAAGGTGCTGTAGGACGAGTATCATATCCAGCTGTCACCGTGTGGATATGCATAAATAGCCCTCCACTAAGAAGAACTGGTCCTTTCTGGTGCTGTGGAATATTTGCCGAACGAGCTTGTCTCTCCGCTTGACCTGCCTCTAGATTTAGTTGAAGGCGTCTATCGACATTTCAGTGATGAAAAGCGAGAAGACTTAAGCAATCAGACAAAACGAGAGAATCTTCAAGATAGATCTATGACATGATAATGTAGAAAGTCAAAATAACATAATCGTTTACGCTGAAACGCCGAGAAAACCATCTTCCTATTCATGATCTATACAACGGAGAGGCTCTTTTCCTCACCACGGGTTGAACCACGCCGGAAAAGAAAATAAGATAAAGGAAAACAGAGGGAGTTGATAGTCCTCACGCCGTCGCTTCTTCCGAGTCCGTGCCCTGAGACGTCAAAGGAATCCCCTGCGCCTCCTTCGGTCGGAGGATATTTCCGGGGTGCCAGAAATGAAAGATGGCCTGGACGACGAACATGGGCAACGTATCAAAGCAATACAAATACACCTCGTGAGTAGCCAAATACCCCTCGTTGCCTTGGATATACTCGATAATTCGAAAGATGCACCGAATAATGATCAGCGCCGCTACGAAAAACAACACCCAGATGAGGATCAGCCACTTCGGATACGGCCGCTTAAACGCCTCTGCATGCATCCTGCGCTCGAAAACGATGGTCACAACGAGGAAGAAGCCGAAGAAGACGAGCTGCACGAACAGACCCGCCACTGTGATTCCGTCGCCGATCTTAGCCATACTGCCGCCGTTGGGAGTCAGTCCGCCGCCGGTGGACTGGCCGATGATAGCGATAATGTCACCCCAGAGGAAAATTTTGGTGACTTTGCGGGCGGACACGAGCGAGAGGTCGTCGCGTCCGACGTGGTTGACGATGCGGCCGTAGGTCATGTAGATCGTGGCGGCGTAGAAGGCGGGCGGCAGCACGATGCAGATGGATTGCGCTACGAAGGGGCCGAAATTCGTCGGGTCTTCGGCGCCCATGACGCGAAATATGTAGCCGAGAGTCATCACTATTTGAACTGGTTAGATGGTATCTGTACAAGGGGGAAGTGGGGTGCGCAGCGTACTGAAGGCGCCGGTGAGCAGCGACAGGAAGTACCAGGCCCTAGCGTGCCATAGTTGCACGATATGAAAGATCGCACTGGTGCCATAGAGGGCGGTAGCAACGATGCCGATGACTTTGTTGGGGTGAAAGTGGTAGTAATTGTAGTTCACTGGAAGCGGCATTCCTGTCTATTGTCCGAACTTGGGGGAGGAGATTAGAGGAGTGGGTGAGTTGACGTCGAATTCGTGAAGATTCAAGATCAATAAGACGTTTAGAAACCGCCGAAAACCACAGAGAATGAGAAATCTAAGATGTGCGACACTTTGTCGTCGGTATAAGCCTCCAAGAAAGAGCGAGAGGGGGTGGATCTTATAAGACAGGAGCAGGCTAACAGCCAAGTCTGATGGACCCTGGGGAGGGCCAAGAGATATACGTAGCTAGCATTAAAACAAAGGATCAGATAGAGAGACCGCTATGCATATTTTTGGTAATCTGTCTGATCCTTGGAATGTACGCGTTCTGGCTCCATCGTGCGCATTTGGGCATGGCAATTGGCCAACAACCGGCGCATCCCACGGACGTGTGGTCCTGGTAGGCGATCAAGTTTCAACAAAAAAAGAAAGAGAACGTTCTCTTTGCAGGGAAATGGACGATGCGAGCAGCACTGATGTCAGATTGGGGGAGAATCTGGCACCCAAAGGACCTGCCAAGGCTGTGCTCCTCGTTTGAAGTACGACGGGCGTATAGTCGTTTAGACGCCGTTGGGATTGGTTCGGGGCCCACTTTATTTCAACGATGCCGCACCGGATCGGAGCGAAGTGTCAGACCCGATTGGAGAGATGGACACTGTTTATTTTAGCTATTCGGAGGCGGAGAGACGGTTGAGCCTATGGGGATGCTCGATCAAGACGCTGGAACGAGTCATATCTGCCTACTCGCATTCTATACGCGATCTGCATGCCCCGTATATCTAACGTGGCCTACGCCATACTCCCCTCGATCTCAATCAAATTCTCCAGGGGCATCCATCCCTCTCGGCCCAGACATAAAAACCTTTGTCTGTCCTTAACCCCACTCTATACCAAGACTCCAAGCCTTAGAAAACATCACGTTTTGATTCGAACCTCATCATCCTTTCCTCCTACCCACGTCCAACGAAGCAGAGTGGAGTCCTCTCGGTATTGCGCGGCGTGCGATCCTGATGATCGACCTACCCCGTCCCACAATGACTTCTCAGGAATGGTCAACTTTACTCTAGATAGCTAGTCTATCAAGCTCTCTGTGGAAGCCACCTACGTTTGCTTACTCTTTACTGATCTTAGCTTTTTCTATCTTAATTTGGCATATGCACTACAAAGCCCGTGGAGCGAAAAGTCCTTCTGAAACCCCAAAACTCGTTGGCTATGTTTACGATTCTGACCCACCGCTTGCATGCTGTCGAAGTAAACATGACCATGAGGACTGAAATAAGTGACGACCTTCACCTTATCGGTGTTTCTCTAGTTTAATACAGAACCGCTGAGTGATACCAATCTTCCGACTCACCAGGCCTAGCTTTGTGGTCTGCCTAATTTCGAAACATAATCAGTTTTCCCGGCAGAGACGTAATATTCCCGATCAGTGACATCTATTTACCCTTGCCAGGCCGATAGATGGGAGATTCAATGTGATACTTATTCATGAACCACCTACATCATGGCTCGAGCGAATGCTTCAACACGAAAAGAAAGACACCTTATATTCCATACTCCACCAAGAAAAAGACAGTTAAATAAAACCACTCTCCAAAACCAAAAACAAGACCCTACAACTTCATACCCGCATTCGTCTCCGCCACACTCCCCGTAACATTAGTATCCTTCATCAACCACAAAAACGCCTCCGCCACCTCCTCCGGCGTGCCGACCTTCTGCAACGGCACGCTACCTTTAATCCAATCAAAAAGCCCATCCCTGGCCTCAGGAGCCTGATGATCCCACAACTCGGTATCCACAAAACCAGGACTGACGATATTCACACGGATGGGCTTCAAATCCAACGCTAGATTCCTGGTCAATCCCTTCAGACTAGCCGCGTACGACGCAACGACCGGCCATCCGGCAATGGGCTTCTCCGACGAGGTACCCGTCGTGAGCACGATGGACGACTCGGGGCTCGGTGTCAGATACTTCGCACCGATATGCGCGACAAAGAACGGTGCGAAGAGACGCATCTGCCCCGCGGCGCGCCAGTACTCGAGCGTGATGTCCTCGTAGGGAATCAGCTTTGGGGGCTCGGTGGCTGTGAAGACGATATGGTCGAGTTTGCCGACTTTCTCGAATAGTTTGATGAGGTCGGCTTTGAGGGTGTCGTGGGCGAGATCGCAGACGACGCCATTGATGCGGGCGTTTGGGTAGGCGGATTGTAGACGCTTGACGCGGTCGTCAATGCGGCCTTGGTTGGAGGAGGAGATGGTGACGTGTGCGCCTGAGGCTAGACTCGCTTCGGCGACAGCGTAGCCCATACCAGAGGTGCCGCCGATGACGAGGACATGTTTGTTGAGGAGCTTTTGGTATTTAGGGGAGGACATGGTGATTGTAGACTGTAGGGAGATGAGATAGGGTTGGGCTCAGCACGTGAGGGAGTATTGTGAAGTACGGGGAAGATAAGAAGGTAAGGTGAACAATGGGCGAAGATAGTATGTAGTATTAATACAACCACAACAATGTAGACTTGATCGTCCACTCTATATTTAGATCAATCTAAGGGATTGAGTAATGCTTGTTAATCCAGATCTAATGGTTCCCCGGCGAGTTTCCGGGCGATCATCGTCTGCCGGAGACAAAATCTAATCGCCGCGGACTGCATCATGCATAACAGTGAACTCCCCCCGATTTATGCGAACTGAATTATGAATTCGCCGACTATTTTCTATACAGAATATGGCCTGATAATCTACATTCTAGGCTCTTGAAAGCCCAACGAATTCGAGGTTGAATGTGATGGAATTGCCGGGTGCCGGGCATCTGTCTGCCTGTATTTAACGGCTGTCCTTATAGAGTCGATCACGTAGTCCAGTAAATCAAATTGTACTTTAGGTTGCAATCAAATAAAACAAAAAAAATTGATGAAAATGGCGCTCGAATTAGCCTCCACTTCCGAGTTCCGCTTCGATCCCCAAGGAACGCCCGGCCTGCGCCACGCCAAAAACCTCACTGACGAGTCCACGCGCGAGCTGGAGCGAGTCCTCGAGGAGAACCATTCCAACCATCACATCTTCACCACGACGGAGGACCACAAGGGGGTACTCCTTCCTGTTCTACATTCCACCCCCCGACTTGGCTTGCTAAAATGCGGAATGAATGCATAGGTCTACTTCCACAACCACATCGCCCACCATGACATCACGATTTGGGCTCTCGGCGCCAATCCCTCGACCATTCGATCCCAACACGATCGGAACAGTCTCTATCAGCGACAGGCCATGGTAATACAGGACTCCGTGGTGAAGGACATGGCCGACCCGGTCGTGTACAAGCGGTGTTTGGGTCGCGAGGAGAACTTTCTGAATTACTGTGGGTTCTTCGAGGACGAAATCAACCGGATCGGATACCAGGCTGTGCTGCAAAAGTATCTGGTAGATGGATCGGAGATCGCAGATGATATGTTGTGTCGGATCTACATGGGTTTGTCGCATACCTAGACCTGCGAACAAGGTAGCATGGCCTTGAACTGACGGATGTAGGTTACGTCCATGGTATCATCCACATCGGGATGGCGCTGGAATTCAAACAGGCTCGACTCCTGGCGGAGGGGTTCGCCCAGGCTGCCGTGCACCATGACTGGTGGTATACCGAATACCTGACGCAGACAGAGGAGCTAGCTAAGAAACAGGAAGAGCCGGCATTGCCGCTCAGCGACCTGATCGACCTGGCGCGACAAGACGACGCCATACGCAACTGCTCCACATTGTACTATCACCTGCAGAAACGCAAAGTTACCGGGGAGATGTGCTTGGATCTCGAGCCGGCGCGAGACGGGGTGCTCAAGAAGGCGGGACCGGAGTTACGGCGCGTAGCGGCAAGATATCGAGTCGATCCAAATGACTTGGAGCGGGCGACGGCGGAGTTGCAGAATACTGCTGGTTTGTCTTCACCTTCTCGGCGAAAGATGAAAAATGCTAACAGGTTCCGATACAGTCTATCTGACCGCCGGCGCGCAACGCCCACCGCATATATGCGCCTTCGATTTCTTCCTCCTGCACAGCGTCACCTCCAGCATCGGACACACCATGTTCCTAGCTGAGCCCTCTCTCAGCAATGCCCAAAAAGCCCGTCTCCTCGAATACACCGGCCGGGTCTACCTCCTCTCCTACGCCGGACAAGGCAGCCCGGAGCCGCGCCTCGACTGGCTGGCGTCGCACCCGTCGCGACTGCCCAACCAAGGCTGGGACGAAGTATTCGACCGCGCCTGCTACCACGAGGATGACGGCCACATGTGCAAGTTGATCCGGTGCATGGCGCACGCGGAGGAGACCTCGCGGCCGTACGACCATCTGCCGGAATTCCGGGTGAAGCAGGGACTTTTCCTGACGGCGGGGATTGCAGCGATTGACTCGGGCACGGATAAGCCGATGGATGGGACGAAGCATTTTGACTTTATTCGCGGATCGGGGTTTAAGGAGGCTTGGGAGAGGTTTCCGTTGCGGACTGGGGGGTTGGTGAATAAGTTGTAGGCGGATGGGATGGGTGTATTTAGTGTTTTTGATATAGTTAAGGTATTGCTCTAATTTGCTTTTTATGAACCGTTACTGCAATGTTGTAGGGTAACAGATAAGATAAGTGATCGGTCAACTCTAACTTATATACTGATGATAAAAGATTCAGAATGCCCACCTTCCAATTCTTTGAACCTATCTGAAAACATGTCGAATATTGTTAACTATCCTAGAATACCTATAATTTCTTTCTAGTTCTAGGGCTTTTTTACCTTGTTGAACTTTCTTCTCATAGCATTTGGTGGCGGCGACACCCGGATAAGCTCACTTGTTAAAATGATTTTGATAGACAATTTGTTCTTCTTTTGGTCTCTATGCTATGCATATACTAAATGAGTACCGCCCGAATCAAAACTAGCATGAACAGTAAGTGTTTCATTCACTTTATGCTACGATAACCCAATGAATCAACAAAACAAAAGGTCTCATTCCTCATAACTCTAGCATAACATGACATATCATATAACCCTCTCCCCAAAATCACAGAAACTGAAACTCCAACAACGATTGCAACGCCCCAGCCGGCGCCCCAGAAGTAACGCCCACCAAACGGAATCGCTCACTCGCCTGGTTAAAGATCCGCTCAAAGTCCGCGATCGTCCGTTCACGCGCATCATGCGCCGCCAACATGAACTGATCCTCGATCCTAGTTTCAACATCAATTAGCACATAAGCATCCCCAAGCCATGAAAACCAAGCCAAGACAGCAGAACTTACAAAATCATCTTATCTGTCAAAGTATTCAACCTCTTCGCAGGCGGATCAGGCAACAACCCCTCGGAAATAAACACCCGACTACCCTCCTTCAACGCAGGCACCAACGCTTTGATAATAGCCAACGAGTCCGCATCGTTCCAATCATGTAGGATATGTCGGAAGATGTACGCGTCCGCGGCCACGGGCTGGTCCTCGAAGAAGTTATGTTTCATGAAGCTGATCTGGCTCTGGCGGGTTGCGTCGCCGTTGCTGAGAATCAGCTTGCGGCCCATGTCGAGCGCGTCGGTGTTGTTGTCTTGTACGATGAAGGTGGCGGTTGGGGCCAACGGGGCGATGGTGAGAGCTGTGTGGCCGGATGAGCCGCCGACCTGTTTTGTTGTGGGATCGTTGGTTAGTTTTCTTCCTCGTGAAGGGACACTGCTCTTCTCTTCATCATACATGAAGAGAAGGGTGGAAGAGGGGAAATACATACATCAACAATCGTCGCTCCAGCCAACCTCTCCCAATCCCAGGCGGCACGCAACCGATCCATAGACCACAGCGGCGTATTGACCCGCCCCATCAGATACTCATGATACTTACGATTGAGGTCCTTCGAGCCGGCAAAGAAATCAAACAAGTTCTGATCCGTTCGATAGGCGAGGTTGAACGCCGTGTCGGGGACCTTATCGCCAACCCCGGCGCCGTCGCGCTGGATGAGCGTGTGCTCGGGGATCTTCATGAGGATGTTTCCGAGGAACTCGGTGCCGAAGTGCACGATGTTGCGCAGATGGGGCGTTGTCGCAAGGGCGCGCGACGCCGGGGAGTGTGCGATTTCATAAGGCGCGGGCTCGGTGAAGACGCCGTTGGCGATGGCGAAGCGTGTGGCGCGGTAGAGGATGTCTTCGGGGAGGTTGGTGGCGGTGGAGAGGGCGGGGATGGAGATGGACGAGGTGAGAGGGACGTGTTGAGGGACTTCGAAGCGGGTGAGAAGGTCGATGTTGGATGTGTCTGCGGCCTGTTTGTCGTCTGTCAGTAGAGGTTGCGAGGTTGTAGTGGTGAGTTAGGGCTAGGGATGTATGTTCGTACCGACCAGGCCAGGCCGAGGACGTGGTCCGTCGGTCCCGACGCCAGGTATAGCAGGTCCTTCGCGGCCTGGATGAGTTCATTGCGAATAGCCAGGGGAGCCACGCTTGTTAACTCAGCGCTGGTGTCCAGGGTGGCCTCGAAGCCATGCTCTTTGGCGATGGCGGCCAACTGGGCCGATTTGGCCTGGATGGTGGATGCTAGAGACTCGAGCGACATATTAGACTGGCTGCAGTGATAGATCACGATCACAGTTGATCAGTCGACAGTAGAGGGTTTCTGGCTCTCGCTTACCTTTTGTTTCCTAATATGCGCTGACTCCATCATTCCACGAAATAAACCTATAACCCCCAATCGCCTATACTCCCGAAAACAGAAAAAGGCGGGAAAAAAATGCAACAAAAGTCCGATAAGCAGCACGATATCGTTAGGAAAGATGTCGCGAGAGGAGGAAATCGCCGATTGGTCGCTTATTCTTGCCCGGTGAGTTAATTTGAAACGGGGCTTAAGTTAACAAACATGACAGATCAATTATTCAGATAAGACTAATTAACCGTTGCAGTTAGAGGGCAGGGATTCCCGCCGGACTACGCCGGCGCGGGCCTTTACTACGGTGGTTCCTGTCAGCTTACGACCCTGTCCCAAGTGGCCACAAATCCTACGGTGCAGAATGTCGATCTCTTGGCGCCTGTCACCTTTATTTTCCTCTTTGGATACGGATTTCCAGGTATCGGTCTGAGGGTGTGAGGATGTACACGTCGCATTGACAACATTCTAAGCAGCATCTGATTGAACCACAAGACCGCTAAACATCCGACTCCTTCTAAACGAGGGTACAGGTAACTACAGAGAGGTCGTGTTCTCACGCCGCCGTCTCCTGCCCGTAGGCTGCATAGTTCGTGTTTTTGTATGCAAAGCTCTCGTCACCCTTCGGGACTCTCTCCGACACTAACAGCGCCTCGTGATCGCGTAGAGCCTCGCGGCATTTATCGAAGACGTTAAACCTACGCCCTATCGTCAGCAAGCCACTCATCTCGCATTCAATCTAAATGCCGCTCAGACGGGGAATTTTCCTCACCCAAAATCATGCGCTAGTCTCTCGGAAAAGGTCTGCGGCACATCTGTCATCCTTCAGTCAGCCGGGTGCAATAACTCGTACCAGTCAATGTAACGTCGAGATGAGATCGCAGCATCGCGGGCCACAGAGGGGCCCGAACGTCAGATAGATAGATAGGGTTACTTACCTGTCCCAGGAGGATCCGCATACTGGCGCAACTCCGTCTGGATCTCACCCTCCTTACCCACCCGAACGCTAGACATCAACTGCGTGCGTGAGACACGGAGCCGACGGACTTTTTCGAACAGAGCGATCCGTGTGGGGATCTCGTTGGCGGAATGCACTCCGTCGAAAAGATAGCCTAGGGCGCCGGCATCTTCGATGGCTTGGTTGGCGCCTTGACCACTGAAGGGGAGCATCTGCATGGTTTAGTATACAGTGTGTTGGGTTCCAGAGATGTGGTAGATGGGGCTGGACGAACTGGGTGTGCGGCGTCCCCGATGAGAAGGATCTTGCCCCGGTTCCAACGAGGGACGGGGGCGAAGATGTTCAACGGCCAGATTGTCACGTTAGGTGCTTTGCTGAGTGGCATTAGCTTGTTCGAGCTTGGACAACGGATAGAGAGATAGACAGATACCTGAGAACGTGCACCAAGCTGGGATGAAAATGTCCGAAACGCTGCAACATCATGGTCTTGTAGTCTGTTCTTCATTAGCCACACCTTGCACAAACCATAGATAGACCTACTCCAGCAAAGAAATAGAAAGAACATACCATCATCCTCACTCTCAAATCGATTATGAATTCCCACGAAATTCTGCATCTCCCCACTAAACCCTCATCAGCACCCCAACCCAACCCAACCCATAGAACACAAGCAGATATAAAGGAAAAGAGAAGACTCACTTCTGACAATCATACCAAACCATATGCTCCATAGTCTCCTGATCCCTCGTATTCGCCAACACAGAAGGCCCATTCCCTTTAATCTTCACGAGGTCCTGAAAGCGTTCATCCCCAATTAAATGCTCCGTCGGAATCTGGAACCGGAACGCACTGAACCCAGTCTTCGCAGGACTCTCAACCTCATCTTTCAACACAACGCTCTTGAGCACAGAATGTAGCCCATCCGCCGCAATGATCAAATCCGCCGTCACACTGGCACCGTCTTCAAAGTAAAGGATTCCGCGCTCTGCGTCGGCTGAAATCACCTTGCGGCCACGATGGATTTTCACCTCGCCTTCATGCTCAGGTTCCGTACTCACCCCCTCGTTGATGGAATCCGTAGCGATGTCAGTAGTAGTGATACTCGTATTAACGATCCTCAACAACTCCGCATGTAAATCCCTCCTCTGCATCGTATACAACGGAGCCCCGAACCGCTCTTCCGCATCATGGAGATCGACCGCCCCGACGCGCACAAACCCCGGCCCATCGCGCAACTCAAACACAGATTTCGGTGTACTGCGCGCGTTCTCGAACGAGAAGTTCAGGATACGCAGGACGCGGATACCATTTGGGGCGACGACGAGCGCGGCGCCGAGTTCGGTAGAGAAGTGCGATTTTTCGTATATCTTTTTTTTGGAGTTTTGGTTATTTTCTGCGAAGAGAAGGGGTTGTGATTAGGGATTGGGAAGAAACGGATGGTTTACCTCGACATGATGACCTGCTTTCCGGAGTGTTGCGGCGGCGGTGAGGCCGCCGATGCCTGCGCCGACGATGGCGATGTTGAGGGTCATTTTGGGGAGACGAGAGTTTTATCAGGGCTCGTAGGTTGTAAGTGAAAATAGTAGTATAGTGAGTACTATGTGCTGGTTAGAATAGGGAAGGTCGATGGCTGCGAGGTAGTCCAGGGGAATCGAGGCGTTCTTATACCCTGACGATGCTTATTCTCTTAGATTTTAATTTAGTCGCCGATTAATCTGTTGTCTCAGATCGGTGGTCTGATTCTGATTCCGTTTGCGTGTTGTGTTGGGTGGATCATGCACTTGGTGTTATTGCTTAGTTTCATCGTTCAAGATCCACCGACTGTTGCTCTAAAAACCAGACTGATACAAAAAAGTCTATCTATGAAAAGTCCACATATCACATTGAATACACTGCAAACCTTACTAGCTATTCAGGGTTTCCTAGACCCCTACTACGGTTCTATCAACTCTAATCCAGCCGGTCATGAAGAGCCTGCGCAATCGCCGATCCCACATATGTAGTCTAGAAAAAATATTGTTAGAGTTACTAAAGTAGAGATAAGGTGGGAAAACTCACGTTAGGCACCTGCATCATACTGAAATGATTCCCCGACACCGTATGAATCTTAATATCGGCTTTCGGAATCAATTCATCCCAGCCCTGCGCATCCAGCGCTCCGCCTCTCTTAACCAGCCACTCCACAATGTTCCGATCGCAATCGAGATCAAGGGAAGAAATATCCAACTCCTTCGCTAATCCATCCTTTGCCCAAATAAGCGTTGTCGGGTAGGAGTGACCACCCGGCAACGGAGCAGGAGAGTACCGTTCCACCGCTTGGATCGTGCGCTCAAAATTCTCAATCACGGCAGGACTCATAGCTCCTACCCCGGTTCCGACGATCAGATCCAAGATCTCACGTGGCATGGCATCAAATACCAATCGACAAGGCGAGTCGATCACCAAAAGCCCCGCAACCTGCTCACCCGATTCTAGCACCTGTCTCGCCGCTTCGAACGCAAACATGCCGCCGGCCGACCACCCGCCGAGAAGATACGGCCCGCGAGGCTGCCGGGATCGTATCACTTGGAGCATCTCCGCGGCGATCGCCTCAATGGTAGCTAAGTGACTGTTGGCCGGGTTTAGCAACGGGCTGTTTAATGCGCAGACGCGAGTGTTCGACATCGGTGGGATTTTGGCATACGCAGTGGCAAGCCCACTCCCGTCCGGAAACAAGAAAAGGGTTCGGTCTGCGGGGGCTGATCCGTGGAGGATGATCGAGGATGGGAAGGAGAGGGATGAAGGGCTTCTCTTACTCGGTTTCTGGGCTGCTTTGGGTGCTGGTGTGGGCTGCGGAGGCATGCCGAACTGATCGCTCAGGGCATTGTGGATGTCTTTTGTCGAAGACAAGCCGCCGAAGAAATCGGAGGGAACGTGAACACCGAGTTTCTCGTCGAGTGCGGCAGCTATTGATATGGCCATCATTGAATCCAGGCCGAGAACTGATAGATCGTCGGTTGAGATAACCTCTTGGACTTCGACGCCGATTTCGTCCGCGATGATGGTGTACACTTCCAGGAGACGGGCGTCGACTGAATGACTCCCCGGTGTCTCCTTGTATTCGCTCAGAGGCGATGGAGTAGTAGGCCCCGGGCTGACTGATCCAGGAGTCGGAGCACCGGTTGTTTGATCTCGCGTGATACTTTGCACGTAGTCCTGCAGCTCACCAAACGTGGGAAAATCAGTAAACAGTGAGCCCGGGAGCTGGATCTCGAGGGAGTCCTGAAGCTGCGACAGGATAGTCATTGAGAGAAGTGAGTCGACTCCCAATTCATTGAACCTGCTATCCTCTAAAAGCTCGTCCGTCGAGATGCCGATCTGCGACGCAATCAATCCTTTCAGTTCAGGCGTTCTCGGCTCGCTGACCTCTTTCCTGAAGCTGATGTTCTTGGACGTAATGTAATCAACATTCCTGGCCGTTAATTCCACGCGCGGCGCGTTCGGTTTTGCATTCGTCGCTCCAGATGCTCCTGGCGATGAGAGTATCTTGTCAATCAATGCGCGGGGAATTCTCTGGAACTTGACATCCCCACAACAGGCGACCATTCGATCACCCTGAAAGACCGACACGTCGCCCGCATAAACGCTCTTCCCCTCTGGGATCATCCGAACATGCGCTCGGTACGGCAGCTCTGGACGAATCTCCTCCGCGATCTGGTATGTGTTGATGCCATGAGATATGTAGGTAAATTCCCGTGGGTTGACTGTCCCGATAGCATTCATCACGAAGCCCGCGATCTGGGCAAGGTTGTCTAGCCAGAGAGGCGAGCAGAAGAATGTCCCTGCATCGCGACCTTGATACATCGACAATGAAACCACCGCCTCCAGCTTCTCTGAGTCAACAATGACTTCTTGCATGCCGTGGTACTTTTGGTCGTAGTCGACGACGGTGGAAAACAACTTATACACCATCTCGTGGGATATCCGACTCGTTGTTCCCCTGACCACACCTCTTTCGAGATCGGTCATGCGCTCCAGGATGAGATACGCGTGCTTGTTCCAAGTTCGTAGCCAGGCTTGCGCGTCATCAAACTCAACGTGGCAAGTCGCGTTGCTCTCCGCTTCCTCGGTCTGCGGGTTCCACATGCCCACTTGAATATCGACGCGACCAGTCCCTAAGTCTGCCTGGGATGTAATGCGTAGGGGCTTGGGCTGAGTTGGGCGTTCGACTGGCATCGTCACCGGCTTCATCATGTGCAGGTCGACGACGTTCATGCCAGAGGCCGGACCACTGAACTGGAATCTCTCTCGGAAGTAATTTGCCACAGTCAAGGCAATATCTGAGAACACACCCTAGAATGAAAAAAGGTCAGCTCTGTCTCGATTCAAAAGTTACAGATCCAAGTACTAACCGATGGACAAAGTGCCACACCATTCAGAACATGTCCCGCAATCAAAGCATGGAGTGCCGGTTCAGCAAGATCTGACTCAAACACGGCCGACACTCTATTATTCTTAACTTCCGTTTCCGACAGAACGTTTTGGACAGTGGTTGTTAGTCGCTTTGAAGACTGAGTCACAGAAGCGGTTTTGTCCCCATTCCGTAGCAATAGCCAGTTACCCTTGTAATCGATCCAATACTTTTTCTCGTCGAATGCGTAAGCAGGGAGGTTCAGAAGCCTCGGCTGATCCGCGAAGCTATTGTGATATTCATTCCAATCAATTTCATAGCCCTTGGTACTCAGCGAAGCGAGTGTCTTGCAGGTGGTGGTAAACGGGTCTTCCTGGCGTCGAAGGGTCGGAAGCAGACGCTCAGGGGAGCCCAGAGCTGTCCCAATCAAGCCCAGACATACTGGGTGAGGGCCTACTTCTAAGAACACAGTTTCAGGTTGAACAATTCCAGTCACTTGTCCAGCTTTCAAGGCGTCGAAGAATTTGACTGGCTCGCGAGCGTGACGGGAAAGATACGCTGGATTGAATCTGTTTGCGCTTATGATTTCTTCTCCCAATAAGGTCGAGAGGACAGGAATGCGAGGGTTGGAGAAAGTAATGTTCCGTGCTGCGGTTTCATAAGCGGATAGGATTGGCTCGACTTGCGAGGAGTGGAATGCGTATGGAATGTTGAGAATAGTGCACGTTATGCCATCTGCTTTCAGGTGCTTCTCCGTGTCCTGAATCAAGCTACCGGGCCCACTCAATACCACATCTCGGGGTCCATTAAAACACGAGACTTCTAGATCTTTCATTTGACCCTGCAGGACCTCCAGCACTCGCTCCAGTGGCAGATTGACGGCCAGCATAGCATGTGTGTCCCGGGTACAGAGAGACCCTAACAAAGTAGCGCGAGTACCAACCAGATACAGCGTATCGTTGGCGGACAGAACTCCCACTGCATACAATGCCGCGTATTCCCCAAGGCTATGGCCGATCACTGCCGAGGGCACAATGCTCCACGACGACCAAAGCTTGAAAAGAGCCATTTGAACTGCGGTATGGAAGAGGTGTGTTTGCACCGGTGAAAGATCCTTGGGGTTTCCATTGCAATTCATGACATCGTCCAGGAAAGGGGTGAATCCCTGATCTGTAGCGATGCGCTCAAAGCGAGTCAACTCCGCTCGGAAGCTTTTACTGTGCTCGAAATATTGCTTCCCAACCCCCCGGTAGAGCGCACCTTGCCCGGTGAATGCGAACACAATGTTCGGCGTCTTCGAGGACGATCCAAAGTCCTGTTTCTCAATTCTAGACCACAACTGGGTCCTGGCCTCGTCAATAGTAGAGGCCACGATAGAAACCCGGAGTGGATGCTGCACTCTTCGCGCTGTTGTCGAATAGGCCAGATCCAGCAGACTTGTCTGCGGGTTTGTATCAAGATACGAAGCCAGATTCCTTAGATTTCCGATAAGTGACGAGGCCGACTTCGCCGTGATACTAATCAGGTGCTCGCGTTCGAGTGTCTTTTTCGGGGCAGATGCTGGATAAACTCCCTCTTCAAGCAGTAAACTAGAATTAGTACCTGCCGCGCCAAAATTATTGATCAGAATCCTTCGCTTGCGACCAGCGCGAGCAGAGAACGGGACTAAGTCATCGGCAATTTTGACTCTCCGCTCATCCAATGCAGGGAATTTGCGATTCAGTCGTCCGCTTTTCACGCCGACGTGAGGGGGAATGTTCTCTTTCTGAAACAGCAGGAGTGCTTTTATCAAGGCCGAGATACCAGACGCCGATTCCCCGTGTCCGATATTTGCCTTGACCGAGCCAACATATAACGGGCTTTCTGCAGGCCGACGAGGGCTTTCTGGTGCCAAGACATTCGTAACAGAAGTCATCTCCACCGAGTCACCCAGCTGCGTCCCTGTGCCGTGAAGCTCCACATAGTCTACTTCAAACGGATGCACGGCCGCTTGGCGCAGAACCTTCCGAAACAGACTCTCTTGGGCCCCTGCATGAGGCTGCGTGATTGATGCCGCGTACGCAGAATAGTTCGATCCGCCCGCCAGAATGACGCCGAGAACATTGTCGTTGTCTGCCTGGGCGGCATCTAGTCGTTTCAGGACCACGCTAGCGACGGTCTCGCCGCGACAATAACCATCCGCGTCATCGTCGAAGGTCTTGCAGGGCCCGTTGTCGGAGGTGAAATGGCCTCGAGCAAGGCCAGCATACATATCGGGGCTGTTGAGAAGCATCATGCCGCCGACCACTGCTGTGTCGCATTCTTCGCTCCATATGGATGTGCAAGCGAGGTTGAGTGCCGTTGCACTCGATGAACAGGCCGTGTCGACACTAAGACAAGGACCTCCTAAAGAAAGGGTCAGAGAAGAAATAGGCATTCGGATTCAAGGGAAAACTCACCAAGTTGATTTGCACGCGATACGCGTCCCTAAAGTGTTGTTAGCAAGGATGTCGATTTAATCCAAGGTAAGACACATATCAAGAAAGACTTACAGGACCAAAAGCCCTCACAACGCCTGACACGTAGTATGTATCAATGTCCTGAACAATATTCACGTCCTTATAGTCATCCGTCGTCTGGCCATAAAAGCTGCCGACCCGCTCCAGGCGCGTAGACGACGTCCGACCCGGCACATAGCCCGCCATCTCCAAGGCCTCGTACGCGGTAACCAGGGCCAATCTCTGCTGTGGGTCCGTCTGCATCGCTTCTCTAGGAGACATATTGAAGAAGCGCGCATCGAACATGCCAGGGCTTTTCATGAAGTTACCGTACACCGAAGCGCCTTTGTCTTTTGAAAGATGTGTCGCCGGGTCGAATCTGTCAGATGGAATCTTCGTCGTTTTGTCAGTACTGATATTTGTGCTACTTGGGTCGCGCTCACCACTTTATGACAGTCAATACCGTCTGAGAGAAGCTTCCATAGCTCCTCCACACTATCTGCATCGGGGAATCTGCCTGCCATTCCAATGATTGCTATAGGGGTGTTTGCCGTGTCTCTACCATGGCTCTTTGGGACTTGAATGTTGGTGTCTGCCAGGGAAACCTCCACCCCAGCGCCGGCGCTAATGGCAGCGACCAATAGTTTCTGAGAGTGAATTGGTCCAAAACATTGCGTTTGCCACTTGGTGTGACCGAGGGACAGTACGCTCGAGATTCCGCCATTGATGATGCTACTCCACTCGATCGGATGAACGAGAATATCGCTCAAGACGGCGTTGAGTAAGCCTTGACGACTGTTTAGTGGGATGATTGACCCTGAACTTGTCGACAATATCGCTGGTTGATCTTTGTTACAGATCTCGGTGTTGTATACATTTCGAATTGAAGAGAAACTTTCAATCGGCCTCAGCACGTCCGCTTCGGTGTAGAGATGCGAAGCATGATACGGTGCATAGATCGCGACAGGGCGCCCGGACAAGTTTGAAGCCGATTCTTTCACACTGGCCAGGGATTGTTTCAATCTGGCCAACGTAGTCGGTGGTCCTTGGATTGTCGTAGTGTTCTCGAACCTTGCCGAGACATAAGGTTGTTTCCTGCTAGGAAGCCCCTGTTCACCAGTCAGCATTCATTGGCCCGGGTAAAGCACGCAACAACATACGAGAGCCTCCGAGGATAAATCCAGAAGTTTCTTGTCTATTATTTCGTTGTCGACCATCAAGGCCCACACAGCTCCATCAGTATCATACTCAAGGTCATCTCGGACCGTGAAAACCAAATTCCCCAAGCTCACTGCCAGTCGGACAGCCTCGACTGCCAGAGGAATGAGCTCGAATAGATTGGTGGACAAACTGATTGCCGCGGCGGATAATTGTCCCACGCAAAGCCCAATGTAAACAGAGTTTTTGGCGCTGGGATACTCGACGTGGGGATGTGTCTCGTACCAGCTATGATCATAATTAGCCACGTGTGAACCGTGCTTACAGAGCAAACCACTCACGATATAAACTGGCCCAACTGCGTGATCACTAAAAGAGCAGGAGAAAGCAGGCGAAGACTCGAAGAATTTTCATGTTGAGGATCCGTCAAGTCGTACAGCTCTATAAATCTCCGAGCATCCTGTCGTACATTCAATGGCAGCTGTTCAATGCTATCACGAAGCACAGCCTTTGACAATGTAAGAAATTTTGAGAGGAAAGAATCCCTGCGCTCGGACTCCAGCAGTTGCAAGAGAGACGAGGTGACAGGCGTTGAGTTGTCTCCAAAGAAGAGAATGGTCCCAGAACGCTCCATTGTGTTAAACAGTGGTGTTCCCTATAGGCAGGTGTTTGGGAAAGATCAGGGTAAGTGGCTTGCGGTATATACTAATCTAGTTCCCACACAGCTTTTATGGTTTTGTGTGGGCTTGAGCCGTCACTATCTCATATCAGATCGACATATTGGGGTACAGACGGGATGTACCCGATGGAGTAACACCCCCATTCACTTTTTTTTTCTTGTCACCTCTACCCTGATCCACATCAGCGTGGATCCAGGTCAGCACAACAAAGTATTCCGTAATATTATTCCGGGCGAAACCTCTTGCGCGCAATCTGAGTCAGCCAATCCTTCGGGGCTTTTTCACTTTGATTGCGCTTGTGGGGCACTAAAAGGGCGCGATGATAATCCCCGCCGTGCCAACACCGCTCGAAGCATGCCAGTCCTTAGCGCTGACGAGATAAGCGGTTAGCTTGAGTAACAAGAAAGTCGCCGGGCGAAACTAACCAAAGCCGACGGGGTACGGAGTATGCAGGAAACAGCCTCTTGCGCAAAGTTGGCGCGCATGATAGAATTCCTCACCATTCTTCCTTTGCAGGGATTTGAAACCAAAACGCGTACTATTCGAATGGATTGAGGTTCCATTGGCTGCGCAGGTACCACGTTGCAGGCAACGTCGCACTCGGTTCCCGATAATTCTCCTTCCAGGGTCCAGTTGGTTCACACGAAAATGTTGGATTGGGCGGGATAGAGTTGCATTATCCTTTCTGCAGATACGGAGATTGTGCCAACGCCACCGGCACTGAACCGGCTATTTGCTCTCAAATCGTAGCCCAAGAAAAGGTGAAAAGTATCTATCACATTTGTAGTATATATTAAAGTTCGTATATGCAGTACGGAGTATAGTTTCCAAGAAGTTCCAATCCAAAGCCGCATTCAGCGCCCACAATGTTGTATTGCTGAAAAGGATGGGACAAAATAATATAATGCATGAGCCCCAATGCCCGGTGTCGACATGTCGTTGTGACGGTGCGCGGAGTAAACAAGAGCGCGTGGGCAGAATCATTCAGGCGGACTGATCGCCAGAGGAAGCCTCTTTCTGATCACCGGACTCAGACTTGACCCTGCTGCGTTCGGCGATTTCCCTCATCCGGTCGTTCATTTCATCCAATTTGCGAGCAGATTCAGCCGCATATCGACAATGACGTCGAATTGCAGGCCCGAACTTATAGAACACCCAAGGAAATGGCAGACACGCGACCGCCAAGAAAGCCGAGATGGAGGAGGCCCAGTGAATTCCCAGGTTATTGTACATCGGTGTCGTGAAGAGGGGACTGAGACAGCAAGGGTCAGCTGGAAGAATTCTCCCAAGAGTCACGAGTGGAACTTACAAGGCCGCGCCGAAAAGGGCACGGATGACTGCGTTTGCCGCAAGCGCCGAGGCGGCGTAGAAGGTATAGCCATCCACCAAATAGTTCACCACGCTAAGGAAGATGGCAACGTGTGAGAAGCCAAAGAAAACCGTGCCAATCTGGCACACAATCCAATGGATGCTGCGGTAGTTGGTCCAAGCGAACCAAAACAGTCCAATCGGAAGGGTGACCGCCCCTACCATCGAGGGGATCAGACGCGCTTCCGGGGGAGGTCGACCGTAGGCCGTACGATCGGCGAGCTTCTTATATCGAACATCGTCCAGCGTGGAATACGCACAGCCCAGAATCTGGCCAATCATCATGCCGACAAATGACAGTCCCGAGGTGCTTTGAGGCCACTGGCGGTCTTGCTCGAACACGATCGGAAATGCAGCAAATTCCATATACATGGTGCCATAAATAATTGCCTATGAGGAAATTAATTAGCCCGAGTTAATGGCTTTTAATCGGCCAAGGGAATAACGAACCATATAGATACTCAACAGCAACACGATCGGCTCCGAAAACAGCAAGATCCACGGGCGCACCATGGTCTTGGTGAAGACGGCAGAAGCGCTCTGCTGCGAATTCTCCAGTCGACTTCGATAAATCTTTCCGGTCAACTTGCTCAATTTGGCCGCGCGTTTTTTTAAGAGAAGAGGGGAGTAGGTTTCCGGGATGAAGCAGATGCCGATCAGGAAAACAACTCCGTTGAAAATGGTTGTCAGTCCCTGCACCCATTTCCACCCTTCCGAGACGGCCAAAAAGTCGCAAGTAATAGGGCCCAGGCTAGGCCCCAAGAAAGGCGCCCCGATAAACGCAATGGTGGCTAACCCTCTGTCGCGCGCGGTATACATATCCGAGACCACGCCTCCCGCGTTGGAAACCGCCGAGGCACCAAAGGCACCGGAGAAGAAACGGAAGACCAACAACGCACCAATGTTGGGACTCGCAATCGTGACACCAGCAAAGAGCGTCGTCAGGCCATAAGTCAAGAAGTATATGACCTGGCGACCGTACAACTCTGACAGCGGCGCCCAGACCGCCGGGCCGACGGCGAACGCAAGCACAAACAACGAAGTATCCGCAATGATCAAGGTATCGCTAACGCCAAACTCCTCTTGTATCTGAGGATTGGCCGCCGAGATAGCGGACGAGGCAAAGGTGATGGACAGGAACGAGGCAGCTTGAAGCAGCGTGATCGTCCATTTCATCCATTCCTGCATCTGATGGGGATCGCGTGGATCTTCGGGAAGCCATTCCACGAGGTAGGGGCTCTCGTGCGTGCCCTCACCTTCCCATTGATGCTCCAAGACCGAGTCAGTGATGGTTGTCTGCGAGAGGACTAGTCGATGGAGGGGGATGTGTTCGCGTGGTCGTTTGGGTGTATCGGACATTTTTGTCGTCGAATTTTCAAGATCTATCGAAAGATAGGGACAAAGTTAAGAAAATCGATAAGCCCAATGAATGAACAGACACCGAGAAAAAGAATCAAGTACCTCGCACAGATAATAGTGGACTCAGAGAAGGATCATCCAAGTGATGGGTAGACCTCAAATCCGAGGCCGAATACCAGGAACAAAAAACCCGACGAGGACTAGTGAAAAAGAAATTCGATGAGGTTCTCAATGGCAGAGATAGAGGAAAAGAGCGAGTCTGGAGAGTAATGGAACAGGAGATTGAGGGGAAGCGTAGAGTCCGTTGGTAGTCTCACACACCAAGAAAACAAGAGTTTTGACCAACCGCCGAGGAAGTAAATGGAGGCGAGGGGGGAGGGAAAAATACCTCCGGAGAGTAAAAGAGACAGGGGAACTGCATGGTCGGTGATTTCTAATGCTGACCAATCTCCCCCTGGTCCTTAGAAATCAAGACTGGCAGCGAAATGCCGGCGAAAACGAGGAAGGGGGAAGGAGCGACCGGCGACAAGGGCAGAAGCAGCAGAAAAATGACACTTTTAACAGCGTATTGTGGTATAAATGACGATGCCCTGTTTTTAAGGCTATGCCAAGCTTCACGGGGTGGCGGGGCCGGGTGGATTCGGGCCAATCAGTCGATCGGGTGGACCCGCTGGCGGATCCGACCGGGAAAAGATCGTCGATGGAGCTGTCGCTGCCTGAGGATGGAACTCGGTCGTGTTACGCGGTGGGTGCGGTTGCATTGCATATTACGCCATCACTTGGGACCAGGCAGAATTGAGTAGGTGATAGTCCTCAAGTTGGGTCTAGATGATCGGCTTAATTTCAATTTCATATAATAAAAATTCACGTAGGTATCAACGGAGAAAATCGCCAGGTGCAAGAACTAGAAGTTACAAAGAGATCCAGTAGAGCAAACTCCAAACACGCATAGTCATGCCCAGGGTAAAGTAAACAATTGACGACAATAATAAGACGGTTCTACTATCTGTCCACGAGACCCCGGACGAAGCCCTCGGTTGTCGCCACTAGTCGTCGTAGGTCCTCCAGCACATAATGAATCGGTCGTTTGTCGCTGGGCCCGATATTCAAGGGCGAGCTGCCGTGGACCCGTCCGATATAATCTGCCATGGATTCGTAAACGGTCCGGATCTTGCCGAGCGTGCGTGTGATGAGCACGGTGACCAGAAAAACCTGCTCGTCTTCAGGCACTTCAAAGTTCCCCACGCGGATCGTGTTCGTGCTGAGCCCGCTCCCTCGTCGGCTTCGACTGAAGCCTGTGCTTACGGACTCAAAAGCCGCGCTTCGGTCGCTTCCAGTACTAAGCGAGTGTGGACTGCTGATAGATGAGCCGCCACTTGAGACCGACGGCGCATGTTGTCCCCAGCGACTGTGATGTGGAGGCCGTTGTAGAACCGACTGTTGGTCAGATACCAGCGCCTGCAAGCATCGCACGATGGTTCGTAAGCCCATCGCAAACATCAGCACAGCCACGCACTCCCGATCGTGTCGACAAGCCGGGCAGTTGACCAGTCGTTGCCAGAGGGCCTTGCTGTCCTGGGTCGCCTGTAGAATGGTCGGGACCGACGCTGCATAGTGGTTCCCCTCGATCTTCCTCAATTGGGAAAGAAACCGGGCATGCTGGTCGACGCATGTGCAGGTCTCGATGGGATTGTAGCTCTGCGCTTCGAGTCGTGGCCGTGGAAACACGTCGCATAGTGGCCGGGATGTATCTTGCGCAACGCGATTCCTTAACTCTACGAACGGAATGTCACCCAGTTGCGTCATGCCGGGTCCTGGGGTATCGGAATAAGGTCCTTCGTAATCCTACAAATCAATGTCCACATCACTCCTGGCGTTAGCCTTTGCGCTATTATATTGACATATTGGCCCACCGCGAACTTCGTCTGGATGCTAGTATGGAGTAGACCTTACCAGAGCAAAGATTGATGAGTCTGGCTCACAGCCCCTCATCCCGGTTTCAATCTCCAGCCTGTCAAAGATATCGCTGGGCTGCTCCCAAGAAAAGTCGGAGGTTGAGATATTACTGAGAAAGCCGTTGTCGTCGGGATCTGTTAAGAAATTCTCCTCCACCAGATCATTCCACCTTTCTAGCCCCAGTGGCGAGCATATCCCATCCGCTATAGAGATGTGCTGGTCTGATAGCATCGCCGTGACCGTCTCATTTGGGCGTGGTCCGACGCCGGCGGCAGTTTCTATGGTATTGGTGCGATTCCGATCGCTCTTCGACTTATCCAGGCTCGAACTCTTCTTATTCTTGGATCCCTTGGGCCTACCTAGCCGATTAGGTTCGCTGTATATGCAGGTTTGTCCAGATCGTCCACAGCCAGTGCAAGGCTCGCCCCCGGAGCATTTCATTTTTAACCCGTGGCATGCATCACACGCAGATCGAACCTTCTTGTGAGGTGTCTCATCCATGACTGTTTAAGCAAGCGAATGATTGATCGTCTCTGAGCAGTGGTATGTGACAATAACCTTTCCATTGATCATGTAGCGCGAGGACCAGAGGGAAGAAGAACGGGGATGGATTGATTGTCTGGAAAACCAAAACCCGAAAACCGGAGATAAAATATGGAAGTACAAAACAAGAACCAACGATCTTCTGAGGCTCTGGCCCATGTCTAGAGGAAATTTTCATTCGCAGCCATGATAAAGTACTACTGACCTACCCTTGCGTGTCGTCGACTCCTCTCGTCTGCGTATGCTGTCCATCCAGACAGATAGTGGGGGTGGGAGAGGGAGGGGAAGCAGGATGGCAAACAAGCGTTGACGAATATTTCCAGATGCAAGACTGAGCTCCGGACGACCAGAATACGAGCCACCCCTGCTCGGCTGCATTGTTGCAATCTGGGTTGCGAAAGATTCACTAATCAGCATCCTCGCGGCGGAGTGGATCGACCACTGTTTCAGCATGGAATCAACCCGGACCAGGTCGATCATCTGGTATTTATGCTGCAGATCATCGGACGGGAACGTGTGCTGTCATGATGATGAGGCAGAATGTCTCTGATGTCGGATGCCAACGGCTCGTATTGACATTGCGCGATGGCGAAGGATTGAAGGATTCGGGAGAGCAGCAGTGGCAGAAGTGGCAGCCTGCAGGCCTGCCTGCAGGCCTGCAGGCTCGCAGGCACGCAGGCATCCATCTGGGGCGCTAAGCGGCCCAGTGGCCCCTCTGATTGGCCACGGAGATGGAATGCCGTCACTCCGGGCGCCTAATTTCCCAAACGGGCAGAGCCGGTGGCGTGCTGCAAAACGGGAAAAACAAAGCGTCCTCTGGCTTCTCTCGCCGGTAAACAACAATCCATGGACCCTGGCGTGGTTCACAAGTCATTTCTCACCTCCGGGTCCTGCCGCTACGAACTCCAAACTACAGAACTACTTTACGCGAAGAAGTCTTGGACAAGATAAGTCTCTCTTGGCCGCCACTTATTTTCTTGTCTTTCTGATTACCTGGTGCTGGAAGATCGCCGCCACCTCGGCTATGCCCATTCCATCTGGTCTTCTGGACGGTCTGGACCACGCAGTGGGCGGGGGAAACTGGAAAGTGGAGCTAGGAGTAAAGGGTTTGTACTTTGGACAGTGGACAGTGTAGCACTTTACGTACGTCTTAGTGTTATTGGCTAATTTTCCTAGTACACTGTCCTCCCGACGAAAGGAGTGCCAGCAAATGGTGGAAAGTAACTCCTTGGTAGCGAAGGTGGGCCCCCATCATCCGTGCTATTGGTTTAACCTCTCTCAAAAACTACGTGCTAACTGCTAATTGAGACTGCAAAAGCATCCCGCAGCAACTATTCTTTCAACGTGCTAGTGGAAGTCACTGTGACGGGCTCGATAGTAGGTTTCAGTGTATCCTTCATAAACACACACGGTTTCACCTACAGCACACCGTTGGGGAACGGGACGCGATCTCCCTTTCGCTGTGGTTCTTCAAGAAATATACTTTCTGCAGGATTCTACTACCTCTCGGCCGCTTGATCGCGTCAGCTTAGCACACTCAGCCACCGACATACTAACCATTTTATGAATGTTTTTAAATTATTCAGGGTCCGTCATCGCCACTCGCTACGCTTCCTGGCTCAATTCTAACTGGTGGTGCTTATATTATGCTAGTTCATTATGCATTTAGTCTATCTTGCCATTGGCTGTCAACATAATTCCATAGTGCCTGCTGGACAGGTGAGACCCCCGGCAAAATCTCGGACATCGTCCGACATTGGGCAAGCAAATAGATAAGACAAGGTCTGACGACCCATATCTCACCTAATGGCGTCTCTGGGGTTATTTCCTGCTCAGAAACTCTCCGGTGGACGGGGCGCTTCTTGCTAGGAGATAAAGCTACTTGGTGTAATCTATCCTTATCGTTTCCCAGATCTGACGTGTATTCAGCAGAATGTGAGTGGATATGCACCGACGACGAACTAAAGCAGTAGGTGCTGATCAGATAGACTAAAACGAGCCAGATTGCGCGATCCATCTAATTCTGAACTTTTATGATTTGACAAAAGCCTCCGCATTTGAACGGAGCTATAAATCATTCCAGCTCCGCCATTCACTTGGGTGGCGCGAACGATCTGAAGCTTTGGTGTCAGCGTATGGACTATAGTCGAACCCAACATGATTCTAGGTACTGCGGCCCGTTTCCACATCCGTTGGTGAAGTGATCTACGAAGTAATGCACCCAATCTTCAGAAGATCCATGCCATAATCAGTACTCCTTAGCGACCTACATCTTCCTCCTTCCTCTTCGTCTCACGTACAGATAGCCGTTGCCAATCTCCTCAGCCCACCCGGGGGTTCAACAAACCCGATCCTCGCAGATCATAGGCTAATCACCACCGGTATCTGGACGCCGGATGAGCCACCTGCATGAAGCGCTGTCAGGTCAGGACGCAGTTACCAGAACAGGCAGCTGGAATATCTAGGAGAACAATTAGCTAAATCTAGTGTAAGCGGACAGATCCGCTCCTCTATCCAAGAAACAGGACTTTCCCCTGTTAGTTCTCAGTGGCGTTCCTGCTGCAGGTCGGTGGCATGCACGTCTTGCGCTTCAACTTCCCGAGTGGACTTGACTGGACTCGGGCGTCGGGGGGACTTTCAGTTCCTAGGGCCGCCTGAAAGATGCAATAGAGGCGCTTTGCTAAACGACGTGGCGTGCAGCATATCACGCCGCAAATCCTGTTCTGCTGCTCAGTTAATGCTTGTCGGTTTCATGTTCGTCGCTTACCATTTCCATCTTTGCTGCTCGACTGTAGGAATGTAGAACCACCCGGTTTAAGCGAGGCTGCTAGCTGCTTTTCGTGGTAATTTTCCCGGTTCGCATGTGATGAGCATGCAATCAAATGCAGTTGCAACAGATAGTCTTATTTCATAGTAGTCACCTGCAGTAATTAATTGATTGTCCAATCGGAATTCGTTGGTATGAACCATCGCTCGTATACGATGGAGCTATCTAGTTGTACCGAGGCCTGAGGCCGACCATGCCCAGTGGGGATTAGCTTTCCCATAGCTGGAATGCGAGGCTATAGTTAATGCATAAAGCTGGCAAAGTTACATAACCAAGCCCGGTTGGCACAATTGGTAAGCGCGTTCGGCTTTTAACCGAAAGGCTGTGGGTTCGAGCCCCACATCGGGCGTTGTTTTTTTCTTCTATTATTGTGTTATCCAACACAGTTGAGTTGGTATTCACTTTGATAATTGCACACAAGAAGAGTTTTCGATGGTACTTCGAATTACAATTTTTGGTGCTTTTCTCATCTCGGCCTCAATAAGAAGTTTCTAGAACTGGTCCAAGTCAAGAACCGACTTCAGGCGATCACTACGTAGCTATCTCGGGATGACAAGAATTGACTCATTGGTGATAGAAGGTCCTCTAGAACATCATACTCTACTTACTCTGGTCTTCATCTCTCTGTCATCATTCACCGAGGAGAGATGGTTGGGAAGGAAAGAGCCAAAGCTATGAGTACTGCGCGCACCTTCCCCAAATGCATCATGGCAACATCAACCGACATCATCTTCACCCCTGCTCTGAATAGATTTTCTAGGCTTTTTTCAAAGCCATTCTGTCATTCGACACTATGGAAAACCCTCTCGAGCACAAGATCTTGAAGAATCATCGTCTCGGCATCATTTTCATCGGCAGCGCTCTCAGCACGGGTCTGCTTGTGGGATCGTAAGGAACCCCCGATACCTTGATGATGTGCCCTACTCAAACTCCGATACAGCGGCTTTGGACTCGCAAGAAGTGGCCCCGCCGGTATTCTTCTAAACTACAGCATCATCGGTTTCGTTGCCTTCCTGGTCCTATCAGCCTTGGGGGAGATGAGTTCATTTGCGCCCATGCTAAGTCAGTGATGGCACTTCCATCGCTTTGTTGGACTTTCCCTGATCTTTGCGTATAGCTGGGGCCGGTGGCTACGCATCACGCTTTGTAGACCCTGCCCTTGGTTTCGCCACGGGGTATTGCAATGCTCTAAAATACCTTCTGTCGACACCGAATCACCTCGTCGCGGCGTCGCTAATAATGAAGGTGGCCTTCGGATCGCACCCGTCATGTCGGATTTAGCTGACATGTTTGTTTCAACAGTTCTGGGTTGGAGATACAGTCAAATCGTCCGCGATTGTCACCGTCGCCTTGATAGTGGTCTTGATAATCAACTTGATCACGCTCAAAGCCTTTGGGGAATTCCAGTTCTGGCTCGCCTTGTTGAAGATGACTCTTCTGTGCGGAACGATTGTCTTGATGCTCATCGTCGCACTGGGTGGCGGACCCAAGTAAGCTCCTTGTCCCATTTTCTACCTTGATGAGTCTAATTATCGTATAGTCGCGATCGACTTGGGTTCAGGTATTGGAAAAACCCTGGTGCCTTTGCGGATTTCGATGTCTCGGGACCTAGGGGGAGATTCTACCGGGCCTGGAGTACGATGGTGCATGCGTCAGTTCTTCGTCCCAGCACTTGTAGAGTTGACAAAGCCCCTTTGCTCATCATCACAGTGCCTATGCATTTGGTGGGACGGAACTGGTGGGAGTACCCGTCACCGAAAGAAAGAACCCAAGAACTGCGATGGCCGGGGCAGTTCGTTTGACCTTCCTCCGGATCTTCTCGATCTTCATTCTGTCAATTTTTCTCCTGGGAATGGTCGTTCCATACGACACTCCCAAGCTGGCATTTGCGTCCAGCTCCCACACCACTGCCGCTGCGTCGCCTTTCGTCGCGGCGGTTGAGCTAGCAAATATCAAGGGTCTAGACCATGTGATAAACGGTTTAATGCTGATATTCATCACAGCTACTTCCACTACCGGTCTGTTGCCATCTCTTGTTTCTTTTCACCTGCATGCTAATCTAATGCTAGACTTCTTTCTGGCCACCCGTACGATCTATGGCATCGCGCTGGACGGGAAAGCACCCGCCATTCTGACTCGAACGAATAGTCGCGGAACCCCAGTTTTGGTGGTCGTCATACCTTTTTTGTTCTCCTTGCTGGCATACCTGAGTATGAGCTCGAACACCCAAACAGTGTTCAGTTATTTGATGGAAATGATCGTTGGTTTTAGTATGACTTCCTTATGCCTCTGCCTGTCTACGCTAACCCTCGCATAGGCGTTCTCACTTGGATCTCTATCTTAACGACACACATCGCCTTCTGCAGGGCTGTCAAGATTCAAAATATTCCTTCCGACCGCTTCGCATACCGGGCGCCGTTCCGCGAATGGGGATCCATGGTCGCTTTGGTTTTTCTCTGCATCTTCAACCTGGGTAAGGGCAGCGAGCTATTCACTGGCAAGAAATTCAACTACCGGATCTTCATCGTTCAGTACATCGGCATCCCCTTCTACCTCCTGTGTGTCTTCGGTTACAAGATCCACCAGGGTACTCGCCGCGTCAGGTCCATGGAGGCCGATTTGAGCACGGGCGTTTCTACCATTCCTTACGATGAGGAGAAGGCCCGGAAGAAGGAGGAGGATAGGATCAAGCTGGCCAATGCGACAGGTCTGAAGCGGGTTTATCGGCGGTTTTTGTCATGGATTTTCTAGTTCTTCGATCGGGCGGGATCCTTTTTTGTTTCATGAGGTCTATGGATATTGAAAATAGATAGTTATTCGTCAAGTGGTATGTGATTGCTTTCATCTTTTATAATGTGTGTGGTGCTGCTCCAAAAAGTGTCCGTCGATCACACATGCGGTTGCACTCTGCGGCAGATATATAACTGCTCTCGAAATCGACAGCAACCCCACCACAACTTGATTTTCTCGATAATTTCGAGCCGAATTCAAACAATTACTTGCTATTACTCTAGAAGTCTTTTGAGAAAAAAATTTCAAATATGCCTAGACCAGACAATCCACCCGGTTCCAACCATGCCTCCCTGAACAAGATGTGTGAGCAGGTAATCATGACTTTTAGCATATAAAGTAAAACTATTCGCCTATTTTTATCCATTAGGCAAGATGGCCGAGCGGTCTAAGGCGCTAGGGTCAGGTGATCTGATCTTTCATATTCTAAAGAATATTCCTAGTCTCGAAAGGGGCGTGGGTTCGAATCCCACTCTTGTCATATCTTTTTCTTTTTTTGTTTTCTTGCCTCTTTCACGCCTGTCTTGTCTTCTTCCTGCAAATATGCTTATTTAGTATCGGAATGGAGTGGAAAAAGATGATAAAAATGTGTTGGTCGCTCCCGTTATACTTTTTTCTATACCTATACCTACCGCAAGCTCGATGAACTCTATGGATACACCACTCGACAGCACTTTACAGACCACCGTTCACTGACTGCCCTTTGATTTTCTCTCCAGCAGATTCAGCCCAAGCCAAGTCATAGCTTATGTTGACCGTTTCCATCGCTCACCTTCTCGACAGAGCGGCGATTCCGGAACCACATAAGGGTCAACACTAGCCAATTTCTCGCACGTTCCCACAAACTCGCGATCAGGATCCGAATGAGCAGATATGCCAGCTCCGCCCTGAAGCCACTGACGCTTCTGATCCTGAAACACACTGCGCAAAGCGAGGGTCGCCTCAAAGAAATCCGCGCTCGGATCAATCATAACCATAGCTCCACAGTACAGTTCTCGCGGCACGGGCTCGAATTTATGCATAGCCTCTTCCTTCGAGATACAGCGCGCTTCATCCCCTGGCACAGCAATCGCTAGTCCCGGCAGAGCGTCCCAGCCATCTTTATCCGGGAAGAGACGTCCGGAAACATGGGAGCAGAGATGCTGGACGTTTCCGCGATCCACGACCGATAGGAAGTCGCTGACAGCGATGGTTCTCGGGGAACAGACCCGCGTGAGCCGTTTCATGGAGCCTCTAATGGCGTCGACATGCTCCATCACCTCTTTGGGGTCGTTTAACAGTCCACTCGGAGCGCCGTTGGGATCTGTCGTGTTGTCGCGCAACTGCGTCCCGGCTACTGCTTCCGTACGGACATCGCGACCCGTGATCGATACGATCAACTCAGGACTAAAGCCAGTAGCTTGGAAGCCCCTATGATTGAAGGAGAAGGTTCGAGCCGGGGTATTCGAGCGACGGCCGTGCTGTAACGTGGCCAGCATGTCCACCCGGCCCGGAAGATGCACGATGCGCGACGGAACGACCTTGGCGTAGTGCCCACATTGGATCTCCGATACTGCGGTGGAAACTCGATCCTTGTACTCGGTTTCATTGACCCGGAGATCGATCATCATTTCGCAGGCGGGCTTCGTATCTTTCGCTGGACTTGCATGCGAGAGGTAGACCTTCAAGAATTTGCACAATGATCGAATCTCCTCCTCCACATGGCCAGATACGGTTATCCCATCTCGAGAAACGGCCACCTGGGTGCACGGCACCATAAGACTTAGCAGCGGCCATTGCCCAGGCACATACGGCTGACCAAAGACATGAGCCGAGTAATTGAACCCGACGTGACCAAAGATATTGCTGTGGGAGGAGTAATCCGAGATGAAGTCCCGCGCAAGGACAGGTAGAGGCTCAGTAATCGAGAAGGCCTGTTCGTCTTCATTTCGGAAAGACCGGGTCAGTTGTGCACCATTGGAGCTCACGATCAGGGAAGCGTAGCTGTCTAGCCCGATATACCATGTTTCTTCTCGTTCGTAGATATAGTGGTTCTTTGATTTTTGGTGTGATAGAATTGCGACGACAGCGTCTAATGGATCCTCAGGGGCCGGGAAAGTGATTGATTTGTTAGGCTCGATCATGTTGGTGTCAAGTAGTGGGAGGGAACTGGTAGGGACTGGGGTTACTGGAGAACGTTGTCGGGTGAAAAGTCATGAGGGTCATGGACATCCAGCAGGAGTACAGAAAATGATCAGCATAATGTGAAGCTTGGCTTGCAGATAAGTATTGATCCTACCTGCAGGACCGTACATATGTATTGTTTGTTCACGATGACGTACGCATTCATGTATGGGACACATCATCTGGACAGATTAAAGTTCATGAATGAATTGACATTTTGCATGGGAGATCTTCTCCCTTGCATCTATTGTGTCCGAAGCAAGGATACAGCGGAAGACTCAACGCCATACACAATTTACATGAAAGGATGCCCCAGCTTTCAGGCTGGACGTTTTGCTCGAGACGCATCTCCCTTGAAACCATCTCATTTATATACCAAGGATAAGAAACGGAGCCCAAAGTCATGGCAACTCATCACTAACAACAGAGATCATGACCGAATCCTCAGCACCAATGCCACCACACGACGTCCAAACAACACTCAACTTCATCGAAGAGCAGCCCGACGGCTCGCATCTCACCCCAATCTACGTCGGAAAACCCAGCTCATACATCCGCCCAACAACGGCCATTCCAGTCGTCTTCCACGACGTAAGTGGTCGCGAACAATATTACACGCTTGACAACAACGGCTTCCAATTCCACCATCACACAAGCCAGACGAAAGATCTCTGCGAAATCGATAACGACCAGATCAAGCGCCTCTACTACCCCGAAATCGACAAACTCATCAAAGACGTGTCGGTTACCCTCATCCATATTTTCAAATGACAACCCAATCAACAATGAACCCTACCTAAACATTCTCTCTAGAACCGGCGCATCACGCACCTACGTCTTCGACCACACCATCCACCGCGCAGCCAGAGATTTTCAAGGCTCCTCACCGCAAGCTCGCGGACCCATACAGCGTGTCCACATTGACCAGACCGATGCCGCAGCCAAAAAAAGGGTGGAGTACTATCTCGGGGACGAAGCTAGCGAGCTCCTGAAGTATCGGTACCAAATCATCAATGTCTGGCGGCCTCTGAAACCCATTCTTCGAGATCCGCTTGCTGTGGCCGACGCCTCAACAGTGTCCGATGACGACCTCGTCCCGATTAAAGTGATCTATCCAGACAAAGTCGGCGAGACATGCTTGGTTAAACCGAACCCGCGGATTCGGTGGTACTACCGGGACCGACAAACACCTGACATGGTGACGCTGTTCAAGTGTTTCGAGTCGAAGACAGATGGGCGAGCACGAAGGGTGCCGCATTCAGCGTTTGCGATTCCAGGCACCGAAGAAGAGGAGGCGAGAGAGAGTATTGAGGTTCGAGCTCTTGTTTTCTATTCGACGAACGAGGAGTAGATCGACCAATAGGACTAGTTATATACAAAATCTTCCCTCTAATCCAAACCATAGCAGTGAACAAGTCGTTTGGTAATGGTGCCGTCATAATGTATATCGCTTTTCTCGTCCAGTCGATAACCGCCTCGTCGCGGTAGTACAACCGTCCAAATATACCAGTAAATCATGCCCGCGAAAAGTCTAACTCGGTTAGCCTGACAAAATCCTGAACCTACTACGTAGACAGAGACGATGAGACTGGTCATGAGGCCGATCATGAACGTAGAATTCAAAATCCAATACCTGCATAGAATTAGATTGACTTCAGCTAAGGATCCGCCAGTAATTCTTTCGCAGATGCTCGATCTTCTGGTTGCCATTGGAGCATCTCCCGCATGAAGCAGGGAAACAAATTTTGTTGTGTATTCTCCAGATTTTCTTCCAGCTTCTCCAGAGACATAGAGGGAATTTCGGCAGTGTCTATCCAGTTGCCTGAATTGTATGTCAGTTCCGTCCACACATGGCAAGAACAAGAACAGATAACCTTACCGTCAGGATCAAAGAATTTCATCGCATATTCGCTATTATGAAGCATTTCCTTAGGTGGCGCGCCCATGAATGCTATAACCCCAGCGAGATGGTGGCTGTCCGAGACGTTCCTGTTTGGATCGCGGGCGTAAAAGAGATGCTTTCTCTCAAAAAGATCCCAGGCCTATGTGGCTAGTTAATTTTTGGCACCAGGCAAGTTGGTTTGTGGGCGTGCATACAAGGACCCCTAAATTCCAAATGTCAATTTTTTCACTCCATGGCATTCGCAATACAACCTCCGGAGCCCGATAGACTAAAGGTTGGACATCTTCCCACTGTTTTCCTAGGCTCGAGATAAAGCGAGCTTCCCCGAAGTCCGACAAGATGGGTCGGCCATGTACCTTTGGGGTCCCCAGATCGTGGGAGGCATATATCACCCGATCTCCAATGATTTTGCGAGGGCTAGGGTTGGATCTCTCGGCTTCTTCGAAATCGACGAGAATTGACTCATACTCCACACTTAGCATGATATTATTTTCTTGGAGGTCTGTGGTTAAGACAATAGGAAATTCTAGGACAATGCAGAGTTTCACAAGCAAGATTAGGCAGTATGAACAATCTTAGCTTCTGTGTAAAGAAAGTCGAGAGCAAGAAGTATGTGAATTAAAGTTGGTTTAAGTAAATCTTCTGGAAGCACCTTGTCTCTAGTCCGATTGCGCAGCTCGCATAGACTCATAGCTAGCGGAGGATGCACAAGGCATTGATAGGAGTAGGTGTTATCCGCAAGGCTGACTTGAAAGTCGGCCAAAGCGCGTCACACCAGCAAAGATCCTGTAAGGCTTGAGTTAACATTGCTGAGATGTTTGTACACTTCCTTTTCCCTTCTCCTATGGCTGGAGTCATGTTCGTACATTTTCAATGTAACGTAGGCATGTTGCCTACCACCTTTCAGCTCTCAATCTCAATGTTACTGGAATTGGAACTTACTGTAGACCTCTACAGAGCCACACCGTGGAATAGCCCCCATATCCAAGTTTTCTAACTACCTGGTACCTTGAGCGGAATACATCACCGATCTTTACAGGGTAGAAATGCTCGGGCGTGTATCGTAGACTTTCCTCTATTTTACCGTGTGGGTCGAGAATGATGCCTGCCTGAGAAAAACTCCTAGCAGGAGAAGACAGCCATCAAAAACGAACTGTTTTAGTCAATGCGCGAGGCGTTGCATGATCGGGTTGAAATAGTACGATTTTGGGGAGGGAGGGAAGGAAGGGGAGTAGAGAAGCATAAAAAATAAACAAAACAAAAAACATACAACAGCAGGGATTCGCTGGTGGTCACCCACCCAACTACTAACCTGCCGGCGTGTGGCTTAAGTACGGCTGAGCGGACGGGAAGCCCTGTTCTCCACACCCTGTGGTCGTATGTACCAGTTGCTCCATAGATATGGAATGTATAGTGCAATTTGATTAGTATTGTCGCTCCATGCTGAGCTTGAACAAAACATGTTTACTGGTCTTTGCCAATCTTACGTTCTTCTCAAAGTCTTCAACAGGCCTCAAGTCCTAGTCCAGCCAAAAATTCATATATTTTAATTTATTCTAATCAACACATTCTCCTTACAGCGTTGGCAAGCCTCTGCCATGATATTAATCCGGTCTCGCATTGTGCGCCCACTATGACCGAGTATAGTTAAAGAGGGAGCTTGGATCGCTTTCAAGCTGTCTTCTAACGCAGAAGAGAATCTAGATTGTCTTAGAGTTTGGTAACAATTGTAGTCCTGTATGAATACGTTGGTAGTCTTACAGGGTCCCGCTGATACTCGAACTGAGTAAACAGCGGAAAATTAATCCGTAAGTAGGTGAATGAGCTACTGCTTAGATAAAACGACAAAATTAAGTTAGTTTTCCATTGCCAGCGGAAAGAAACACGCGAATGAAGCAAAAGTGACGCTGAGAATCGGGTCTCCTCGCTTCTGGCCCAAAAGTTAGTCATTGAATGACCCATACAAGTGCCGACTTCAATCCTAAGAGTACCCTTGGAAATCTTCCGCCTCCGCTAGCATCTCACTGTCACCAGAACCATTGCACCCTATGATTACCTACCACATGCCTCAACAAAATTATTCCAATATCGGTTCCGGTTTTTGTGGAACTGTATGGGCCAGAAGCCTTCATGGCCCCGCCATCAAACGTGAAGATGAGGGACCAAACTGATCACTCGCAAATGATTTCAGAATGCATCAACGCGCGCTGGATGCCTTCAAACAATTAGTACTCACCAAAAGCTGTCGTGGACATCCTCATGTCTGTATCCTACAGTGCTACCAATTCATAAAACCAGAAGACACAACCTGGTGGACGGAGAATCTCCCTTTATTTCCACCTAGCTATTTACCCTGCAACGCCATCTGCTCTGAGCGCATACCTCCGTTCCCCGAAGATACCAGGGGCTTTCTGGTGGAGAAGTACTGTCAGTTCCCTCCAGAAACTAGCCTCCAGATTATGGCCAGCTCGAGTAACTAGGCCTGTTTGATTAGGTCCTATATCGGCCGTCAACGTACCTACCGAACGGCGATGAATGTGCGCTCCAGGTTCCGAGGCTTCTCTCTACAAAACTTCCCGCTACATGTAGACCAAATGACTGAGTTGGGGATATCACCCTACGATATCGATTGTTACACCGCTATGATGGGCGAAGCCTTGGCCACACTGCACTGGCTTGGGGGGATGGATGGCAACGACGTGGAGTTTGTTTTGGCTCCCCCACCTAGAAGAGATGAGACCAATGATAAGGAATACATGACGATCACCAATGTCTTAGGGAAGCACACTATGTGGATGCTAGATTTGATCTCTGCCGTTCTCTCTCTATGGACTTGGAGGCTGTCCAGCAAGCCGTCAATGCATTCTTCAAGAATGATCCCTTCACTCCACGGCCGAATACGAAACACTGGACAGCGTTTCGCAGCCAGTACTTGTACTTACAGACTGCTAGAGACGTAGTATGTGAATTATCGGAGAGCAAGGCGGACTTAGAGGATCGGGTTTATCTCTCTAACCAGTTCATCGAACTTGTTGAGCGGCAAAAGTAGATTTCTCATAGCACATTCAATGAATGGGAAACTTGCTCGCAATTCACTATTCTTCGCCAAACCTGACTCTCTTGGTTTTCTCTACAGTCCATCCTCATTTTCCCTTCTACAATTCCATTACAACCTCTCTCATATTGTTCTATCACCGTAGCCTTCGTTTGCGCCACCGGCATAATGGCCAGCCGCCGAGAGAATCAAAGGATAGATACATTATGGACAAGTTCCTTAGTCGACGCCATGGAGCAGGCCCTCCGGCTGGAAGACAAGCTGCAGAATCTAGAGAACGAATCCCCTCAAGCACGCCCTAGGAGAATTCTTTCAACGAAATCCGCGATATCAATCTCCTCGTCTTTGCAATCTCTACCCCAGCAGTTTATCCAGGGTGTTATGGCAAATTATCCCCGCCAACACAAACAATACCTCGAACACCTGCAGTCCCAACGCAAGGGCCAGGCGCAAGCTCGGCAAGTAGACCACCTGCACCGCATCATCAACAACTACAACGATCACAGTCTACTCAGATTGCCCCCAGACATCATCAAGGAAGACAGCGGGGTGGTAGGGGTTCGGCACGCGGCTCATTATCGACAGGTCCTGCCACCGTGGGAAACAGGGGCGAGGAAGAAGAAGCCCAACGTCGTCGCCGAGGGTCTGGTCAAGGAACTCGCGGGGGCCGTGGTCGAGGAAACTTTATCTATCAAGAGAATTGGCGTGGCTAGTGTATCTTAAGGAAGACGTTAGATCGAACAAGGTATCAAGAAGGGATTAAAACAGATTCCACGGCCTCAGGGTGTCGGCGGGGGTGACACACGATCTGGAGAGAGGGAGATGGTGCCATTTGTTCGATAGGTCGGGATGATTGGCGGTTGGCTTGCGCAGACGATGGGCTTTTGGGATTTGGTTCAGTGAGTTTCTGTATCCTGTGGAATTTGCTGACTCACAGAAAGATTATAGTTTTTAGAATATCAGTAGAATGTCAGTAGAATGTCTATTTTTACAAGAAACAAACCGTATATTTAACCCTCTACAGACCTCTACAGGATTGGTGGGGAATCCATATAAGGTAGTATTTAAGTATACTGCGGATCTTCCTTATTAAAAGCCAATTGATAAGAGCTATTAATATGAAGTGTAGGACTTCTGTATTTGCTTGATTGCCAAGTCTCCGTCCCGCCGTTAGAAACTCCAAGCGGTGGAAGATTCCAACTGTTAATGAAGCTGAAACGATGCTATCAAAGAGCCAAGACGCTACCGCGAGACATAACAAATGAGTGTCTGGCACTGTCAGAGAAAAACACCGTGAAGAATAATGTCAAACGCAGATCACAGTGGTGATCTGTTTCATTCCGAGTCACTCCTTTATTTAGAATTGGAGGACTATCTCCATATAAATAGGGATGAATGTACCGTGGAAATATTCAGGGTATCCTGAAAGTCCTATCCTCCCCATTCTCCACACCCGTTCATGAACTTGGTGATCTTCTAATAATCGACCCCTTCCCTACAATACATCGCCAGCCAGGACATCATGCATTTCCTCCGTTTCGTCAGCGTGATCGCCGCTGCATCAACAGCCTCCGCTGCCCTGACCTGGTCACTCGACAAAGCCTCCAATCCCTCTTCCGATGAAACAGAAGCCTACGGTCTGATCGAGGCCGCCATGGAAGCCGCAGTGGCCCGACACTCTCGCCTCGGCGACGCCAGCAAAGATATTCACGTCTCTTACGCGCCCGGTGTTCCGACCGCGGAGGCCAACTACGACGGCACGCTTCGATTCGGTTCGGACCGCGCCTACATGAACGAGCGGACGGCTCTGCATGAAATCTCGCACACCCTTGGTGTGGGCCAGACGGAAGCCTTCGATACGCTTTGCGCGGATAATAACTGGCCGACGGCGACGCCTTTGCTGCAGTCGTGGGATGGCGACGATGCGAAAATCAGCTGCGGTGGGAGTCACTTCTGGCCGTATGGCTTGAACTATGATAATGAATGGAGCGATGAGAATGGCGATCGTCATGTGCAGATTGTCAATGCCATGCTTGCGGATGGTATGTAAGAGGTTTTATATCTATGTGGGTCGAGTTTGTTGGTGGATTGGTTGTCAAATGTGCGGTGAGGTCGGCTCCACTCTTTTGTATAGGAAGACAATATGTACATATTACTGTGAGGTGATTTTTGCGCTATATGTGGCACTCAGAAGTACAATTGACCAGCGAATATTCATAATTGGAGACATCTATCTGAGCTGAAACAAACCGTGTTTCATCGTTACTCATATAAACGGGTCTTTGAGTATGATCGCGGAGAACATGCAATGAGATACAGAGAGACAGAAAAGAAGGGATATGGAACCTCAAACACCTCTCTAGATGCGCGGTCCACCCATCGTGCCAAAGCCTCCAATTTCCCACCACTGAAACGGATCCCCGGGGTTAATCAGCCCAGTAGGGAAATCGAGTAGGCTGAGATCACCCAGCGCCGGCGTAGGCAGGCACCCGGGAGGATAGGCCGCGTTCAAGCTTGCCTCCGCCGCCGCCACTGCAATGTTACTATCCGCAACAACCCCGGCTATCGGCCAGCCACCGCTGCTTTCCGGAGGTTCCCCTGCGCCGGCGCCTCACCGTATGAAGAATGCAAGGAGGCGTTAAGGACGAGCTAGAGGGATCGGGCATATCGCATTGCCATGTGCAAGTCATCCGGGGATCCGTTGCGGATCGCAGTGATGAAGTCCCGCAAGAGGCAGATGTTCTCGTGAGACTCGGCTACGTGGGGATTGGCCATCAGCGTACTTTATAGGAATGGGGGGTTGGTTTTTGGCAGTACCCGCGCACAAAACTGTCGGGGACACGCGGATTGCTTGCTCCTTTGTGTGGCAGCCGGGTTCAAATGATTCAGATGATTCGACTCACCTTCAGTAAGTGTAGACCGGCAGCGACTATGAACAGCCAGCACCGTACCGGGAGATAGCGCATCATTCGGGACCGTCCGATCTTGTTGACTGTCATGGACAACATTATATGGCTGGCCTGAGATTCTCGACTGATAAGCTGCAGAAGTGATGCCCGCTTTTGTTCATTCAAGTCCTCGGCCGACATGTTGTGAAGGATGTAGCTCGCCAGCGCGAAGCTGTACATCACGGAGTAATGATATTCGAGGTCCATGCACATGCTGAGTAGACTGAACTTACCTGGTCTCTCCGCGTCAGTAACCTTTGGGATATATAGGTATGGAAGGGTGACAATATACATGACTTCAGGCTGACATGTTGTCGCCGCCAGCGACTCAACGCTCGGTCAATATGTTCCAGCTCCGGTAGGATATGCTCATCAACCGCGTTAGGCCCGCCCGTCTTCCGAAGCGACTGAACCCAAACCCTCGCCTTCTTGGTCTCGGTGAAGAGGCCGTAATAGCTATCCCAGATGGCGCTGTCGGGCAGCAGACTGGAAAACATGGTCGACAGCCGGTTGCGCACCGTCTGTGCGGGTCCCTCGGGGACGAGAGAGCCTAGTCCGAGGCGCATCGTGAGATGTTCCTCAGCGAGGTAGATGAAGACACAGAGGAGCCGACTCCACTGTTGTCTCAGAGTCTCTTTGGCGGGAGACGGTGCGGACGCGCAACTGCGCTGGTCGGAGTCGAAGTAGCCGCCTTCCTGGGCTAGGGTGATGGCGCTGCCCTGAAACATCCTGTTATTCGCGTCGAAGTCTAATTAATCTACCAAGTCTACAGGTATCATTCCTCAAAAGAGCACAGTAAGGATGGGAGCACTAACCAGGACATGCGATTACTTCTATATGCCGGAGAGACGATATCAAGGCAGAAGGATTCACACCGCGGATATTCCGTTTCGAGTATTATCCGAGTAGAGTAGAATGCAGGCATTATTAGCGTTCTTTCACAATGCTAAGGGGAAAAGAGCATAGACCAGATTCACCGGCTATACAACACCTCTTAGCCGGTACATCCGTTCTCTCTTTGACCAGAGTGAATTGTGGGGTCTATATTCGGCGCCGATATCGATGAACGACCATGTACATACGTATATAAGAAAGCCTGAGAACGCACTGGAGAGACAATAAGTCAATCAAACTGTGCTCAACCGTTGAAAACTATTCATACCGTACTTTCCCAACCTTTGAACTATCAACCAATCTGATTCCACCACCATGCCTGTCGCCAAATGCTGCTGTCCCTGACCTGTCCGGCCGCTCAAGGCGAGCCGGAACCGAAGCGCGCCGCCGAGATTGCCTCGCGCGCGAACGACTGGCTCGCCTCCGAGGTCAAACGCAATCCGCAGCGATTCGGTGCCTTGGCCGCTCTCTCCATGCACAGCGGCGCAGAGGCGGCCAGGGCGAGAACCAGACGGCGTATGGCGCCCGACGGCACCTCATCGGAGGAGCCGTTCAATTCCAACTGGACCTCAGCTTCCATATCTACGCGCTTTGCTCGAGCGGTATCTTTGATAAGTTCCCCAAGGTGCAAATTCTCGCTGTTCATCTCAGCGAAACGTAAGGCCCCCTTGTTCCCTTTCCGAGCTGGAAACCGACTCATCTTCGTTCTTAAGTGCTCCTTTCAACCTCTGGCGCGCCTGCCACTGGTATAATAAGCCGGTCAAACAGGATACCCGACCGTCGAAGGAGGTCTATGCCTACTACTTCAAGCACAATGTCTCCATCACACGTCGGGGTTCTACTCGACCCCGGGTCTCAAGTTCTGCGTCGAGCAGCTTGGATTGGAGAGGTGCTTGTTCGCAATAGGTATTGATCTCTCCCTGCATCTTTCTGTTAGAGTTGGAAGAAAGTGAGCCCCCGGCTAATTTGATTAAATTATAGATTACCCATATGACACGGTCCAGGAAGCCCAGGACTGGTGGAAGACCGTAGACCTACCCGACGCGCAAAAGAAGCTCGTTGCCCGAGAGAACGCCATAAAGTTGTTCAAGCTGCCGCTTGAGCTTTAGGTGTCTGTTGCGAGCGTGAACTGTAATGGGAAAGGCTTGGTTGAACAAGGATGATGATTTTATTGTTGCATCGGGCAGAGACTGAGTGGTATGGAGTTGGAGCCTACTCTACCTATCCTCCAGAAGATAAGAGCTAGAACAATTCTGTCGAAAGAGCACAAATTAGACATAATCAAGCCCTCGTTCCCTCTCCTACTATACAGCATTCGGATTATTGAAAAATTAGGAAATCTACCTATATCTGGCACCTCATTGGGGCTTGTCTAGTAGCGAGAAGCGGAAACCCCGAGTATTGATTGGAAGTATCTGCAAGGTATGTATAGGAGTGTTCACTCCCTGCTAAAAGCGAATACTGTGTGCCGCGATCATAGCTCGGTTTAGAGTCGGCCACCATAATTGTGAAATTCGTCATAATAAAGCCAAAAAATAACGGTGGAGAAAATTTATTAAATTAGACGGTACAAATTGATTTCGAATAATACTGTGCCAAACGTGTTGCGTCAGGATAAATGTCTAGCCAGCCCCATAGATCGCATTTCGCGCAGAACTACCGCTGTTAGGGCTCTGTCGGCCGACAATCGAAATACCCGGCGGTGATTGACGGCATCGGAAATTGACGAAACGGGTTATCCGAAGGACTCGGGTAATGAAATCCGTGCCCACTTCAGTCACAAAGGCCCGGTTCTCCATATAAGGTCTTCGATTCTACCGCCACTTCGCTGCACAACGAGTCAAATGTGACGAGCATGATGGACGGGAAATCTATCACTTCCGAGCCCGTTGCAGTTTCGGAAATTAAAGCCATTGCGAAAACAAAACTCCAAGGGCAAGTATGGGATTACTATACCACCGGTGCCGACGAGGAAGAGACCGTGAAACGAAACGAAGAAATCTACCAGAGGTGAGCGATGGCCACGAATTACATCATGAATGACTTCACAGCTAACGAGTCGTTCGCCTAGACTGCTAATTAGACCCTTTATCCTCCGACGTGTCGCCCACGTTGGCACCTCCACCACAGTCTTCGGCAAGCGGTACAACATTCCCATCGCCATAGCTCCAAGTGCCTATCAGAAGCTTGTTGGAAATGGTGGCGAGACGGACATTGCGAGAGCCAGCGTCGCGCTCGGCACAAACTTCACCCTTTCGTCCAACTCGACGGTCTCTATGGAAGATGTTATGGCCGCTCTGCCGCCAAAGTCTGATCCCGACAGTCCACGCCCGTGGTTTCAGCTGTATTTTCTCCGGTCCAGAGACATTACGGCCAAGCTGATCCGCAGAGCTGAGACGGCAGGCTACGAAGCGCTCGTTCTCACTGTGGACACGCCTATTCTGGGAAATCGATATCACCAACGGAAGGAGCCTCTCGTGTTGCCGGAAGAGCTCAAGATGGCAAATATTGAGTCCTTTAAGGCGGGTGGTGTTTCCAAGGCAAGCCTGTTATTGAATGCAAAGACGGCTGCGGAATATAACGCTCTTCTGGCGGAACACTCCGACGTACTAGTAGACGCGGATCTAGAGTGGCACGAGGTCATTCCCTGGTTACGATCTCAGACACAGATGAAGATCATCCTAAAGGGTGTCTTGACGGCCGAAGATGCGGCGCGATCGGTTGAGGCGGGGGTTGACGCGATCGTCGTGTCAAATCATGGAGGTCGGCAGCTGGACAGCATCCCGTCGACCCTGGAGGCGCTCCCGGAAATTGTCGGCGCGATTAAGGGTAGGATTCCGATTATATTTGATGGTGGCATTAGCAAAGGGACGGACGTATTCAAGGCGCTTGCTCTGGGGGCCGACCTGTGCTTGATAGGTCGCACGGCCCTTTGGGGCCTGGCATATGATGGCCAGAAGGGAGTAGAGACCGTGCTGCATATACTTGAAAGAGAACTTTCGAGGGCCATGGCGCTGGCTGGGGCCAAGTCAGTGCACGAGATTTCCAGGCTCATGTTGGGTGTGCCGCGAAGGGATGGATTTGGGCTAGCAAGGCTTTAACTTTATGATTTGCACTACTAAGTTCCTAATACAATAGAAGTCCCATGATCACTTGCTCATTCACTTTCTCCCTCTACCAGAACAACACATGGTTGCAATTGATGGAACTATACACGTTAAAATCTAAGGAATCTCTGGAACCTAGTGGAGAGATAGCGCCAAGTGTTGTCTCACCGTTGCACCGAAGGGGTAAATAAATAGAGAATATAAAAGAACAACCGTAAGAGGAAAAAGTAGAGCTTAGAGACCGTCAATGTTTACGTCTACGTCTCAAGTTATGGAGGACAGAAATCATGTTCGATTGTTGGAATATGCTGCTAGATCATCTAATGTATGAACGCCTGCAGCACTCGCTAGCTCACTCTTGTCCTCTGACGTGCTGTATTCCCTAGACAGCTAAACACGGTTGAACTGCCAGCCGACGACATTACAGGATATAGCGGAAATGGTGATTCTAGAGGTTTCGTCAGCCATGTCGCGCATCCCAAGGCGAACAAAAAAAAGGTATTCTTACCGTTCTGTCAGTGAAGTAATCGTCGTAGGCATTGTCGAAGCTCTCTTCGGCACCCTCCTTATCGCGTTTCCTGTTTGAGTATACGCACTGGCAGAGGTATAGGATGGCGAGTACAATAGCAGCCATAGATTTAATGACAACCACCGTGAAGCTTTCCTGATATCGGGGTGCATACTCATCCTTGAAGAGCAAAGGTCCCACAACGTTCCATGCTCAACCGTGTTAGCTAACCGGGAGAACAATAGGAAGAAAAGCGAGATGAGTATACTCACCAAAACAGTAGCCGATGAACGTCCCTGCCGACCCCAGGGAATTGACAGTGGGAAGAAAGCAGTAGTCGGGGACCATGGCCATTAGGACAACACCTAGCCCGGCAACTAGCCAATATCCTGCCAGCAGATCCATCCAGTGGCTTTGAAAGTCTGCTGCAACCAACCAGCAACTGTTTCCCGGGTGTTATAAAGATCCTGTCTAGCCAGGAAGCTCTGGGAGCCGCACAGGCTATATTTCCCGGACAGGTTATCTGGTCCGACGGTTCAAGGTCAGAAAACGGCAGAACAGGTGCAGGGATTGCATGGAAAATCCCGGAAGGGGCATGGAAGACCCGAATATTCCCACTGGGAAAGGGATACGAGGTCTTCCATGCGGAACTTCTGGGAGTAGTGCGGGCCCTACAGATGGCAAAGAAGGTGGGAAGCCAGGGACCAGTAACTATCCTATTGGACTCCCATTCCGCCATTGCCAGGCTGCAGCATACTCAAACAGGGCCAGGACAGGCCCTAGTAGTGCAGGCACACATGGCCGCCCAGGAACTGCAAGCCCAGGGTCGCGAACCCACTATACAATGGGTCCCAGGGCATGCAGGGGTAGAAGGAATTGAAAGAGCTGACCAGGCAGCAAAGCTGGCCACTAGCAGACCTCCAGGAGCTGGTCCAAGGGAGATCTCTTTGGCCTTTGCCCGCAGAGCCCGGACAGAGGATATTCAGGCACAAAGACAAGAATGGCTCACCAAGGAGCTCAACCGGCGATCCCAACAGGCCCGACGGTCCTACAGGCCACATAGAACCTGGAAGATTAATCCATCAGCTGAGGTAGCTTTCAAACACCTGTCAAGCCGCTTTTTTCAGTTGAAGTCGGAGCATGCAGCTGTTGGGGTATATTTATACCGGATCAAGGCCCAAGATAACATGAGATGTCAAGGATGCGGAGCATTGAAGGAGACTGTGCATTACCTTCTTTTTGAATGTCGGCAATGGCGACACCAGCGGGACAAGCTCTACAAGGATCTTGAGAAAGTTGGAGTTATGAAACCTACTGCTGCAGAGGACTGCCCAGAAGAAGGAAGACTTCTCGGGGAGCCTAAGGCTACTGGGGCTCTACTATAATTCCTGGCCAGCACCAGTGTAGCTCTTCCTCGGGGGCATCTGCAGCGGGAGGCAGAAAGAGTCCAGATAGGCAATGGATGGGGACTGGAAGCATTGGAGGAAGCAGACAGGACAGGAGAAGGGTAGCTGGGAGGGTAGCCTAAGCGGACTCTTAACTTAGGCTGCACCTACCCCCTGCTCCAAAAACACAAGGAGAACACTCACCAGAGGCTTGAAGGCCCTGCGCATACAGGCGGCTTGGGGCGAGGAAAAGGATTAGAATGATCATGGAAGGGGGCATACCCCAGGAACACATAGGGACAAGAGGCAGCGAGCTGCTGGCCTCGAGTTCATGGAATATCGTCTGTCATAGCTTTAGGGCTCGATACGGACAATAAACTTGATTAAATAATTAAATAATATGGTTATTTCCAGCTACCATCTTCCTCTCAACTAGTTTTCCGTATGCGCGTTTAAGCGGCCCAAAAACACCAACACCAAGTGACTGAAAAAGATGAGATGTATGCGGAGGCATACAAAGACCAGATAATTGCATTCTCTTTGCAGAAATCATCAAAATCTGCAGTTTGGTGACTTGAATGGCCATCAAGAATGAGCAACCGCCTCGCACCAGTTGAATGTGATTTAGAAAAAGGATTAAACACTTGCTTCAGCCACTTAAGGCCTATTTCATCCGTTGTCCAGCCATTAGCGCTATTGGTGAGCTTCCAATCTTGAGGAAGATTAGACTCTTGATACCAAGGAGCTTGGTGTTTTTTTCCTTTCAAGATAACCACTGGTGGTATATGAATTCCCTTAGAGCTCACACATTCAATGATTGTCCCATTTACGATTCCCTTGGATAAATCTGCGAGGACTCTCACTGCGCTCTATTACAGTAATAACCTTCGACGTTGTACAGAGCCCCATTGCAAAGCCAGTTTCATCAAAATTCCAGATATCATCCTCATGTTTGCCGTGTTCTTGAATCGCTTCTTGTACAGTCGCAAGCCATAGTCTTATAACCTTTGGATCCTCCTACTTTGCACGCTGGTATGTTATTCTTCGATTATATCGTGTACGCAGTGCTGGATGGCGTTTGATAAAAGTAAATGCCCAGTTGACACCTATAGTTGCAGTAGGATCTTGTGTGCGCTTGTAAAGTGATATCGGCGCTATTCCACGCAGAAACTCCGGTAGAATTTAAAAGCCACGTCTATCTGCATCTAGTAGGTGCTTGGAAAGGACTTCTTCTTTAAGGGCTGTTAATTTATGGTTGTTGGCGCGTATTTCTGATCGTGATTGAAATCCATTAAGCCGCTTCCAAAAGGTAGTCTTAGGCACCCCAAATATTGCAGCAGCCTTTGATTTTGATTGTATTTTTATTTTTATTTTTATACGCGTCAATAGCCATTTGAATTCAGGCTTTTTGAGGAGGCATTTTTGTGTAATAATGATAAAAGAATGGCGTGTTGAAAGTGATCAGTTGAGGATTTTCGGAGGCTGCGGAAACGTTCCCCTCGCCCGTGGATTACGTTAGTTCAGGAACTTAGTTACCGTACTTGATCACCTGACGCACGCCCCCACCTGACGCACGAAAATTGATTCTACACCGATATTTTGAACATCTTTAAACCTCAATATCTTCATCAATATGGCTCCTATTGATGAGGCGATTGCAGAATTAAACTCCCTGAAGCTTGAAGATAGACCTACACTTACTTTTATTGCGAAAAAGTATGGAATTCATAGGTCAACGCTATCAAGAAGATTCCGCGGCGTTCAGCATTCCAAAGATGAGCAATACCAGGAGCAACGATTGCTTAATGATCGGCAAGTGAAAGTGCTTATTTCTCATATCAATCGATTGAGCGAAAAAGGCCTTTATATATCATTTGAAATGCTGCGAAATCTAGCTCACGAGATCTCTGGTAATCGTCCTGGAAAACAGTGGCCGAGCCGCTTTATAAAGCGATATAGTGATGATCTTATTTCTCGCTACACAACTGGGATCGATTCCTCTCGAAAAAAGGCTGATTCTGCGCTGAATTACGCATTATATTTTGAACTTTTGACTCGCAAGATTTCGGAATACGATATACAGCAGGAAGATATCTATAATATGGATGAGAAAGGCTTCCTAATCGGAATGCTCAGTAAAGCGAAGAGAATCTTCTCTAAGCCATTATACGAGAAGAATGGAATGAAGCAACGGCTTCAGGATGGAAATCGAGAATGGATTACAACGCTCGCCTGTATCTGCGCGGATGGGACCTCGCTATCTCCGGGTCTTATATACCAAGCTGCCTCTTCAAAACTTCAAGATTCCTGGCTGCAGGACTTCGATCATTCTCTTCATCCTTGCTTCTTTGCATCCTCGCCTTCAGGATGGACGAATGACGAGCTAGGATACGCGTGGCTGCGAGATGTATTCGATCGAGAGACAAAAGCGAAGGCGAGGCGGCGTTGGAGGCTTCTCATTCTTGACGGCCACGGATCTCATGTCAATATGAAGTTTTTCGAATACTGTAAGGCAAATAAGATCCTTCTAATGACTTATCCGCCTCATTCTACGCATTCGCTCCAGCCACTTGACGTTGGAATCTTCGGGCCTCTCTCTACAGCGTATAGCGAGAGATTAGAACGATTTCTGCATGAATCTCAAGGTCTTTGTCATATCACAAAAAGAGACTTTTTTCGCCTCTTTTGGCCGTCATGGGAGAGCGCTTTATCTGCTGAGAATATCGCTTCTTCGTGGAAATCGGTAGGTGTTTGGCCGTTGAATCCTGATATCGTCCTATCGCGATTTAATCGGAATGACGATAATCGGCCTTCATCTAGTGAGTCATCTCGCTCAGTGCTTGGCGCAGAGGATTGGAGGAAGATTGAGAGGCTTCTTAAGCACGCAGTTGTTGACTTATACGATCAAAAGGCCAAAAAATTAAGTTCTACGATGCATTGTCTGTCTACAGAGAATGTCCTCTTAAAACTACGCTGCCAGGGCCTTGAAGAGGCCCTTCTTCAAGAGAAAAAGAAGCGTCAGCGAGGAAAGCCTCTTTTATCTGAATTACGGGCCCCTGAGGACGGCTACGCGGTGTTTTACTCTCCTAAGAAGATTCAGCAAGCTCGTGACCTTCAAGCAGAAAGAGATGAGGCTATACAGCTCGCCAAAGCTTCAAAAGAAGAGGAAAAGCTTCGTAAACAGCAAGAGAAGCAAGATCAAAGGCTTTTGATTGAAGAACGTAAACGAATCCGCGCTTTAAATCGAGAAACGCGGGTTCGTGAGGCAGAGGCAAAAAAGCAGAAAAAGCGGGATGATCAGCTCGCTAAGCAAGCTGATATACAGCTTCAAAATGACATCAATATCGCTCAAACAGGCAAGAATAAGGTCCCTACAACCCCAAAAGGAAAGAAATCGAGTGGTAGAGCTGCTGCAGAACCTGAAGTTGTTGATGAGCCCCCCCCCAACGCTTAATCGCCGCGGTAGGCAGATCCGCCTCCCTGAGCGCTTTCGGCAATAAAGAATATTGTAAATAGCTTCATTATAATGCATTTATTCAACATTCTAAAAATCCCTATATAATACTAAATGTGTGTGGCTCTAGAGCTTCATTTCTATGTAGGTGCTGAGGTAAAATTCGTGCGTCAGGTGGGGGCGTGCGTCAGGTGATCAAGTACGGTACCTAACTAATCGGAGTGATTAGTGATCACTCCGAACGAAACTGGTGGAATGCTCTTCTAATCTTGAATTACGACTCTAAACTCTTTAGACCTTGACTACTGAGTCTTTCAATGGATCGCGGACTCGTCTCCGTCCATGTCGCATTCTTTTGTCAATCACTCGCATCATGGACCAGTCATGGCCAATCCAGATGTTTGGCGACCTGCCTTTCTTCCGCTGGGAAGATCTTAACAGCGATGCCCCGACATCCGCCCCAAATTACCCATCCATACAGGAGTCGGCAGCAGGTAGTGATATCCCCTCCCTGCTTCCGACCCGCTCCTGTCCTCCGCCCGAATCATATGTCTCCCAACCCCCTCAAAGTCAGGAATCCCGCCTGCCTAGTGACGCAGTCCCCTCGGATCATTCTCGCCGACAGAAGACCGCCAAAGCCGCTCTCTCCAAATCGACACCTCGGCGGTCCATGAGATCCCCGGGACGGCAATCCAAGACGGGTGCTGCGGCGATTCAAGAACCTGGCAATCCGCGCAAACATGTTACAAAGTCATCAAATGTCGCTCCTGATGAGGTTTGTAGTATACAGGTCGACCCCATAACAGTACCGTATATGCATTAACCAAAGGACAGCGCCGCCGCACGCAGCTGCGCCTCGCACAGCGTGCGTATCGGACTCGCCAGCAAGCGACCGTGAAAGGCCTCGAAACCCGCATCTCCCGGTTGGAGACCGTCCTGGAAAGCATGAGCTCGACGGTTCTATCGTTCAGCGCGGAATTACTTGAATCCGGGGTGCTGGAGTCGTATTCTGGACTGACTGAGAGTCTGCGCGATGCGATCAAGACCGTTCTTTCACTAGCATCCGAGCCCAGCCCTGGCAGCAGGGCTCCGATTCCCGACGAGCCTTCACAATCCGAGGAAGCCGAAGACCCGTCCCCTTCTTCAGATCTTGCACCGACAACGGGCTCGCTACCCAGTATCTCCTTCCCTGCGGCTTTGGGTCACGACCCGCCTCACTTCACGGATGCGGATGACTTCCGCACAGTCAGCTCACCAGCAACCGCTAGCATAGGGTTATCCGAATTTATTCACAGACTCCATGTTGAAGCCCTCTACCAGTCATACCTCGCTTTATCCAACCATGCCATTGGACTGCATCAGCTCCAAAGGCCGTTTGGGTTCGCGCTCAGTATGCTGGATCGCGGGACCCTGGCGTCTTATTTCAAAGCGGAACTCGACGCCATAGCCAACCGGAAGCCACTGGACGGGTGGGAGGCAGTGCCTCTGTTCAGCTTGGGCGGTGCGGGGACGCATTATCCCCGCCCGGCCTCGATGCAAACCCGAACTGAGGGCCGCCCATCGTATTCCCACCGACGACGGGGCACGCGGGCAGTGTCTCTAGCCCGCGTCGCGCCTGATGTCCTCGGGACCTTCGAAGGGACCTGGTTTGACTTGCATGATCTGGAAGGATTTCTGCTGGAGAAAGATGTGCTTCTGCTTCTGCCGACGGATGATCCCAGTACGGGCTCATCATCAACGCAAACCAGCATCAACGTCGCTCGTCTTATACCAGGTATTCTCGGTGCCCCTGCTGATATCAGCGGACAGATGATTCTGACTCTCCATAGCATTAATCAGTAGGGGAGTGTGCCTGGGGAACACTCCTGGCTTTCAACGCGGGGACGTGGAGAAAGCCCTGCATTTGGCCACGATCTCCTGAAATTCCATGATCACGACCGGCTCCTTTGCATTTGACTTTACGTCTCCATGGCCAGGTGCATGCCAGTATTGCAGTGGTATTTCAGACACCCCAGAAGATTGAAGCCATCGGCAAGCCATTGCCGGTCATCTTTAATATGATGGTGTGTTTTGTACCAGCGAGCTCAATGCCACTGAGACAGGCGTTTTCAATAGTAATCTTGCAATGCCATGCTCAAAGGGATACCGTATCCTCGAAGTCCAACAGGTGGAGGGCTACCACTGTAGAGAAGCTACTTGCTGTGAATGCATTTGCGGGACTGACTCGACCTAGGAAAGCAAGATGGTAGAAAATCTCGCCATGCAATGACATGCATCTTAGCCTAATAATAGCAGGTGCGATGAGGAATTCATCCGGAACCAGCCATTTGGTCTCGAAGTAACCTTTTCAAATCAAGTTCGACTGTTACTCTATGAAGTGTCTAAAGCAAGCTATCGTCTCTCGGTCCGATATGCCTAGAAGGCACAATCAACAGTTTCTTGCCCTGGGGATAGAATATCAATAACTCGGGTGCCGGTACGCTACGTTAGCACAAGTGCATCCATTTTCTGGGAGATGTTGCAAGCTAATAGAACACGATAGGTTATAGTATGCCTTTGCTGGACTCGGACATTGCCGTGGCGAAGAAAGTATTCGACGTAAACGTCTTTGCGGTTGTGGCCGTGACCCAAGCGTTTGCGCCGCTTCTGATCGCTTCGAAAGGGACCGTCATCAATATTGGATCTGTGCTTGGCAAAATGCCGCTTCCTTGGCAGGGCTTTTACAAGGCTAGCAAAGCTGCCGTCGCTCTGATCACCGATCAGATGCCCATTGAGCTCTCCACGTGGGGAGTCGATGCAATCCTTGTCAACACCGGCGCGATAAAGACGCATTTTTTTGACAATCTGGCCAGCCAACCAGTGTTGCCAGAAGATTCGCGTTATTATCCGGCCAAGGGTGTGATTGAGCCAGCATTGGCCGGAAGCGAGGTTGAGGGAAATGCTATACAGGTAGATTCGTATGCTGAGATTGTGGTCAATAACGCGATCCGATCCGATCCCAAAAAGCATCTCTGATCGGGAGGAGGCGCTCTGCTGACTCGGTTACTTTGAACATTTGGTTAGTCAACCGTTTGGGTATTATCCCCTTGCCCACCAGAACTAGGATTCTTTTCTTGTGGCTGACTGATACACAGGACGTTGTGATGCCTCGTGTCGCTAAATTACCGGACATAAAGAATATGACCTATGCTTCCGAGAAGGCGGAACAAGGTCGCCAATAGGCAAGATAGTGAAAATGGCTCTAGTATACTTGTGAATTCAACAACTGTCTTGTTTGTTCAGCAACCATCAGAGTCAGGGATAGGTTGTGCATATGGGAGGCAGATTTTCTCATTCTTTTGAACATTCGGGGGCCGGAAACTAGGATGCCTCCAAGTTGTTTGCCATGGACGGTAGTAAACCGGATATTTGGCGGGCCCTTGAGCGAAACGTAGTCATAAACGAAAAGGGCATTTCCAAACCTCATTATTGGATGGAATCGAAATGATTACTTTACAGTCCGACGGTGGCGAATACTCATCCTCGCCGCGCTGAACCTCATCCAATCCCTCCTCCTCAAACTTAACATAATCAGAAATTTCTCGGCTTCTGGGGGATTTGGGTATGGGGTATGATAAACCTTCGCCTCTACGATCGCCGAAGCCAATATTTAACTGCCACGCAATGATCCCCGTGCAGACCCCCGCGTTCGCAGTTCATATCTTCTGACCTCGTCAGCACTTCCTCCTCAGCGTGACTCGATCCTTTCTGAGGTCTAGATTCGACTCGCCATAAAAGCGATCGTGACAGATCGGTCCCTGCCCCGGCGGTTACTGAGCATGGCTCTAGGCAGTGCGTTGGAGCAGGGCGCGCAAGTCAAAGATGTCTCGATCCCAGCAATCAAGGACAACGAAGTTTTGTCATTAGGTCATCGTACCAACAAAATTCACTAAGCACATCAGGACCGTGCCATCGACCTAAAAAGCCATCGGTCAGTAAAGCGGTTTACACGCACGAAGAGTCTTCTTACAAACTTTGCCCCCCTGTCCCGTGGTACTTCCAATCAACATGGTTCAGTCGGGTCGCTAGGAAGAAAAAGTATTCCCTCATGCTGAGGGTGTTGGCGTCGGCGAAATCTTTCCCCAGCATTCCACGGTGAAAATGCTGCTGTTGGGTGTAACCATCTATGTGATCGATCCGTCGAAACGTAATTGACCATTTTTGATGATTCTATACATCGAGAAGAATTTAAGATCGCCTTTTTTTTTTGGATGGATTGACGGGGGCACCGCTTCATGGCGTCGAGGTGGCCGTTAAGGAGATTAAATAGGCGGATATATCCTCGTTTGCCCGAGTAAAGAACTGCGGTTAGAGTGTTGGTACCAGTCATTGACACATTTGTCTTGGCCGTCTGCGAGATACAGGGCGTTTCTGGCCGTAGAATCGAGAGCAATCAATCACAATCTCGCGGATATGGACCATGTTGAAGTGGGTATTCCGCACACCAAATTTGAACGGGCCCGAAACTAGTCGAGAGGTTTCACGAAAATGGCTTCAGTATGGGTGCAGGCAAATCCATACCTGCACCCATACTCATCTTAATACTTTGCCACTTAACCTGGACAGTATAAGAACAAGTAGTGATGGTATAATCCACGATATTGACTTACCCAGGACTCTACGTTCACCCGGCTGTAGGGACGTATTCCACTCGGCGTTGACCTCGCCGACCAATCTGGTCTGGCCGTTGGTGGTAGTATCGGGGTATATACCCCTCTGAATGAACCCCCGGTCGACCTATCCCCCTATCTTGCTTGCATTCCCTAAGCCCGAAGCGGCTTTCCCACCTGCTCCAAGGGCTGAGGGTTCCCAACGACTCGTTTGGATACCCCTCTCACCTCCTCGAAAAATCCCGACCACTGCACGATCTGATCCGGGAAAAGAGTCCACGGCCTCTCCGCCTTTCGAGTCTTCTTGGTGGGACGGAGGAGCATGTCGTCTAGACGACCATATAAGATGGCCTTTTTCTCTGGGTTGTTCATTTTGATGGAGTAAGGCAAACGTATGTAAAGTAATTCAAAGAGATGGTCAGGTAAGCGACTGAGACCTGAAGATGAAGACGTTTGGGAATGGAGTATTTCACTATTGGCAATTCATTAGGTGGTTTACATATCTTTCAGTGAACTTCCGACACTTTCGAACATATTCAATTTCCCTTTGGTATTCCATTTACTTTATCTACTACATATCAATCCACATCTTTCCCACAATATATTCCACTACTTTCTTGTTTCTGATACATACGACCACAGGGTGTGGAGAACAGGGCTTCCCGTCCGCTCAGCCGTACTTAAGCCACACGCCGGCAGGTTAGTAGTTGGGTGGGTGACCACCAGCGAATCCCTGCTGTTGTATGTTTTTGTTTTGGTTTTTTTTTTTCGCTTCCTTACAGCCCTGTCTGTCTCTCTGTCTTCAGGCCCTTCGCCACCCCTTGACCTGAAGCTCACCTGGAGCCGCCTGAACTACCTGAAAGTTCTCTATTCTGCACCCAGCCCGTTTCACGATCCCTGAACGGTTGACGTGTCCTCTTGGCCAAACCATGACCAGTCAAATAATACTCATATATTAGTGTCAACAAATAATATCTTCGGTATATATCAGTAATGCAGTGGTTTAATGAACAAAAGGATGAGGGTCTGCATTGGAAAACTATCTACGTATCCTAGCTACTAAATATCCTCAATCTTAAGCATTCTAACGCGTATAGCAATAAACAATGTCCAAAATCGGTAAAGGAGTGTTGCGATAATGGCTGATTAATACGGAATCCTCCCTAGCGTTGAGATAGCGGTCATTTTGGTTGACAATCAGTCTCTAAATATGGCTGGGAATTCTCTTTTCATCCTGTATAGGTATCGTCTAGAATAATGAAGGGAGAATGAACTGAGGACATCTGCTATCATTACACATGTGTGTATTCATTTAGCCCGACCCCTTGCCATAGATGATATGTAGTCTACCACAACTATATCTAACCTTGTATCCCTAGTTACAGTGTTCTACTACATCTCGATAAATTTTTGATAGTATTTATATTGGTTTGTCCACTCCATCGGTATTTCGCTGAATGGTAATACAGATCTCGCCCAGAGCGGCTGCTAATAGGCTTTCTGTTAGGGCGTCAAATAACTGCACCGGTAAGATTTATATTGAGAAAAGAAGAAATTGCTCCGGAATCCCGATTTTTACTGCCATAATGTCCGAGCGGTCGTAGCGGATCTGACGATACGATAAAGTTAAGATTTTCTTATTTATGTAGAGAAGGCTGCGATATTGCGTTGACTCCTCTATATGTTGGACGGTAGAGCTGCCATGCGCTGTAATTGTCATAAGTGCGGTATACCTTGACTGGTGCTCCCTGGATCAGCAAGATATCGATACTTTTGGTTTGGTGATCATTGATCAGGCCCTCTATCCCTGGCCTGGATTTTATGCTGTTCAAACTGTAGCAGAAGAAGATTTTTTGATATAATTATAAAAAATCTATATCAATCGATACTTAGTACCTTCAATTCTAGCGAGATTTTCGAACACTTACCCAACAATAAAGTCAAGAGAGCTTTGGTAGCCTTCAAGATGGCCAGTGTTCTGGTGTAAAATTGCCTCCCAACGCTCTAAAATATATGCCCCAAGTGCGTCATGTACAAGACGGGATCTGTACTTCCTAGACAGCGGGCCCTCACCATCCGCTCCTATTGACGGCAGACAGCCAGCGTCAGTGGCAGAGCAAGGGGATAAGAGATCAGCCGAGGATGGACTGGAGGGGCCGAACAAGAGGTCAAAGTTTCAGGACTCATGAATGAGAGTTAATATTGTTTTAGTCCTACAGGTTCCTTCATCTTCCATTCTTCTCATGATAAACGAGTGCCCTGTCGCTCCTCACTCTCGCATTTAGGGACCGAGGTCGCTATCTTCTACCCATGAGCCGTTTCCACCAATTCGTCGGGCCTGACCTTGCCTTACGCTTATTGTCATTTATTTGGTGTGTAGGCGCCGGCGAGTGTGTCAGTTTACTTGAAGCTGCATGATCTGTAGAAGATGGCGTAAACGAAGCTGGAACAGATGAGGACGGTCGGTCCGGCCCATGGGAAACAGATTGGTCCGGCATTGGTAGAGTCGACTCGTCCGATACGAACCAGGCTGGTTGATTCGGTACAGACAGCTGACTTTGTACTCTAAGTAACTGACGAATCTGGCGCTCTACCTCAAAGTCGGTATCTCGCTTCCAGTATCCTGCTCGGTTGAGCCGCAGTAAAACGTTACCAGGTAAAATGAATTCTTCCCAGTTCTTTCGCCCTGCGGGGATAATGTTAAAATCCGCACCCAGGTCAAGAAGCAGATTCATGATGGAAAGCATGCCTTTTTTCGCGGCGTAATAGAGCGCAGTCCTCCTTCCAGAGTTTATACCATTGATATCGTGACCTAATTTGAACAGAAGTTTGATCATAGGGACGTTACTCATGGTAACAGCTTGGCGAAGGTTTGTGACGGCCCGGCAACAGCGCGACTTGCTGAACGCTAAGTTGCCGGTAGCTTTCTGGGAATGGCTTGTCGGCCCGCGATCCAGCCAATCTTCTACAGTGAGGCCGCTTTCGTCGAATAGGGTCTGAGGCTCTACAATGACGGATTTGTCGAGCAGAATATGGACAGTGGCTAGATCTTAACTGTAAATAGCCAAATGAAGAATAGACCAGCTGTGGTTGTCCTGCTGAGAGGCAGTAGACCGTATACGGTCGTCTTCTAAGAGGCACTGGATGACCTGGGAGTGCCCCATAAAGGCAGCGTAGTATAGTGCAGTCCAGCCGTGGCATGTTAACTTGAGTGGGTCGGCTCGCTGTAGGAGGAGCAAGCTCACAATAGAAATATACCCTCCATTTGCAGCACAATGCAACGGTAACGTACCGTAAGAGCTGACAGCATTGGGGTTGGTACTAACGTTCAGCAACGAACGCACAATCTCCAGATAGCCTTCCTCTGCTGCCCAATGTATCGCAGACTAACTATCGCGATCACGATGATTCGGATCCTTACCACATTCGAGGAGTAATCGAACAGTGGTAAGGTTACCAGAAGCTGTCGCTTCTTCCAAAGGCAGAGTCTGCTGCGTATTTCGGGTATCAGATATGCTGGCACGGTATTTAACAAGCATTTCAGCAGTCGGAAACTATCCTAGACTAGCTGCCCAAGCGAGCGCAGACTTTCCATCCGCGCTGAATGAATTGACATCAGTGTCCATGAACACCAGTCCCGCAGTGGCGGCTTCTTGCCCGGCCACCACAGCCCAGAGAAACGGGAAAAATCCAGAGTTATCAATGATATGTAAATCCGCGCCGTGTTTGAGCAAGACTTTCATGCAGTCGATGAAGCCTTTCTCCGCAGCGTAATGCAGGGGCGTTTGGCCATTTTTGTCCCTAAAATTTGTACCTGCGCCGCTCTGAAGTAAGGACTCAACCAAGCCTAGATCGCCGGCCTGTACCGCGTGGTAAAGCTTCGTCATTCCTAAGTCGTCTTTGTCCTCTAGGGCGAGTTCTGTCACTCGTGCAGTGATATCCTTTTCGCGGTATCGCAAATTGCCATCTGCAGCTTCAGTGTTATCGTCTTGGAAATCCAGGTTCTCGTCGTTCAGTACGCTATTCATAGATGCACGTGTAATTCCAAAAGCCCCGCCCGGCCCATTATCTTCTAACGGTTGGTCGCTATCGACGTTTTCCGCGTTCTCGTTATTATTGCTGGGAAGCTTTTACAGTGTAAGCAGAGCAATTTCCTTTATATAACCGGCGACGTGTGACTGGAGAGCCTCACTCGAAAAGACAGTGCAGGAATCGGCCTTTCCCGAGGGTTGAAAATCGTCGCCAAATGGACACTCCAGTACCTTATCGAGAACTGGCCTTCGTGCGGCGTTGCTGAGGGTCCCAGCGTGCGCTTCAGGCACGCCGTGCTTCTTGATAGAATGCTCCTGGTACTGGATCTCTTGGTCAAAGACGATCGGATTGTGAGAAGGGGCCCTGCACTCCCATATATGCCCGTGAGCAGTCTGCATGTGGCTGGCCCAGGTTTTCGATGTTTCGAATGTGAGCGGACCGGTCCCGTGCCCGTGATGATCTCCTTCCAGGCAGTGTGAAAAAACACAAATAAAAGGTTCCAGGTCTCCAATGACATAATTTCTGGTACATATTAGCTACTTGTTCCCATAAAACGACAGGAATGATCTGCTTACTGCTACAGCAATGGCCTTGTACTGTTCTTGAACTCAACAATGATGCCGCAGTATGGACACTGCTGCGTCGGCGGTATCGGAAGAAACGACAACTTGTCGTTCACGAGAACAGATTTAGCCCGGGGAACCTCAGTTGTGGACTTAACGTAGAGGTCCGCAACGGCAGTTTGTCGAGCAGTAGTCGCATTCGTTGCTAGCGCTGGCAAAAAGGCCGGCATCGTGTTGGTCCTCGCAGACTTTAGTAGCGCGCTCGGCGCAAACCGTACAGCCGGCGCACTCACCGTCATTTTAGAGAGTTGAACAACGGCTGGATTCTTTTCCGAGCTCTGAATACTTAGATCAATGCGCCTTCTATGGGAGCGCTGATAATATAGCCGTCGAAGTCGTAGCGCGTTAACTTCGACTAATGCTGAGCGGAGCGTCTCTGGCGCCTCCGAGAATCGGAATTTAATATAGCATTTGGTATAGAGTCGCAACTTATCTATTGCCTTGTTTGCCTCTTCGTCGTCTCTGTACCTTTCGATCTTGCGAGCCCGGTTGGCTTTAGCGGATTTTTGAACAGTATTAGATAGACGGAAGAGCCGCGTCAATGTTCCGCTGATTGTCTCGGTAATCTTCAGAGTGTTCTTTTCTGCTGGATTGATATCGCTCTCTGAATCGCTTGTGTTGTCGTCGGCTCTCCTTGTAAATCCAGAATTGCCATATATTAAAATGCGTTATCTTTTTCTGCTCGAGATTTGTGGTGGTCGGTCGTCAATTGGCTTCACTGTTGTCAAGACTCTCATTAGTCTTGATCTTCAAACCATCCGAATGTGGTACGGAAAGTACTCACAGGACATCAAGGTATCGTAAATAATATCCAGGAACTGATGTATGATATCCGCAGCTACGAGACTGAATCGGAGTCTGTAGTTTAGCGAGACATTGGGCGGCCCGTAAACATCCATGTTTGATGCCTATAGAGTAAAGCGTGCCAGCTGGTCGTCTATAATAGTAGGGTCTGGCACGATTTCCGGCATGACCATGTACTTGTGGAAAAGAGACTGGCATTGTGTCGCATGGTCTGCGATAGTCAGGCTAAGATTATCTTGGAGGAAGACATCTTCTATAGACTCGTCTCCCGCGCACTCGAGACTTTCCATGGTGAGGGGGCGCAGTGCGGGCGGTCGCGAGACCTTCTGGATACGGCAAAGATCCAGGAAGCCGATCCTGGTCTCTGTATGAAAAGGACGTTCTAAAGGTCCTAGGTAAGCAAATCGCGACTGAGGCTATAAAATTGTCGCACAAACTGAAAGTGTCAGATAATGTGAAAGCAGCATGTGTCTTCGGTACTGCCAAGTTATAAGTCTAAAATGCGTTAACCGCTCGCAATCAGAGGCCCGGCTGCGCTACCTGGCGGCCAGATCAACATGCACGACTCGATTGGCCTGCGAGCTTGGCCGGTCTGGCAGTGTGACAGAAGAAATGAGAAGCAAGGGCCCGTGCGGGATTTCGACCCAGGGGGCACGTGGGTGGGTGATTGTTACAAACCGGGCAGCGCCTAACGTAATCCGACACTGAACTGCCGGGACAGCGAACCGCCGCTTTCCTATATAACTACCACTATAGGAATTGCAACTTCATCATTTTATTCAAAATAGATATATAGATTGGATACTCTTCTTCTTTTCTATGTAAAGACTATAAACTACCTAAGAATAATTATATAACGTAATCGGCAGCCGAGCGAGCCACGTAAGCGAGCGAGCCAGCCGTTCCGCAGCCAATGCAGCCCATATACAATTCTGATTTACATACAAAAAAGTGGTGTTTTTGAGGCTTCAAAACACTGTTCAAATCACCCGTTTTCAGGAAGTTACCCGATTTGGGTACCGTGTACGTATATGGCCTAAATTGTGACACTCACTATACTGAGGCGGTACCCGGCGGCGAGGTTAATCCTCCTGGCCAGGTATGATTCTAATAGCTTTATCTCTCGCGCGATCACGCTGGAAAACCTCCCTGGCTTCTTGAACGGTAAAGCCGTTTAAGCCTGCGATCTTTTTCTTACTCCGCTTTTCCTTGGTGTCTCATTTCTCGTTCGCCCAACGGAGTTCTTGGACTTTCTGTTCTATTAAGACTGCTCGATTCAAGGCTATTTCGGCACCCTTAATATAGCCCAGCACCGATTTCATTGGTGTATCAATCATACCGTTATCAAGGAGTTATTGAAGACTTCATTCTTGCCTCTTAAATTGTTTTGTATCTATAAGCGTTTTCGAAATCGTCGATCGAGAATCTCCACTCCTTGGCCGGCTGGTTTCTTCATAAACAAGTTGGTCAAGTACCTCGCTTGGCTTAAAAGGCACCAGGCCTGAAGCCCTGAAGGCACTCTTAATGTTAACACTCTTGAACGCCATTGGATGAGCCTTTGGATACTCCTCAAGAAAATCGTTTTTATTGATATGTTGATATCTCGCACGTACGAGGCGTTCCACCGAGCCATATTACGCCTTTTTTGGGCGCAAAACAAACGACATCCAACGGCTGACAGAGGTGCGATGATCCGGGAGGCATATAAACAGGAATAATATTGTTTTGATAATATACATTATTAAATTTAGGTCTCAAGTGTGATTCATGGCCATCAAGAATCAAGAGGCTATATTTGCCGACTCGTCGGTTGGTAATCCACGGAACGAAGTGATTTTCAAGCCAGTGTAGACTAATTTCGTTACTCGTCCAGCTATTTGGTGATAAATTAATTCTTTATATAGAAGGTAATTGGCTTTCATACTCTCTATATGATTAGTTCTTTTAAGAATCAAGTACGGCGGTAAGGCCTAGCTAGCGGCGTTAATACACTCGATTGAAGTTACCCATTCGCGATTGCTCGGCTGAACAAGAAACGGTTTTCCTTGAAATGTTGATCAAGTAATCACTTTAGCTGTAGCTTCTTGGCCTACATAGAAGCCCGTTTCATTAAAATTGAAGACGTCTTCATCAATAATTTCGTGTTCTAATATAGCAAGTTGAACACAGTCAAACCAAGCCTGAACAGTCCGCGGATTCTCGCATTTCGCTCTTTTAACATCCAGCTGGCGGCTATATCGACTTTTTAAGGATTTATGGCGAGCAACGAAGTTAGATACCTATTTCTCGCCGACAGAGGTATGTAGATCTTGATTACTACGCTTTCTAAGTAACATGTTGGCTATTTCACGAACCATAGAGTTCCTTAGTGGCGCGCCGCGAGAATCAAGCGAGATAATCCACTTCTCAAGCGATTATTCTTCTCTCTCAGTCAATTTATAAGAACTTGGATGTATTTCCTGGCGAGAATGCCGTCCGTTTAAGCGATGCCGAAGAGTTGATCGAGAAACATTAAAAATCCGTTCGGCGCCACGTACAGAGATAATTTGACCGTTTTCAATAGTTTGAAGGGCCAAGGCGACTCGGCTCTTTTGATAAACCAAGTCTTTCGACGATTTCGGCATTTTTAGTGGTGTGGTTGATGTTCCAATGGCTTGAATTCATGGAGGTGCGGGAATCTAGAAAGGGGTGGCTCGCTCGCTTACGTGACTCGCTCGGCTGCCGATTACGTTACAGGAACAGAGCCCCTCTGAACACACTCTTCTTCTGGCCTTTCGATCATTTCACTCGGTCCTAAGGAAAGTCCGGTATCTGAATCTGAATCTTGAAGCTATATCCTTTACTAAGACATATTTTCTGTATCCGACGTCCGATTTCATATCTCTACCACCAACGGGCCCGCTATGTCTTGGGTCTATAATCCGCTCCACGTCAGTACCGCAATACCCTCTGAACAGAGCGAGCGTTATTACCGTAACTGATGCATTTTTACCTGTCGTAGAAACCGACTGGAAGAAGACTGTTTCAAGCGAGACAGGGCTCGGTTTGGATATCTATGTACAGTTCCTTCAGCTAGTTACCGGTGGACTGCTCCTTAGTCCCGAGGTGAACGTTGAGCATTCGAACAAAACGGCAAATACGTTCGCGTTCGACATAGTGACAACGCTGGCGTTCGAGCCGACCCAGGAATACGTGAAAGAAGCCGTCAAGGCACCAGCCGTGCAGATATGGCTGAGAGAGCCCAGGCAGAAGTTCGCACTCGTCAGCGAGCTTTTCGTCGTCACGGGCATGAAGCTCGTCAAGGGCGCTAAGATCAAATACTCGACTTCACAGAGCACGATGGTCAAGGGGAACCTCGGCATCGATATAAACGCGCTAGGCACGATCTTTAGGCCGAAAGGCCACTGGACTAGCACGAATGATGATGCGACAGAGTCTAATCGCGAGTCGGAATTTGTGTTTGTGTTCCGCGTGAAAAGGCTTAAGTTTGGACGGAAACTGAAGCTTAAAGAGTACAATAAGGGCGCATTTATGACAGTTAGTGGGAAAAAAGATAACAACAAATGTATTTTGATTGAGGACGTAGATAGAGCTAATATCAGGACTGCTTAGGCTGTTCCCGATATGACCGAGAATGGCAACGTATATTGCGTTTTCGTTTAGCCATAATAAACGAATCTTGGACTACAACTGAGATAGATATTAATGAACCTTGTGTGATTGGAGGTTGAGTAAGCCATTCATAGGCTTCTACTAGTATTTGTATATATTCCTTTTGATATCTTTGATTTGCCCGTAAATATCTTCCCTTGTCGAACCGCTATCGAAGAGCACATAAAGTGTGATATAGTCGTAGCCTACCCCCCGCCTCCGTTTAACTATACTCTTGAAGACCGCATCCATAGAATTGTCCCTTTTCAGCTACGGTCCCAGCCTTTCGTTTTCTTCAGTAATGTACTGATCCTGCTGCCGGACAAAATATAGGATCGTTACGGCAAGGCCAGCGGCGATCGGTGTTGCGACCGATGTTCCTGACATAACATTGACGGTCTGGTCGTGTCCGTTCATGCCGGCCGGCCAGTGAGAAAAGATATGTTCCCCAAGTAGACTGAAGTTGACGTCCGTTTCGCTTGCTGTAAGGTTAAAACTGGAGAGGTTACCATTTCCATCGGTTAAGTGTATATAAAAGACGCTAGGATATTGAGCTAGAAAAGCTCTGTCAAGATTTACTTTATCATTCGATGCTGTCGCGAAAAATAGCGTCCGCTTGTTCAGTCCATTAGATACGGCTGTACTCACGAGCTCATGATATTCACGAATCCCAAATGATATTGATATAATGTCTACTTTCCATTGATTAACTGCGTGATCGATGGCCTGCACAGGTTGTTAGGTCAGTCTAAAAAGTCTGCTATAATATAGAGATAGCCTTGCCTTTGCAATGTCATCGTAGATATTAGGTTCCAGAGTCTCTTGTCGCGCAATTCTGGCGACATAGATCTCAGCGCCTAGGGCAACTTTAAGAAGGAGGCCAAGAGCATGAGTGCCGTGCCCGATCTCGTCTCGAATGTCGTGCGGTCCTGTTTTATATACAAAACTTCGTGCGTCCTTGATTCGTGGGTTAGCCCGTTGCTGATCCTCGACTAGGAATGGGTTTTCAGGGTCGAGTCCGGAATCCAAAATCGCTATTCGCACCGGTTCGGCAAGCTCGAAATCAGGATCAACATAGGGATAGATCGACGACAGCAGACTATTCATCCATTTTTCCGAGAGTGGATTCCTGGCAGGTCATTAGTACGATAAAGTCTTATCGCTAATGGGAAATACTTCACTCTTGTGTAGGACCCGTCTGGTAACTTGCATCAAAAAAGTAAAAGCTCTTCTCTGACGGCTCGACGAAATATCTATAAGTTTGTGATCCCGAAGAAAGCTGTACCGATATTCGTAGCATAATATCTGAATAGAAGGATGCGTAACTCACGGGCGCGGTATCAGACATTGAACGAGGCAGACTTGCCCTTGCTGTATTGTTTGCATTAGAGGAATCGATCTTGCCTGTATAGAGGCGGACAACTTCTCGACCGATAGAGCCCCAGCAGGATTCATTCTGTCGAGAATCGAATAAACTCAAGTTCTCTAACCGAATACCCTATGCTTTGAATATTACGGCCTCAAGTCGTTTGATGACGTTTTGGTAGAAGAGCCGCTGAACGCTGACATCCTCGAAGTCAGCGTGCTGTCCAAGGGGATAGTACTCCCCAGTAAGGCATACCTTCGTAGCGAGATAGTAGTCTACGCCAGCGTCGTCTTCCAGAGTCTGAAGCTTATCGAGACAGGTATAAAAATTATTATTAATCTTTCTGGCGACATGCGGGTCCTTTGCCATCAGCTCCACAGGTGTGCAATAGTGAAGCTCGCACAAGAGTATGCCCAGAGCTAGCACACTGGCGTTAGGATAAACTATGTGTTTCGTAGCGCTAGAGCTGTTTCCGGTATCTGTACTGCGGGCTAAAATAATTGGAACGTGCTCCAGTGTTAGGAAAGGTTTTGTGATGTTGGGGAGTTCTCCGCCCTGCTGTAGCTCAAAAAACTGGATCTTTGAGTGATTGAAGGAAAACTGCAGCTACGGTATCTCTAAGAAGGGAAGTAATGCTGAAACCAGTATAACAGCTAAGACTCGTTTTCCCTTGAGTGGCAATACCGATTTACCACGAAATAATTCTTGCTGGCGATTGAACAATGCTGACAAGGATACTGTCTGAGACATGCAGTCGCTACCAAATGTCTTTGGTTGCGGGCGAAGTCTCTGAAATACCCTATCCTCGAGCGCGAAATGCAAGCAATTTCGCTGATCGAGGGACTCTGTGACGCTTTGGCATATGTGGGCAAAGTTAGGTAAATTGTTAGTTATAGGCTCAGATGAGTGCCTCAATGTGCTATTATGTAGGTCTCTGTACCGATAGTGTTAGCGAATAAAAGTCAGTATATAAAGCTTCGAGAGCTTACTTAACAGTAATTTTAGTTTCTTGCAATGCGGTTGCAGATATGGACCGCACGCCGAAGAATACTTCGAAACTCGCCCCAGCCTCGAGATCCTTTTTGTGTCGTGGCAGCGACAATCTTACGCTCAACCCTAAGCACTTCTGGCAAATGCATACCCAGTGTCTTCGCAACGCATTGTTTAAGGATACCAGATGTCTCCTCATTAGCACGGTAAAGTCGGCATCAGAGTCTTCAAGATTAGACTCATAAGTTGGTTTTTTACGAGGCAAAACTCGGCACTTCTTTCTCTCCTAGTCCAAATGCAAAAGTTCCTGAATGGTATCGTTGCATTCGCGTCTCCGTTTACTAACGCGAATGACAGTGTCTGGATCGGCATGCGAATGGCGATTCGGATCCTCGATCATACGGCAAAGCTTCGGATATCGCTTATATCCGGGTTATTGGAAGCTCTGCTCCGCGAACTATCGTTAGTAAGCAGAAGATGAGAGGCCAACAGACCGAAAGACTGGGGTTTGCTGTATATCAAGGATACCTACAAAATCTCTCTTTCCATCAGAGTCGTCTTGAACAAAATATTCAAATGCGCGCAAAGTCCTTGCAACGCTCACTGGGTCAGTTTCGCCAATATTATCGCGCTGCAGAAATGCATCCGTCTGTAGCCAGGCCTCGCGTTTCCGTGATCTCAGTGACGCCGGTTTTGCCGGCCTTTGTAATCGTTTTCGAGCGAATAATCTAAGCACGGATTGCAGCAGGCTTTGGGAATCCGTATCGTCATCCATGGTTGCGCATCTAAGCTGATGGGTTTGAGGATTCCACTGGGATTCTTTGGCTGGAAGAACATCAGTCGATCAACGGAAGTGTGCTGTGTATTGATCAGACTAGGCTGTGTCGGATCAGGCTGTGCAACATTCACATCCCGAACCACAAGACGACTTAGCGTGCTTGGCCTCCAATCCTGTTCGGATTCTCCCTCCTCCAAGTTTACTCAGCTGTATATTAGGGGTTAGTTGCCTAATAGGAACGCGGTGTGCTTCCTGACACTCACAGATCATTCGCTACAACCTGGCGGTTACAGCCGTGCAGCCGAGCCTAGGCCAGAACTAATCAATGGCCCCGGATGTTCACTATCATTCCCACCTGGGCGCCAGCTACTTTTGTGCCACACACAAATCATTGTAAAAGTCGCCCCTCCACCTCAAACCCGAGGCAGCCGCGAGGAGGGCTTAGTGCCTAGTGTCAGTTAGAGTATGGCAATTGTCCTATTGGCTGGAATACGGCCGGTCAAACCAAAAGGAAATGAAAACAATAGAAGAGCTCGAAATCAACTCCGCACACCCAATTGAACCCCATCAGGAAAAGGATCAGCCCACCCACATTACCTGCGCCAATTCCCCTGCAACTGGCACATCGTTATTTCGAGTGACCTCCGCAAACCTGTACATTTTTAGTACGAGGTTAACTTTCTAGTATTGCCATAGGTAATTAAGGTGATTACTTAAATAAGGAACATAGTAATAAAAATATAACAGGAGAGACAGGCTCTTAATTAGTATTTTTTTTAAACCTTTGTATAAGTAACTTACTAAGCCTACTGATACCTTAAATAATTAACTAACTAACTAATTTCTTATTACCCCTTAGGCTAAAAATATAGATAACCGAGAATATGTCGAATTTCTCACAGCCACTAGCAGGCGCACTACACGTAGTCAGCTAATTTCCGGTGGAAGGATTTGGAGAATAGCACAAGCACGGAGGAGTACCTGTGACAGTGCTGGACAGGACACGTACAGATACCCCGCTTTTGTCGCGAGGACCAATTGGGGCTAACTATATTGATGGCATGAACTCCCGAAGAAGGGCCGCGCTCTACTACGCTGCGAAAAAGCGCATGCTTTCCATCATGTATCTGCTTCTCGAAATGGGTGCGGATCCCAATATCCTCCCAGCAGGACGCAAAACCTGGAAAGAATTTATTTGGGATGATGACGTTTTACTACGGCTCAACTGAGCTAGTTACAGAAAGCGAAACAGTGACCCCGAGGTAAAGCGCCGGATCCAGATTGCACTGAGAGCGCAAAGTCAGCCCTCTGCTCCGGATCGATCAGGCTCGTTTGTACCGGACGAGTCCCTTTCATCATCACCAATGCCAGATCGATCGTTCTTTACTGCTCCGGCTCCGTCAGCGCCATCTTTCCCGGATCATTCAGCTTCAGTTATGCCAATCCGCTCACTGGCGCCTACAGACCAAACATATGACAATAAGCGCAAAGCGAAGTCAGACCGGTCGGCCGTGACACGGTTTTGGAAACGGCTGTTCAGATAGGGAATTCATTTCGCAGAGACGAGAGTGGGAAGCGATTGTTGTAAACTATATCCTTAGTCATAGCAGTTATTTATCTACAGTTGAGTAGAATTTTATCTAGCTATCGCAGGGGCTACCATGCATCAAAAAGCGATCAGGGTTACTAGCACTGCTTATACTTTATCTTTACATAACTAGTCTATATCATGTCTTAGTTACGTCGTTTTCGGACCGAATTATACGTTAACCACGTAGGTGGTGAACATTATACCCCAGAAGTTCGTCCTTACATGTCTGGTGCTGCAGATGGGGTTGCAATACATAGCCAAATCGCTGACGCCGTCGGCGAGCCAACTTGTGAAGGGTTTGGCCGTACGGGAGAGTGAAAAGCAGGATAACGGCACAACAGGGATAGAGAAAAATAGAAGCGCGACCGCAACGAGATTTTATTCTTCTGGAGGTAACTGTCGTGATACTTGACCTCCCTAAACCGTAGGTGGTAGGCTCGACCCTATGAAGCTATCGCGGACTCCCTGCCGTAGCAGCGCAATTGCTGCCCAACAGATAAACTTCCTGTTGCTATTACAGCTGTTTCGCCGCTATATAGTAGCGATCTCTTAGTATAATCTTTTTTGAGACCTTCATTAAAACATTGCTTTTTGCTGGCACCATCGCCAGTTCGCCGGAGACTGGAACAACACTTACCCGTAACACAACTCGCCAAACCGTAACTTGTACCATCACGGGTGCGACGAGGAACAGGAGAAACAGGTAATCGGAGGGGTGTTAGATCTAAAAAACGCCTCGAGAAGAGCGCCGTCTAATTTTTTGGCTCGAAAGTACCTGGGTGATAGTTATTGGTAATTGATACGCTGGGCTAACCTCGAAATGAGCCTCAGAATCCACCCAAGGAATTGCGGGAAGAATCTACAATTCTATTGTCTGGCGAAAAGCTAAGCGGATATTATTAACGGGGGACGACGATCAAAAGCGGGACCAATTTGCCCAAAAATACTCAGAACCAAAAGAGCTTCGACAGCTTTTATAAGGACTGTACTCTAATGAATGTACGGTCCAGAATTCACCAGAAGCCCCTGGGGAAAGAGGATTCATGCGAGAGGTTCAGAAAAATCCAGTTTTTGTGAAAACTCACGGACGGCCCCGTAGTTTTTTGGCAGCTAGATAAATTTCTTGCGATTGTACTATCCTCCCGACGTCAATTGCTTAGTAAGAAACGCTACATGAGATGCGACGCTCAACTCGATGCCATAGGTAGACTCCCTCCCAAGAGCAGCGCGACAAGCAACACGCGACATGCGATTATGAATGCGGGTCCAACTATTCTTCGTTACTTGACTCTCACTTTGCTCTGCCACTCTTTAGGCAGGAACGCTGCGCAGTACTTCATAAACCAACGATTCGATTTATCATATATGCGACTTCTGGCAAGGAGTGCAGATTCTGTTTCACTCTTTGTCTCGGTGCCGCCGCAAGCAGTGCCAAGCCGTATTGCTTTCCAATGATCAGGCATTCCACAAAGGTTTTGCACGCCCGCTTCTGAAGCGATCCTGGGGGTTGCTTTGATATCAAGGTACTCATTGCCTCTGGGATTGCCTCGCCAATCAACCATCGGTGGGCGGTAGCATTCTCCTGGCAGAGAATCAAGCATGATGCAGACAGTATGTTAAGAAATTGGTCCTGTCCCTTCTCTTTAGAGCGCTGGGCAAATTGGAATATACTAATCAGGAAGAGAAGTAATCTGGCGGAGTCGTGTTTTTCGCTGATGACAATTAGCTCATTGGCGCATGCCTGATTTGCATCACTGAACAATTCAATCTCGTGGCTGCCGCCGATGTATCCTTCGTAAAATTCTGCGACGACCCTGGAGAAGTACTCGATTGGCCGTGGTTCCTCATTTTCGAGTATGGCGAAGTGCGATGTCAAGAGTACCACCGTCCGAGCCACATTCTCTTCCCGGTTGCCACTTTGAATACAGGCATCGAAATCATTTAAAAAGTCGCGAACGCTGTAGTGTAAGAACTCCTCTGCGTCTCTGTTGTAGGCTATAGCGGCCCAATGTGAAAATGCTCTGGCTGTGATGGCATCTCCTTCTCTCCATCCGTGTCGAATAGCTGCAAGTTTAGTTTCCGAGCCGACGAGAACTGCGATTACCAGCAGTGCTTGGAGATCTCCAGGGGCGACCACCCGAAACAGCTGCGTCGGCAGGTCTGTCATGGTCGTCAGCCCTCTATAGTTTCTGGAAACTACCAGCTGTACGAAGAACTCGCGATACACTTCGGCCCATTGTCGCAGTTCGTTCATTTTATTCTTCTTAGCGAGCTCCTGCAGGACAGACATATTCTCCCAACGGTCCAATGCCACATACTTCAAATATAATGTTACCAATTGAAGAATAATGGGAAAGCGGAAGGAAAGCCTGAGGATCTTCATGACCATGTTGACCTCCCGCGACGCCTGCTGGTATCGTGCGATAAATATCTGTTCTTGAAGCCCCAGTAGCTCTTCCACCCGCTCATCCATTGGGTCCGAATGTCTTCTCAGGGAAGCGACTCCTGGGGGAATTGGCAAGTTGTCCACACGCGCTCCGTGTTCAAGTAATATTTGGATAGTTTCCCTCGAATTTGCCTGAATGGCTCGAGTCAGTGGTGTGTCGCCATGCTCAGTCTTACTCTCGAGACGGGCACCTTGGTTGAGCAGCACAGACATAATGTCCTTGTGCTGTCCAGTGGCCGCGATATGAAGTGCCGTCAACCTGCTTCGATCTTTGACATTGACACGAGCACCATGGTCAACCAACAATTTCACCATGTCTCGGTGACCTTGATTAACGGCCCAGGAAAGCGGCGTCCGGCCATAGTTGTCCTTTCGCGAAATGAGATGGATATGCTCGCTGATCAACAATTTGGCCCATGCTACATTGCCAAGGTACGCAGCTAGATGCAAGAGCGTGAACAAGGGCGCGTTTCCGCCGTTCTTCTCCTGCTCCCAATAATATTTCTACCACTCATCCCGGATTGGAGAATTGGCTCTGAAGAATGGACGTGAGAACTCGGAAGGTGCATTAATCACCTCAATAGCGTGATAGAAATGTACCGGCCAATATTGAATAGCATAATGCAAGAGGGAATCGTGGCTGTATCTCTCGTCAATCTTCCTGGGAGATCCGTAACTACGTTCGACGTGTGCTAGGCAGGTCCGCATAAGAGTCCTGTGAGTAATTTGGTTCATGTGGAACATGCTGATCCCTTCGATGTTGACTTGGTTGCTCTGAAAGAACTCTTTCGCTGACTCGTGGACCAGGTTGACTACATCTCCTTCAATTTTCACAAGTGCCCCGCAGAGTCTGAGCCGATCCCTGGTCACTTCAGCTGCCGTGAGGGTACCAGATACTTTGATCCCTGTGGCCACTGTTAATTCATCCACTGTAAGGGGTCTGGCAGCGAGAACGATCCATTGAAGAATGGGGACCAGTCCTTCCTTGTCGTCGATTTGCTGAAGTAGCCGCTGATAGACCCTACCAAGGCCTTTAGGAACACGATGGATAATTTCATTGATCTTGTGCCAACTCCTGCCCTGAAGCTCATTGGCAACGAATCCAACCCACAAAAAGGTACCATCAGCGCCAGCCAACAAGGCCTGCTGAACCTGCGCAATCATTCCTTTTGAAAGGTTTTGCTCGGATGCCAGTTCAGTAACTTTAGCGAAGATATATCTCTCGACATCATGCGAAATCTCTGTATCAGAGTCATCCAATTTGATCTGCTGATACTGGCCAATTTTGTTCTCCAAAATAGCCGGCTGGGGTCGGGAGAGAAGAATGAGCTTCAGCCGTGGCCTTGTAACTTTCCGAGAGTTCGACAAATAATTCCCAACGGCATCGAGAAGCTGCCTGAGTGATTCCTGCTCGCATTCATCCAGACCATCCAGCATACAGACTACCTGAGAAGATCTACTCTGCTGAAGCAGGGTTAGGAAAACACTCCACAAGGAGGCAAAGCTGGAAACGGTATATTTTATTGTTTCAGTCCCCTCGAACGAGTTCTTGATATATTGTGCCAGGTGCGGATAGAGATCGATCCATTGATGTATGATGCCTCTTAATATAGTTAATGCCGTGTTCCGGTTCTTATCGCAGTTACTACAGAAGTAGTAAAGGAGAACATTTTCGGCAGCGTTAACTACTGGCTGTAGCACCTCGGTAATGTAAATTGCCAGCATGGTTTTACCTTTTCCAGGACCACCTGAGATCCAGAGGAGTGGTTGATTTGTGTCTGCCAGCCACTCTTGATAGTGGGGATTTTGGATGAGCCATTCACAGGTGCCGTCAGCTCTGCGCCCTTTCAGTACAATGAGGGATTTTCGGTCAACTTCGGGTCTTGTTAAGAGCAAAGCGTCGAGAATCGGCACGGCCTCGGTGTTTATTGCCGGAGGTATCGTCTTGGAAACTTTGGGTATGAACGAAAGGACCTCCTTTGCATATGCTGCTGCAGCTACTGCGGCATAGGCGTGCCAAAGCTTGGAACTGTGAGAATCTGCATAGTCGCAGATTCCTCGGATGACCAAATACTGGGCGGCATCTTTCAGGCCGGTCGCCTCCGTCTCGAAACATAGAACGCCTTGCTTATGTGCTAACTCGTCTCGAGTCGTTCCATGCCGTATCAAATGATGGCCGGAGGCAATAAGACCATAATGAACTATTGGGTCCTGTACCTCCCGTGGCTGCCGGGGCCGGATCCTATCCAGGTTGCAATGACTGCACCCGTTTTGTTCGGATTCAATAGTTGTATGATCATAATTCGGCTCAAATAGGGCGTCTTGCTCTGGGCCTGGACGGGTAAAGGTGACGGGGTCTTTCCGTAAGACCTCGGAGATGTACTGGGACATCTTACTTTCACCGAAAATCGCGGCTGTCTCGGCTTTTCCCATGGCTGTGAGAAGTAATGGTATTAGCTGATTTAACGCTCTGCCGCAAATAGATTGATCTTCCGCTTGCTCCCCGTTCGCGTTATACTGGACGAGACCCGGCCGGCCAGCTATCGACTTGCTTACAATAATATCACCAAGACGAGTATCCTCCTTCGTGTCTGGAACCCCTCCCCCAATGCCAACCATCAGATTGAACTGGACAGATTTGAAGCTTGCGTGCAACTGCGTGGCCACATCCGCTACCGACGTTTTACCATACACGCCGAAATTCGGATACGCCAGTACGACATTGTGGCCTTGGAGACTCCCTAGAATGTAGTTATTGTTGTCGTCTAAGTTCTGATCTGGAGGTAGGTTGTCATGAATGCGATCAAGCGTCGCTTTGGCTGCTTCTACCTCTATGGGCAGTGCGCAAACCCACCCGACTAAGTAGTCGTCACGGGACGCCATACCCAGTCAGAGCGCAGATTCACAATGAGAGACTCATACAAGGTCAGTGCCGACTAGTCGTCTTACTCCGTAGCTGCCCAGACTGTCTGCTGAGTATGTAAGGGACGAGGTCGACCTTCCGGTTGTGGGTGAGAAAGCAAAGCAATCAATTAATGAGGGAGTGCAGCAGCGAACACGTGAGAGGACAGGTAGCTTTCGGTTGGCTCCAGCCCTGAACCTCCCGTGGAGGTCAAGGTACCGTCAGGGTACCTATCCCCATAAGTAGAATACCCGTTCGGGCCGAAGGAAGGCGGGAATCCACCCACTCCCACGAAAGCTGGGGGTCAGATCTGGCTGCTGAACGGTAATGTATTCTTTAGGATCAATGAAGTCTCATCTCATTTAATAGACTCCACAAGTTCTCATTCAAAGAATCGATTTAATTCATCATTCCAACCTGCTGTTCCATACTGTTCAAGCAAGGCAACCTTGGAAGTATGGTGATTTCTTTGCGGTTGGACGCATTGGTAAGCACTATATGACTGACCATTCGTACTAGCGGCAAAAGGGCATCTCCAGGATGAGGCATTTTTATCATTGGGTGAGCACATGCGGCAGATTTACAAGATGGCCATCCTCTTGATATGTGGGGCTTGGCAATACAACGTAGTTGGCTGTCATGCAGCTCGCGTCACAATTTCCCGTCACAATTTCCGAGGTCCTGCAGGAGATTTTTTTCGGTGCATTCTCCAGCTCTTGGAAGGTAAACAAGGCTAGCATATAGCAGGAACGAAGTCAGAAAGGGGCGCAGGGCAAGAAACACAGCAAATAGAACCCCTTTCTTCATTTTTTATCCTCCTTCTCCAGTCCCGCCTCTCACATTATCATCAGGCGCGACAGCAATGACATCTACTCCCCGTCTTCGAATTTCGTCCCCGCATCCACCAATGGCAAGCCAAGAGCGGGAAAATGATTCCCTCCGCCCGCGGTTTCTGAGAAGCAAATCCAAGGCCGGCAAGGCACGCAAAGTTCTTCTCTCGTTTGACGAGCTGCCGGAATGGCAACAAGATAACAAGTACATTCTTCATGGCTATCGCCCAATATCAGGATCGGCTCAGGCTTCATTTCACAGTTGGTCATACATTCACAATGAGTCAGTAAATATATACTCTCATTTGATACCAGCAGTCGCCTTTCTGCTCGGCGAGTGGTATATAAAAGAGTATCTTACAAGTAGATATTCGAATATCACTGGCGCTGATTTTTTTATTTTTACCTTCTTCCTCTTGACTGCCGTTATCTGCCTGGGGCTGTCAGCAACATACCATACCTTAATGAACCATTCCCACGAAGTTGAACAATTATGGCTGCGACTTGACCTGGTAGGCATAGTAGTCTTAACATTAGGCGACTTTGTATCGGGAATATACATGGTCTTCTGGTGTGAGCCTTTGCAACGCAAGATCTACTGGTCTATGGTGTGTTAACATCTATATATCCTATTTCTTTTTATCTCATATCTAATACTTACTTTGATTGGCAGATTGGAATTCTCGGGTTGCTTACCATCTTCATAATGGTAAACCCCAAATTCCAGGGCCAAAACTTTCGCATTTTACGGGCACTTACGTTCGTGATGACTGGATTGTCTGGCTTTGCACCATTGATACATGGAGTCAAGGTATTTGGCATCTCGCAAATGATGAAACAATCCGGAATGCCCTACTATCTGATTGAAGGAGGCTTTCTCCTACTTGGGGCTTTGATTTATGCAGTAAGCTTCCAGATTTCGCGCTTGGAACTTGATTCTGACTACTATGGTTCTACAGATTAGGTTTCCTGAGAGTCGATATCCAGGTAAATTCGACATATATGGCTCCTCCCATCAACTCTTTCACATCCTGGTAGTCTTTGCTGCTGTGACTCAATTAATTGGGATATTGGACGCCTTCGGCTATAATCACATGAATCGAACATGCTTATAGAGCTTTCTAAGTCATGCATGAGAGACATTATTGTTACTAGTTTGCAGCACACCGCAGGATATGGTGGTTTCGGTTGTTGAGCGCCCTATGGAAGCCACTACATGGGGCATAATTTGTTTCCGGTCACTGCGTCCACAACTACGTCGTGGAAAATTGAGGCAGATGCTGAAATTGGATCTAGAGGCTAGAATTGAAGCTGGAGGCTATCATTGATCAAAAATTGTAGGGTAACTAACCTATTTCCTGCACGAGCCGATCACCCATGGACACGTGAATGAGGATGGTTATATAATGTGAGTAGGCTGCGGCATGACCGCGGTTAACCTTACCAGTATAAATAATGCACACCTGCCAAGATTATGAGAATGCATAGATTTATGCTGTTTTTCTTGTAATTTTGGTGTACGCTGATATATGTACAGCGCACAGACTAGTGATTCAGAGCATCAAATAAGCGACTCTTTATTTTATACTACATCATGCTGAATCCATTATATTCTCCCTTGATTTCTAATTGTCCTAGCTATAAACATTAAGATCTATCAATCTCAAATCCAGCTGGTAGCTTGGGCTGTTTCCGATGCCATTCCGGTCACCCTTCTTTACCTAGCGATACATGAGGCGATTGGCTATTCCTACTATTTGGAGTTTCAATCTGACTATGAGCCCGCTTATTCTGTGATCGTGACTGGTTAGCACGTACTGTAGGCTGGGTTAAAGGTAACACTGGCTCTAAGGCTACCTTAGCATCTGAATCTGAAGCTGAATCAGAATCAGCAACATTATCTGCTTTATCCCCTTCTTCCTCATCTTCACTAATCGGATCAAGCTCAGCAAGTGTAGAAACAGATTTACTTGCTTGATCAGATAATGCAGTCTTACCAACAGAGAGCTGCTCCTTCATCAAATCAAGCTCACTGTACTCAAGCTCAAATCTGGTTGAGAAGAGATGAATCATTAGATCTCGGATCGTATTCTCTTTTAACTACCCTCGGCGATAGTAACATATATTACAAGTACAATTAAAAAGGCGTTCAATACCAGCTCCGCTTGCTGGTACTTTCTTCTATAGCCTAGTGTCCTGATTAAAAGCACCTACAATAGGATTGACTGTTTTGTTTTTGAGGTGTCACACTCGCTCACGTCAAGTACGGATGAACCATCTTGGTGAATCGGAGCTTGGGCCGTGCATCCACTGGGCGCTTCAAGCTTCGTATCTTATTTTACCGAACTAATTTGTTAACTAATTATTTATCTCCGAGGTATCTAATTGGGCTGCAATAGAAGACTTTCTCGATAGACCCGCTATATTATATCGAGTAATTTACTGTTACCGCAAATGAGGGACTCGTTTTACAATTCAAATTCGAGAGGGAAAAGCTCAGCTAACTTCGGTCGCCATGTCGTCCTGCCAAGCGTACCGGTGTTTGAAGAGGTGGGCGTCGTAGCCAATGTTGATCAAGATAACAAGATAGTGGGCAGAGCGAGTCGCGCACGGGGGGTGAATGGCTCACCCTGTCTATTCCGCACTCACCCTACTCACCCCCCGCTCACCCCGGTCGCGCGACGGTAAAGCGGCCTCACCCGCTAGCTCACCCGGGCGGCATCCACCCGGCCTCTGGCCGCGTTAAAGCCACACGCCGGCAGGTTAGTAGTTGGGTGGGTGACCACCAGCGAATACCTGCTGTTGTATCGTTGGGTTTAGTGCCCTTGCCGCCCTACCGCTTCAGCCCCTTCACCTGAACGCCCTGAAGCCCCTGAACGGATGACGTGTCCCCTCGGTTAAACCTGCCATGTCTCGATGCCTTCCCTGCACCACCACTGCAACCCCTGTTTTTCTCATATTTGCTCTCCTTGGGAGACTTGTAGTGTACCCCCTGATTCGCTGACACTGGAGACAAAAATATATGTGGTAGCCATCACAGCTACCTGATCCGTTCTTGGTTACATCTTAAGGATGCAGTGAGGATTTTAACAGCGGAAGAGGTACAGTAGTGAATAGGACGTTCTAAGGAAACGGGGAAACCTAAATCACTGCCCTCGCATAAGGATGGACGCAGCGGCGACTGTGAACGGACCGTACCGGGTCGATCTCCCTTTCTGGACCCATTATGCAGATCCAACGCTTATCGTGATTCCTTATCAATCACCAATCACAAGGGTTTAGTAACCGCTTTTGCTTTTCGCTGACACGAATGACGACTTCATTTCTACGAATAGATAGAAACGCCAGTATGGATTTTAATGGAGCTTGAATCCTTAGACTGGTCTAGTCTTGCTTATTCTTGTGCAGCGCAGATAGACATTATTGCATTTTGAAAACATACCCAACTATTAAACTGCCGGCGTGCAGCTAGTCAACAGTTTAATAGTCGGGTGGGTGCCGCCCGAGTGAGAAATGGGTAAGAAGGATGAGTGCGCAATAGACGGGATGAAAAGCTAGGTGAGGGTGGGTGAAATTGTGACGGTCTACAAAGGAGCTTGGTATAAGACAAGTTTGTTTATGACTCGTAGTCAATGTAACGAACGGCTACACTGACGATAGGGAATCGTGAGAATGTAGGGTATGCATTTGACGAGGAAACTAAGCTAAGCTATGAAGCTATTCAGGAGCTGGCTGCGATATGTGTGACAGCTCTGACGCTAGTCCCTATCGGGGAGTTAGGTTATAGGGTATCGCGAGGAAGGTCCTCGGAGGCAGGTCACAGTCCGTGACAGTCAAGTAATTTTCCCATGGGAAGAAAGGCTATCTAGAAGGGAGGATGTAGAGGCTCTACATACTGCCCGAGGCTTCGCCTCAGGTAGGAATGCCTGCAGAGCATCTAGGAAGGTTCCTGGATGCCTACCGGAGGGTCCCTAGATCCTATACTAACTAACCGGAACGTTCCTCCCGAACGTTCCTCCGTACCGGGAAGTTCCCTGGCTTCAGGATGTCACAGAAATCACCCTCGGTCACCCCGATCGCTGCACTGACCCCCTCAGCTGAGCTCCTGTAGAATATTATTGGGTCACCTTTCATCCACCTGAAACGCTCGATCCCTTGGCATCTGCACATAGCCATCCGGAGGTTCAAAAAAGCCAGAAAGATCGTGCTTTGGATCATTTTTGATAATCAGCCATCGTCGGATAATTGTGGTGCTGATTCCGAGGCTGCGCTGAGAGTCCGCATTGTTTGACAAAGAATAGTCTTTGTTTCATGGTTCAACCCGTATTACAATAGAATATTGAACAATATGGAAGAGGGATGCAGAATCAGAAACATCACTTTTTTTTTTTTTTTTTGGAATGTTTAGTCTTTAGATGACAAAGGTTAGGTTCAGCCTTCATGAATTTGTTGTGTCGTAAGGGCAATATCGTTAGGATTGCACCACCGTACTGCCAAGGCACAAGATTCTACACCACGTAGAAGGACATGTAGGGTCACAAATAACCACTATTAAAAATGATTTTTATGAGTCATTAGCCGTATAGTGTTTAGCAGTCGGCGTTCATGTACTCGATGGTGATATAGGTAGTCAGTGAGATAAAGGACATCAGATAATAAAAAACGCTATCGTGCAATTTACTGCATTCCAAAACCAGTATCAGGAGGATGAAAGCGATGTTGACCATGGGCTTCTCGTCTTGCTCGTTCTGCTTTTTCTTTCTATTCTCATCTCGCTTGGTGTCAATGAGCTTCACAACGGCCGTGGTAAGGCCCTTCGTAATTGCCTCCATCTCCATGTTGACACTGTCCCCTAGATCCAAGAACCATTTGGCAATATTGGCAAACTTTCCAGTGAGTAAACCTCCTGCCATACGCACCATGGACCGAAAGACATTCAAGAGCACTTGCCAGCCAGGCTTGGAAGGAGCTGTAATGTTTGATAGCATAATCGTAGTCAAATTTCGACGCCTTAGTGCGCCCTTTGTCGACGAAATGCTTGTTTCGAACCTCAATGCGGGTCTTTCCATTCACATTCCACGTATACTGTATCCATGGTCAGTCCGTCGGTCCGAGACCCCATTTAGTATATTGCGAATCTTTTCGTCGAACCGAATCTGTGGTAAGTGTCGGGCTGATTTACCTGGGCCTTGCCCTGAGCCCCGTAGAGCTGGTTTGGTTGCAGAGTAATGGTGGTGCAGTCTGTCACATCGACACCATCATGATTCAGGCGGCTCTTGTTTCGCTGAAGATATTTGGGAAGAAGTCTGTTGGTAGTCTTGATGGCAATGAACTGATTATTATCCCCAACGCCCGATTTGATAAACAAGCCCACCCACTTCACCGACCCGTACTTCCCGCCGCGCGGATGGTGATAGCCGGGTTGTTCATTTTCCTGCATCGAACGCCCATCTATCAATCATTATGCAATTTGAAATCGAGGACGGTTGGCCAGAAGGACTCTTCGGAGAGCGTCATAGCACTACTGTTACGGATATAATTCCAGTTAGGACCCGAGTTCGCGAGGACCAGCCTGTCGCCCCCAATTACGAACTCGATCATGGTGTTGTCGGCGTGGATGCAAAACAGCCAGTTAATCCTCTTCCTTGGGATACAACTGGGTTCCCCATTGCTGGTGGGATATTTCCATCCATGAGTGACCACGTGTACGTCGTCGAGGACAGTCAGGGAAAGCGGAAACGATTGTATATTGGCGCCTTGCTGCGCTGCCCATTCCGCGTGATACAGTCGCGAAACCCCACTAGCGATCTATCAATTTCCCAGACCGGACAGAATGCATTCGCTGCCACCACGATATGTGATACGGATCCAAACCGGCCACCCCTTCACAGTGAATAAAAAAAAGGCCTATCCTTAGGTAGTAGCCCGCAGAACCTCTATTCCCAACACTGAGTTCGCCAGCGGGCAATGCGTGCGTAGCAGCATTCCTGAGCCTGGACTTTTGAACTGAGAATTGTGTCAATAGCCGAAGCAATGGATGCTCTCACGGTCGATCATTCTCGATCAGCATCGTGCCCCCAGGCGGGACTCACTCCGGAACCACCAACGCTCTGCCAGGTCTACCCTACTCCACAGGACGAGGCTGAAACAGACGTCGATATAATTGCCATCCATGGCCTCGATGCGGAGTCTCCAGATACGTGGGTATGGCGAGGCAGCAGTTCCAACGAGCACGACATAAACTGGCTAGCCCACCCCAACATGCTCCCGAAAAAAGCAGAAAGAGCCCGGGTCTTCTATTGCGACTGGCCAGCCAGGATTTTCAACGAACCAAGCTCGATCGAGCTGACAATCACAGAGGTTGCTAGGCGCTTGCTATTGGGTATTCACTCTCGACCTGGGTCAAACAAAAACCGACCTCTCCTGTTCATCGCTTCATGACTGGGTGGCATCATCCTGAGTCGGGCGATGGTAATCGCCGCTTAGCCCGGGAGAGAATGTGCTTCTCTCTGGAGAGCAACGGGCGGCGTGATTTTCCTCGCCACGCCGTTCAGAGGGACTGTGTTTAAGGACCTAGCTGGAGCAGCAGTCACTTTCCTGCGAGGCTACGCTAGGCTCGTAGACAAATTAGTCACTGAGCTGCTCGAGAGCATGACAAAATCGACTGATTTTCTTCAGGATCTCATGGGAGATTTCACGCGGGTATGTCAGCAACGGGATCACCCATGCCAGTTAGCAATCTTCTATGAAACAAGAAGGCAACTTGTTACGAAAGGCACTACCTCGATCAGTGGCAGATGCTCTGAACAAGCCAAAAACTGTAAGTCGGTATGATGGTTTCAAATAAATTAAAATTTATCTTGCTAGCTTCAAAGTTCAATACATGAGGTAATGCTGATGCCTTTTTAGCTAGTTGATAAAAGCTCTGCCCGTCTCGATATCGTCCCGAACCCAGTTGCCCTTGAACGGACCCATGTTGAGATGAACAAGTTTTATGGCCCTGAAGATCCGGGATATGTTGCCGTTTCTGGGAAGATTAAAAATAATCTTGAGGAGATTCGTGACGGCTCTCCGCTTAAGACAGCTGACGACTGGATACGCGAGGATCACTATACTGCGGACAGGCTTAAGATTAAACGACTCTCGGGCGAATTGTTGCCGATGGGTCAGTGCTACATAAATCTCGCTATTGTGGAGCACCCCAGCCAAAATGCAGACCATTTCAAGAAAGAACAAGAAGAAGGAAATACATCGTCCTCCCCGTTTTCCATCCTCGCTCGACTTAAGGTTGAGACACCGGACAGGAAGATCCAGGTCGAGTTGCCGACTCTTTTTAACGCACGCAAAGGATCCAACTATCACATGGCACAACCAAGAAGGATTCTGATCAGAGGGCGGGCCGGAGTCGGGAAGACAACTTTATGCAAAAAGATCGTTCATGACTTTATCCAGGGGGTATGGAGAGACAAGTTTGACCGCGTACTCTGGGTACGTTTACGGAGACTGAAAGGACAGCAGGACGTACCATACAACCTTGGGAACCTATTATACGATGAATATTTCTCGCAGCACCCACAAGGCGTTTCTCTCGCCTCCTCGTTGTGGAGGACATTGGTTGTCAACAGTGATAGGACTCTGTTCATCCTCGATGGGCTTGACGAAGTAATCCAAAACTTGAGCTTTGACGACCAGAAGTCCGATTTCCTTCAGCGCCTTTTGAATCAACCCAATGTGATTATTACATCCCGGCCGCACATATCACTTCCAGTGGGTGTCCGTTCTCCCGACCTTGAACTGGAGACGATCGGATTCTACCCAGATCAGGTGACGGAATACATACAAAATACCTTTACGGAGTCAAAAAGAGCCGATGAGATTCAAAAATTTCTCCAAAAACATCAGCTCATTCACGATCTTGCGCGGATCCCGATTCAATTGGATGCGCTCTGCTACACCTGGAGCAGTTTCCGTGGCAAAATTACGCCACGGACTATGACCGACGTCTACAAAAGTATCGAGGTAAACTTATGGAAGAAGGACATCTTGAGATTAGAGAAACAGCATGAAGGGATGCGGGTGTCGTGGTCTGATATCGAAGACGCGCCGCTGGACCAGATCGAGAATTTCGTAAGCGCGGAGATCTATCTTCTTGAAGGCCTCGCTTTTACTGGGCTGTACAACGATGTAATAGAGTTTACGTCAGAGCATCGGAGTGCCGTATCTAAGCAGTTCAAGTTACTAGGCACGAATATCTTGCTTGACAGGACTCTTCCACATCTCTCCTTTCTACGGACGTCGGACCCTTCATCAGACGACTACAATCGAGATTACCACTTTCTGCACGTAACGTTCCAAGAGTATTTTGCGGCACGGTATTTCGTGAGACAGTGGAAATATCGACAACGGCTCAAATGTCTGACACTCGGCGAAGGAAGGAATGCAGAAATCGAGCCTTCCAGTTTTATTCAGAATCACAAATATAACGCACGTTGCGATATTTTCTGGCGCTTTGTCGCTGGCTTGCTTAACGCCGAAGAGACGTTTCGCTTCTTCCAGACTGTCGAAGAGGAGCCGCGTGACCTCATAGGCCCCATGCATCAGCGACTAATAATGCATTGCTTGAGTGAAGTGATGCTAGAGGAGGTGTCGATTTTCACGCCACTTCGAACGAAGCTGGAAGTCCAGCTGTCACAGTGGCTGTTGTTTGAATGCAAATTTCGGGGAGGATCACATTTGGCCAACGAAAAGGAGCTTCCAGAGCAAGCCCTGAAAACAGCCTTGCAACAATCGTCTGGAGATACAGGAGTGACGCTACTACGAGTTCTAAATAGACGATCAGCAATTCCATTATGGGGCCTGGAAGTGGCAGCCTCATGTCTAAAGGGAAATATCAATGAAAGCAAAGCTATTGCCGCCCTGAACATGCTCGGAAGCCGAAAAGAAAATTTATCTTCTGGGATCCTGCAAGCTATGGCATCGCGGCTCGAGGATCCACAAAAGGAAGTCCGACAGGCGGCAGTCGACGCGCTCAAGGGCCGATCAGAGCTACCTCCTGAGATATTGCAAGCGATAGCAGCACGATTCAAGTATCCACACAAAGATATCCGACTGGCGGCAGTTAGCGTGCTCAAAGGCCAACTAGAGCTAAATATTGAAATACTTCAAGCCATAGTGGCACTGCTCGAAGATACAGATATATATGTCCGGCAGGTAGCAGTTAACATGATCAAAGGCCGAGCAGAGCTACCTCTTGAGGTAGTACAAGCCGTAGCAGCACAGCTTGAGGACCCAAGGAAATTTGTCCATTCAGCGGCAGTCAATATGCTCAGAGGCCGATCAGAGCTACCTGCTCAAATTCTTCAAGCTATAGTGGTACGGCTCGAGGATCCAAGAAGTTTTATTCGATTAGCGGCAGTAAGGGTTCTCGAAGGCGTATCCGAGCTACACTCTGAGATTCTTCACGCCGTGGCGAGACAGATCAATGATCCAGATAAGTATGTCCGACAGGCAGCAGTCAACATGATCGGACGCCGATTAGAGCCACGCCCAGAGATACTGCAAGCCGTGGTAGCACGGCTCGAGGATCCGGAGTGGGATGTTTTTAACAGACGGTGACCGACGCACTCGAAAGCCGACTGGAGCTACTTCCCAGGGTACTACAAGCTATAGCGGCACGGCTTCAGGATTCAAATAAGCGTGTCCGATATGCGGCAGTCAAGGAGCTCGAAAGCCGACCAGAGCTACCTTCAGAGATCCTACAAGCCGTGGAATCACAGGTCGAGGATTCGCACAATGAATTCCGACAGGCGGCAGTCGAAGTGCTCATGGGCCAATATGAGCTACCTCCTGAGATATTGCAAGCTATGGCATCGCGGCTCCAGGACCCAGAGGAGTGTGTCCGACTGGCGGCGGTCAATGCGCTTAAAGGCCGATCAGAGCTAACCCCTGAAATACTGCAAATAATAAGGGCACGGCTTGAGGATACGAACATAAATATCCGAAAAGTAGCAATTAATGTGGTCAGAGGCCGAACAGAGCTACCCCCTATGATACTGCAAGCTGTAGCAGCGCAGCTCGAGGGTCCACAAGAGGATATCGATTTCCGATGGGGGGTGGTCGGTGCGCTTAAAAGCCGATCAGAGCTACTTTCGAGGTACTAAAAGCCCTAGCAGCACGGCTCGAAGATCCGGATTGGGATGTCCAACGGACGGCGATCGGCGCGCTCGAAGGCCGATCAAAGCTACTTTCCGAGGTACTGCAAGCTGTGGCGGCACAGCTCGAGGATCCACACAAGGATGTTCGACAGGTGGCGATCGACGTGCTCAATGGCCGATCAGAGCGACCCCCCGAGCTACAGCAATTGATAATGGCACGGCTCGATGATCCAGATTGGCTAGACCGTAATCAACACTGGCTTCCATATAGCATTGGACCTTGGAATCGAAATTTACCGGACCTAGCTGTTGACGTACTCATAGGTCAATCATCCCTGCCATTTGAGATTGTCAACCAACACTTCCAATCTTTATACCGGATTCTGCTAAAGAGAGGCTTTGAGGAACATCTAGGTTGGTATATCACGGGTGAAATATCCTACATTGGAGTAGGTGTCAGGAAAGTTCCTCTAAAGGGCCAGCAAGCTTGGTTGAAGGACACAATTCGAGAAGAGTGGAACGACTTGGGCACTCCTCTTCCTGACGTTCAGTGGATGTCGGGGAGACAACTACTGCTAAGGGTCACACGCCGCTTCAGGGGCCTGTTCTCTAGTGCGAAGCCGCGCGTTCCCCCACTCGAGCGTGGAGATTATACATACAAGATGGACAGCAGGCTGCCTGGGTAACTGTAAATGAAGACAGTGGTGTTTCTTTCCTTGAAAGACAGGGGCACTCTTTTAGCTGTAATCTTCAAACGGTCTCCAGGTCGGCGGTCAATTTATGTCGACAACACAGAGTCAGCGCCCAAATTGATCCTTACTGACAATCATTCCTCGGTCTCGAATCAAACCGGCCAGTCCACTGCCGATCCATCATTAGCATGCTATCAATAATCAATCTTGAGGACCAATCAACCTTCTGGCTCAGCTCCAACAAGTCAGCCGGCTACTCAAACCCCTCGTCAAACAAACGCTAGCCCTGACGGCTACTCAGAAAGGTGTATGCTCCTGCAGATCTATCATCGCGTAATAGTTAAATATAGGTAGACTTCTTATCTAATCAAATTCTCCTGTTACTAGTTAGCTATGACTTGGCCGGATGTTCCTGCGTTTGTACGATGCTATCTTAGCGAATAATCGGCTCTTGAGACTGACCAATGTTTCATGCATATCTCGTCTACTTTCTACACACCAGATAAAGACAAGCTGGCTGTATACACGATGTCCCACATTGGAAAAGGAAGCTATAATATATGGCATGACCATCGCTTTCTTTGCTAGGAGTGGTATGTTGGGAATACAGTTTTAAGTTCGAATGTTTTTGCCTTTTAGGAACCGATGAGAAATGGCCATGCTTCCTCGACGAAGAAAACCCAATTGGTTCCTGTGAGAACGAGACAGAAAGTCGCTCTGGCGCGAAGCCCATCGCTAGCCATTTCCAAAACCCTTTTCGTGCCTACACCTGAGGGTCATGAGTACGGGTATCACGGGAACCAGTAACCATGTCAGCTAGGAGAGAGACCCCTACGCGTCAAAAACCGAGTGGCGCACTCGTGCTATCGCGAATTTCAATTTGCGGACCAGGTTGAACAACATCTACGTGTCATCCGATGACATCCGTGACGATGGATCCACACACATCATGTCGAAGAACGCTGTGAATGCCGAATTAGGATCATGCCACCGAGACATGAGGCAATAAGTGGAGTAGGTCAGCCGGTGCCCGCAGGCCAGGCCGAGATTGAATACCTAGCAGAAGACCCTGGCAAGCTCTGTGGTTGTCATCTCAATGGTTCTTTTGTGTGATGAATATGCTGACAGGGCCAGTTGCAAGTGAAGATCCATGCCGTTGGAAACCGTTCGGGGAGCATGTGCAGACCAGCCAGCCAATTAACATGCTTTTTGACTTCCATATCCACGTGTCCCGTGACTTCATTTTGAAGCCATGAATGGCAATAACGTCGGCGTCTCTCGGTCTTATTCTTGAGAGGATGATGGACCTGAAATAGATGAACGTCTTGTATTTCTTAAGCGGATTGCATTGCGCCTTCCGAGGCGGGTCAGTCTTTGTACGTAGATCAAACCGTGTCTTTGAATGCCCAGGCCTGTGAAGTATCAAAATAAATGACAATCGCGCGAGTGGCCAAGAAAATAACCTGGACGAAGTTGCCCAGATCCATTACTGCGGCCGTTAGCAGTGTCGGGTGGTCTCTCCCTAGAGTGAACAACCAGGAACCTCACACAATTCCTCCCAGCCATGCACTCATCAGACCAGCTGCGGGCAATTCCAGGCGTAGGCTAGCGCTACAAATTGAAAAGGAAATAGTGATGGATTGAAGAGAGCATCTAGCATAAATCGCCTCTCGTTGGGCCGGTGAAGAGCATGAAGTCTGAGACGCTTGGCTCGTCGTAGCGGAGGTTCTCGTTGAGCTGCGTCGATGCGAGGGAGCGTGACGAGCGACGACCTCATATCCAATCATTTCCGCCATCCTGTCGGCCTCTGATAACCCCAAATTCCAATCAGCGGTTATGGATGAACGCCGTTAACATCGCAGCAGACCCATCAACAGCTTCTTGTCACGACAAGAACGTCGATCGACGTGTCTATCGTTCCCGACTGTGTTAATACGGATGTCGACGAGTGCGTGAAACCGAAAAGAACATGGTATGGAAACGGAGTCAACTCTCTGTCCACGGTTATGGCTTACCGATTTCACAAACAGGCCACGCCGAAGTCACCGCCATTCTCCATCCGGCTCCTGAAGACCGAGTCCGACAGCGCCGAAGCGTCTTCACCCGACAACGAACAGCTCCTGTCGCCCCTGCCCGCGACCTATCGCACAGCTTCCGATGACCTAGCCGCAGCGAGTCGTCATATCAAGGCTTATATCGAGAAGGAACTCGACCTGCGGAGGGTGACAAAGGTTTTCGACTCGCTGTGGGTGGCGGGTCGGCCCATGCCGCCCCGTCCGCTCCATCACCAGTTCTTTGCTCAACCGGAAGATCTTGGTGATAGAGCAGATGGACATGCATATTGTCTGGACAATAAGCTGAATATTCCTTAAACCGATTTCTCGTTTCCTACTTGAACCGCTGTTTTCGGATCGATATCTCAGCTGCGAACAAATATGTCGCTGCCCCGTGGTCGCTGGTGTTAGAGAAGCCCCGAAGTGCCCAGTCAGAACGGCAGAGAAGTGTGCCCTTAGGTTCCTGTTTTCCTACGTGGCACTTATCAGTCTCGAGAGCGATTTCTTGATTGCGAAGGGGAAGCACTTGCTTCCAGAAGAGGTCGAATGGTCCAACTGGAGGACCTTCGTCGAGCAACTTGACACTGAACATATCTACCCGAAAATCAACCCGCGCTTTATATACGGGGAGCTTCGGCTGAGATGTCTAAACAAGATATATCTACTCTCACAATGCCCCTTTCTCCGCGGTTATATGCCGCATTGGAATCAATACGGTTCTTTCTTTCGGGATAGTTTCACCTGGCTGGCGTCTGCCACAGTGTACATCGCTATTGTCCTGGTAGCGATGCAGGTCGGATTGGCAACAAATTCTCTTGCGAACAACGACACATTTCAGTCTGTGTCATCCGGGTTCACTGTGTTCTCTATTTTGGCTCCTGTTGCCGCCACTGCATTTATTATCCTGGTTTTCTGCTATGCATTTATAAACAATTGGATTGCAACCATGACTATCAATCAATCATCAATCAAAATTCTATTAACCTGATGAAGCCTATCTATTGAAACGACAGGCTATGCAGGCGCTTCGCCGAATGAAG